AGAGCACACCACTGAGGGCCGGGTCGGGGGAGAAGCCCTCCCAGTTACGACCGCCGTCGGGACTTCTACCGAGAGGGCCGGCAGCTGGACCCAATTGGATATCAGCACCCTTGTCACTAAACTCCTGACCCATAGCCTGGCCACGAAGGTAAGCCAGATTCTTGTCCCAGGTTGCGGCCACGTTGACACCGGCGGGGAACGCAGAGTTGTAGTCGGCTACGCTGTGTCAGCAAGAGCATCAAAGCCTAAAAACACCGAGTTGCTTACAGTCACGAACACCCAGAGGGCTATCCTGTGCACACATTCCCGGAATTCCCAATCTGTCACCATATATCAGTAAATGCTCCCTGTTTTGACAATCTTCACAAACTTACCGGGGAACACCTCCAGTCTGACCAACACATAATTCCAATTCCCATCTGGAGGTCGTTAGCAGGAGCATACACATCGTTTGTGCCATTGAGCCTTACCCAGTTCCCGTAGTCAAATTGACCTTCTCAGCCAATGTCATCTGCGAGACGATATCAACAGCGCGCTGGTATGCTTCCGCCCAGTCACCCTGGCCATTGGCCCAAGGGGAGGGGTAATACGGAGGGGAGTAGGCCAATTCATCCTTTGAATAGACATTTGTTAGTGGTGATGAAACAAAGAAGTGAATCCAATCGAGCACAATTGCAATTCACACGAGGAAGGAAGTGACGGCACGTACAGCGCTGGCCAGCGAGACGGCAGTCAGAGCCACCGCCTCGATCAAAGTGAACCTCATGTTTGCAGAGTCGCCCAAAGAGGGAGCAAAACAAACCAGGTGAGCAACTGTGCAACACCTATCCAATGAAGAGACTGGAGGTTTGGAAAAGACGGAAACGAAAAGAGCGAGAGAAAGGGGAGCCAGGCCATATTAAATAGTTTGAGCGCCACAAATTGGCTGTACGCCACGGGCATGCAAAAAGAGGAACGCCGACGATGATGTATGCCAGAGCAGCTGTCTCCGCAAAGCTACCCACTCATGCAATTCACAGTCCCGCATGCAGTGTCAAAGAGAGACACGCTACGCATGGGCGATGGATGTTTGGTCCGGTATGCTGATCGACGTGGGATGTCCCGATTGGGAGACTGGGTGGAACAAACCAGTCGACCGGCCCTGGAGGAGCCGGAAATTAGACAAGCAAGGCACTGTCGGAGAGCTGGAAGGAGCTCGAGCAATGATGCATTCGGGCCGGCAGAGCCATGCACAAACTCTACATCGGTTGGCAAAAGAGGTCGGAGGGTCAGGTGAGGTCCATTTTGACCGGGGTAAGGATTATTCCTAGCCTATGGACCAGCGCAACATGGGGAACAGCGTCCTTGGTCCACGCTGGACAAGTCTGGAGCCCCGCTTCCTTTGACCATTCCTAGTGCAATCAACAATAGTGACCGAGCTGGAAATAAATGGTCTTGGAGACTGGGAGAATACGAAAAGCTGGGGGGAGGGAAAAACCATTCGGGGAAGTTGATTTAGTTCACTAGTTTGGCCAGGGGTCGCCCCGGTAATTACGTTACACAGTACCTCGTCCAGTCCCTGCAGCTGTGGGTAAACCGGCATCGTTACCTGCACTATCCAGGTTTACGTCAATACCACATAGTAATTTTTAAACTCACTCATAGTGAAGTATGATCTTTGGCTTTCTCAAGTACATCCTTGTTGATGTATGTCTGATTTGGAAGATGTATCAGATCAACTTTTACATTCTTCAGTGAGACACCAGTCTAGCAGTTCATCGCCCTGCAAGTCTGGCTCATTCCGGCCAACTCTCGATACAGCAGGTGGACAAGCCAAACAATACTCCACACAGAGCGAATCCCGCGGCGCATTTAGCTTCTGCTTAGACGTGCCTGTGGCCGAGCAAAATACCTATGGCGCATGGGGAAATTGAGCATGAAGCAGGAGGCACTTTTGCCGGGTCTTTCGTCATTGGAGGAATTAGTTCTCAACTAAGTACTACTCCTTAGTACTACCACTAGCAAGTCTCCCATGGATCCGTGCCGTCAAGCCCATTGTTGGTCCGAATCCGGCTGGGCGTCTTACCGTCACAGTTGTGTGTATCCACCGTGTAATCCCGTCTTCTTCCACTCATCACCCCAGCATTCCCCGCATTTCCCTTCCCTCTTCTCCCAGTAGCTGCCCAGCGGTCAGACCGATTGCACAACCAGTTGGTTTAAACAGGTGCCTGGCAACATGTCAGACAAGCAGACACCGCCAAGCAGAGATTCTGAGCACAACAAATGTCATCGTACCGACATGGCTCCAAGGCACCTTACGTCGACCCAACGGCCGGCCGCAAGGGTCAGCCCATACCTCCTACTCACGAAACAATGCAGTCCTCCTCCCTCTGGAATCTCTTAATTTCGGTCAGTGAACACGAGCTACTATGGGAGAGATGCCCCACTTCAGAGCTGAATAAGATGAGGTAATCACCTCCTTCTTCCTACAACGCGGATGAGATCCCGTCGGGAGAAGAACGGGATGTCCCTCACTGGCATCGTACTCGGGCGTCAGACTTGACTCCGACTATCCTCGGTGTCGCCTAAACACGAAAGCCGCTCATCATTTATACAAATTAGCGGTTAGCCTGGGGGGAAGAATTACCCCACTTTCGGCTAAGGTGCTGCTGACGGTGATGGAGCGCCACTGCGAAATTATGATGGCCTTGTCAAATATCCTATGAAGATGAGAAACTGCTTGCATGACTGTGGGTAAGTTATCTAGGTCCTAGTCAAAGAACATCTACTGCTCACACGCAGTGAGTTGTCGGACAAAGTCCGAACTGTTGATCGTCCACGCATCGCCGGTAGAGCGGACATTGCCGACCACATGGCAGTCCAGTGACATTGAACCATGACGCTTGACCGGGCCACGAGAAAAGCATCGTTTTCGTAGAAACTTCTCGGAGGGTGGCTGCTCTCGGTCAGGTGCCGCATGCGCTCATGCAGAGGCAGGCCATTGGGGGTTAGTTGGAGATGTGGGGAATCTCTCCGTGGGGTACTCACTAACTAGTAGACTAGTCTAGTACCCTGAGGATTCGGGATTCAGACTCGATTCAAGTCTTGTTTCCGTCACGGACAACTAACTAGCACTCTCGATCACGGATTATGTGTGGAGACTGAGTCGTTTCTTTTCTTTTCTTTTGCTTACCAAACGTCGCCTTTGTGCGAAAAGTAACCAAGACCCAGTATTGCTTATGGGTATACGGTATTGCATGATTGAGGATGGGGTCCAGTCTTCGACTTTGGACTGCAGAATTCTCCGATTCCGGCCCCTGTCGAGCCCTACATGCAATATTTGCCTATCGCTTGTCTTGCCTAGTCTTCCGAGCTCAGTCCTGATCTGTCCAGGCGTCGTCGCCAAGATTTGGCTGGCTACGACTCGAGCCTCCCACCCCCGCATCATCCGCGCTCCTGGTCTCACACCCAAAAGTAACAAGCAACGGCATCTTTCCGCCTGACATCCTGTTTGCTGCTAGGCATGCCGATATTCAAAAAGCATCTTGACGCCGAAAGCCTCCAGACGGGAAGCAAAACCAGCTACATCGACCCGAATGCCCCCGGGCCAAGTAACCGGATTCTACGGAAGGATGAGAAACAACCGTACCCTTGTCACTGCTTTATAGCCGGTCCAGGTAAAGCGTCTCACCCACTAGATGCTTACAAGCAGCGCAATGCCCTCGTACATGCATTGGAAATAAAGCCTGGGCATTTCCAACTGCATACTAATCAATCTAATCCCGGTAGAAGGTACCTCATTACACGGTACATAGTTACCCGAGTTACCCTTTGCAATTTTAATTCTTCCCCATGTGGGGTGTATCCCGGGTCTGGGGGCCTCCACCTCCAGCCACAACCGTGACAACCCCCGGGACGTGTAGCAGCTCACCAAGGCTCATCGAGGGATGAACCCGAACGGCATCCACATGGTGAACCCGTAAGAGCCTGTTTTTCTACCGATGATTACCCGTACGACTGGCAGGTGCCAAGTTCAGTGTAGTCTAGAATGAAATACGAACTTTATCCCGAAAGTTCAGGTTAAAATTGAATACTAACGCTCCCAACAACGGAGTCATGGACTCCGGATATTCATCGGCGAGTTAAACATTTAGTAAAGGGTCCGAGCGAAGTGCACTAGGCAGTCAGAATAATGAATCTGGGGGTGTGAGACTAGATCTAGACTAGAAGAACTATAGCTCTTAGATTCCATGTCTGCCTGTTGGATAACCTACAAAATTTTTTTACTTCTTTCTTTGTCTCCTTCCCTGTCAACTATGACGTTACCATGCAGATATGTAACTACTACTAATGTACCATGCCTATGCCTTTCCCAATCCTCCACGGTGCTCAATCCCCTCTACTGTAGCACTAAATCTACTAGATGCTGCGATTCGGATCTTCGGATCGGTTGGACCCGAATTTTACTTGCTGGATTACTTCTTTCTTTCTGGAGTTCTTTCCGCTTCTGCTCCATGTATATTGGTTCTACGGCAACAAGTATCCGGGTTAAGTGTAGGGTCAATATATATGATGCTGATAGATACTAGATATTTCATCTATTTACATCATATTTACTTCGAGAATGTGTTAAAGAACTGCTGCAACCTAGTTTACAAGTAGTGTACTAGTCGATGTCGAGCACGGCTTTCCGCATCGGTGCGGGTAGTAGTACTCGATATCAACATTCTTTGGGGGAACAGATTTTTATACTGTTACTAATACTGGAGGATTAGGGAGATCGCTGGACTACTATTATCAATGCTTTCATGTCATACTTGATCTAAATTGACATTATATAGATATACCTGGTAGACCTTGGGCTCTGTGTATCACGTGATTTGCAGTATGTCACTGCTCGATTCTGATTGGTTGCTCATTTTGGCGTTCCGATGTATGGCATCCAAAAGCGAAGGCCATGGAATGCTCCCTCATCCTACATTCGAGCATCTGATTATATTGTCGAAAGGGTACTTCGCAAGATGCCGCACGAAGAGAAGGACCACCCCGATGTAGAGGCGTGCAGTGAGAGTCAACATGATGATTCCGAACAAGGCCCAACATCTGCTTTTCAGCAATTGGCTATACTAGATCGCTTCCTTGCGGTCTGGATCTTCCTTGCCATGGCTGTCGGTATCATTTTAGGGAACTTTGTTCCTAATACGAGCAAAGCGCTGGAGAGGGGGAAGTTTGTAGGCGTTTCTGTGCCTATTGGTACGTTGTTGTCCGCTCAATGCTTGAGATTGAAAATGAAAGGGTGTATACCAACAGCATTTTAGCTATCGGTCTCTTGGTCATGATGTATCCCATCCTGTGTAAAGTGAGGTTTGAGACGCTCCATCGGTCATTCCGGGAGAAAGGACTCTGGGTCCAGGTCGGATTCAGCATCGTCGTCAATTGGATTATAGCTCCATTTTTCATGGTAGGTCGCTGTCACACCGTACGCGATAGTAGGCTAATTTGAAGTAGCTTGGTTTGGCCTGGGCCTTTCTCCCTGACGAAAGAGGTCTTCGAGAGGGCCTGATCCTTGTGGGTATCGCTCGATGTATTGCCATGGTATGCCATACCCTGCCTGAGAGTAGTGTAACACGCTGACGAGCATAAGGTCCTTGTCTGGACAGGACTAGCAGGAGGTGATGGAGAATACTGCGCAATTTTGGTGGCCATTAACTCGATCTTGCAAATGGTGCTCTTTGCACCCCTCGCGACCTTTTTCATCCGCGTTATTGGCGGAGTGAACCACGGTCTAACAATCGACTATTCGCTGGCCGCAAAAAGCGTCGGCGTATTCCTTGGTATCCCCTTGGGAGCAGCCATCGTCACTCGTCTCTGTCTCAGGTTCCTGATCAGCAGGGAGTGGTACGATAAGCATTTTCTGAAATGGATCAGCCCACTGTCCTTGATCGGTCTGCTTTTCACCATCTTGGTTCTATTTGCGTCGCAGGGACAACATGTGGTCCACCAGATCGTATCTGTTATCCGGGTGGCGGCTCCTTTGGTTGTCTACTTTGCTGTTATTTTTGGTGTCACTCTTGCCGTAACACGGCGCTGCGGTTTCGGGTACAGGTTGTCTTGCACGCAAAGTTTCACTGCTGCCAGCAACAACTTTGAACTCGCTATCGCGGTCGCAATAGCAACATTTGGCGTAGACAGTGACCAGGCTTTGGCTGCAACGGTTGGGCCCCTCATTGAGGTCCCGGTGCTTCTAGGATTAGTATATGTGGTCAAGTGGGTTGCAAGAAGACAGAAGTGGACCCCTTAGCCATCTTGAAGCCTATGTCAAATACCACCACAAGACAAGAGACATCAGCTATTGCTTATCTCGTCCAGAACCTGAAATAATATATGATTCTGCACTCTGCACCCCTCCTCTGTAGTGAGTCCTTTGGAGAAACCAGCCCAGAGTTTCCTACGGATCTCTGACAGCTCCACTCCACGTGTATTGTACTGATCAATCAATTCATCCGCAATGGCACAAAGTGTGGTGTTCAAGACATCTCCATTGCTTGGCCAGGACTCCACGGCTTCGCCCGGGCCACAACCACAGACGGATTGGTCTCGGACGGGCACTTCAAGGTCTGGGGCCCCTGGGGGCACGGTCTCCGAAGAAGGCATTGTAGCAAGATCACAGCTTTGTCCCGGACTAGGTATCCCCAGCTCATTTGATTGCAGTGCACTGGTAGCAGCATTCCTCGCCTTTGGGAGACAGACTGGATTGGCTTGAGACTTGCATGGTGTTTTCGTCGAACGAAGCTTCGGAATGGCGACTTTTTCAGTTAACGCTGGCTCATCAATTTGCAGATAGTGTTCTATTAGCTCCGACGTCAAGCCCGATCGAGTCAGAAGGTATTTCAACTTCCTGTTCTCCGCCTCAAGCTTCTGCACCGCCATTCTATGGTCCACATCTTTACGACGCGCTTGTTCTTGCAAAGCAGTCAACTTCTGTTCTAGCTCGCGGGTGTGCTGTTGTTTTCTAGCGCGACTATTCCGTTGATTTTCTCGGATGCGAGCAAGTCTATCGAGATCCTTCATAAGCAAGTTAGCAACTTGTGTTGATCAGCATAGGCATGTTTGGTGAGCTTCAACCTTTTGGTGCTTATTGGTCTCCATCTCTTACCGGGTGAGAGCATGGTCAGTGCTCACCCGAGCCTTTCCCGCAAACTGGCAATTCGAAACAACTAAATCGTAACTGTAAGCTGCCCAAGATGGTGGGCTTTTGTGGGGAAAGCTAACACTGGTCCTGGAGGTTCTTCAGTGAGTCTTCTGCGCCATCTGCTTCTGCAGCAAACCGTAGCCGCTTCGGAGCGTCTTTCCCAAATAGGCTATATGGAGCGATGGATAACCGGAATGATCATGGAAGGTTGACGGATTCTCATCTACAGCAAGACAGCCTCGGTGGGACTGTAGATAGGAGTGATTGGGCAGGTCTCTTGATTGATCTTGAATGAATCCAATAACTGATAGGTGGACACTGCCTTGGCCCAAGCTCCATTGAAGCCATAAGCACTCTATCTGGTACGACGGTCAGATCAGGGGACAATTACACCCACGATGACCCACCGGACAAGAAAGAACAGGCGTCGGCTGAGATGAAGATCATAGCTGGGCTATTGGTTCTAGACTCTCTGGAGCTTGCTGCAGAGCAATTTCCATGCCAAGGGCCCAAACTACTGTGTACTTCTAAGTAATCCCTACACTAAGACACCATAACACGTTGGGAAGTAGAACATAGATAGTACCTGGTAGAAACCAGAGCTTTTCTGCACGCTATTCTACTCATTTCCAAAGAATCAAAAAGTCTAGGATCGACTGGCTAGCGAACAGTACAGCTATGCGGGTTCACAGATAGCTATCGGATAAACGTAAAAGAGCCAGGCGGCGGAGAGTATATCCCCCTTCCGCGCACCGCTGCAATCCCCACGAGTGGGGAGATCTTCAATCTCCCGGATCTAATTCAGCGAAGATTAGATATATCCGAATTCACCAGGGTCCAGTCCAGATCCGGTCATCGAAATCTTGTGGAAGGAAAAATGAACCCACCCGTCATGCCGGCGAACAGGTGGCGCTGGAGCTCAACTTGGACGACGTCACTAGCCGTCACTCATACTTGGGCGCCCCCGGAAGGACTGGTTCACTTTTTCGCATCCATGCACTCACATCTTCCTAATGTCTTTCACATCTTTATCCTCACATGGATCTCGTGATTCTTTTGCTCTGCCAATAACCTAATCCCTTGTTTCTACTCTTCATTGATCAGACGTATATCACCATGGTCTCCACGCGACACCATCCCCGCGACTTTCCACCCCCCGCGACTGGGAGAGCTTCGCCGCCCTCGACACCATCTACGTCTTCTACGAGTGCCAATGGCTCCGGGAAAAAATGGGTGCATGCCCCGTCTGGTGCCATTACCCTGTGGTTGATCTTCTCCATCCCGCTAGTACTATGGGACGCCAGCTACGTGCTGCTGCGCCCTCACCTGAAGCTCGATAGCAAACTACATTCCCCGATCTGGACTCCGTATGCGCTGTACGGCACAATCGATTACCTCTACGGCTGGCCGGCATTCAATGCGCGCAATGAGTTTACCATTGCGCAAACTATCCTGAACCTTGTCGAGACCGCTGGATACGTTTACTACCTGGTGATTGTGTATACGTATGGGGTTACAGCGGGAAACACGGCGCGAGGCCAACGTAAAACCAAGAAAGGGCCATTCTGGATGCTGAAAGAGTCCAAGGTTGTTGCTGGTCGTCCCGGCGCGACTGCGCTTCTGGTGGCATATACCGCCTCCGTGATGACTCTTGCGAAGACGGCCCTATTCTGTGAGCTGCCATCATGCTGTCAGGATTGGTTGGGAATATGACTCTAATGAATCTGTTATAGGGCTGAACGAGGCTTTCTCTGGCTTCGCAGACGTTGATCGCAGCGACCCTTGGAGCTTGTTCTTCCTGTGGATCATACCCAAGTAGGTTTTATCTCGTTGTCGGTGTTGTTGGCTCATCTAACGGTCGCATTAGTTCTCTCTGGGTCATCTTCCCTAGTTATGGCGTCTATGCTCTGGGTTCAGAGATCCAGGCGTCACTTGAGAGTGCCACGCCGCGTCAGCGAGTTGGGCGGCCCAAATCGTTGTAGGATCGCCCCGGACCGCAGCAAGCTCGGGGTAATGATAGGTTGCATCCGGCTAGAGACGCTTGACCAGGATACGAGAGGGGAAGTCGCGTGCACCACACTAGTACGGAGTTTGAGCACCGCGCATGATTGAAGTGATTGGGGGAGGAGCGGGAGGAATAATGGAGGGCAGGTTCGGATGTGGACATGTCGGAAGATTTGGGTTATACATCCTACTATAATACAGGTCCCGGAGATACAAGCTTAGATAAATTCAACAATCGAGGAAACTGAGTAAGGAGGCGTCTGTCAGCCAGAAGGCAACACTAGTAGTTGATAGCGTAACTTTTCCCCGGGATCATTCCGGGATAACAGCAGCCAGTGATACTGCGGGCTAGGAACGCCATGCATTCGCTGGTATTTACCCAACGTCGCTGCAGACTTCCGATACGCTCCCTCACTGCACGATTCCATCCACCGCTCTTGTGTACCTCGTTCACTCTCGATGTTATTTGTCTAGTTCTCCTGTAGATTGGTCTTGTCTAGTGGGTTCCGCAAGGGTCTGGGTGGTCGAGCCAGTTGATGGTTGTCCAATGACCGCGGCCCCATATATATTACCAGCGATGACACTCCGGACTTGCACGTTCAGCTATTGAACCTTCTTCTCTACAACACCCATGTTCTGGAAACTGGGTCCCTTTTTGGCGCTGTACCTTTTTGATGGGCATCATCACTCAGAATCCCCAACTTGACAATCTTACAATTACTTTCTACTCTATCGGAACAGATCCGGGGACGGGCACGCATTAATTACTAAAGGCCAATTTCCCCCAGGATGACGACGGCGAGAGGTGCCAAGCCTCCAGTCAGCGCCCGTCCCAGCCAGCCTTCCCCATACCCACCGTTTTCGACCACCGCCTCATCCCGCGGTTTCGTCCCGTCTTTCTCCCCAGAGCACCAGCAGGACCAGACCCTGTGGCCAACTCCCTCCGCATCCACCCCCTTCCTACCGAACGATGATCCGGGTCTTGTTCTTGGGGTACCTGCGCCCATCATGATCCCTCCGGAGTCCGACGAGTCCCCCTTGGCCTCCGGCCTGACCATGGGGCACGACGATATCGTCCTACCCGAAGACCTCGACACCCACAGCCGGGCCAGCTCGCGTGATCCAGGCAGTGCCGTTACTGCCGGTGATCCCGGTACCTTGCATGAGTCCGGAATCGATGCCCAGCGGGACGACGGAAGAGGCGACCCCGCACACAATCACGACCAACAGGGAGGCGAAAAACCGGCGTGGAGCGAAATGAAGACGAAAGCCGGCAAGGAACGAAAGCGCCTACCCCTCGCCTGCATTGCTTGTCGAAGAAAAAAGATTCGATGCTCGGGCGAAAAGCCTGCGTGCAAGCACTGTTCGCGCTCTCGGATACCATGTGTTTACAAGGTCACCACCAGAAAGGCGGCGCCCCGGACGGACTACATGGCGATGCTGGATAAGCGCTTGAAAAGGATGGAGGACCGGGTCATCAAAACTATCCCCAAGGAAGAAACCAGAGACATGGGCGCGATTGGCCGGTCGGTTGTTCGACCACCTCAACCGGGACAGACCACCAAGGCGCAGAAGAAGCGGACAGCAGAAGAGGCTTTTGCAGCTGAAATGGATGAGTGGGCTAGGGAGAGCCGCAATGGTCCGCAGGATACTTTTCCAATGCGCCGTGAGAGTAAACCGGGTGATGCGTCGGGCTTAATGACTGCAGGTGCCGAATTTTTACCGTCACTTGAGATCCAGGAGCACCTGGCAGAGGTGTTCTTCGATTGCGTTTACGGACAATCCTATCTCCTCCTTCACAAACCAAGCTTTATCCGAAGACTCAAGGCGAGAACCGTGCCCCCGGTTCTTATACTTGCGGTTTGCGCCGTTTCCGCTCGATTTTCAACCCATCCACAGATCAATTCCGAACCTCCTTTCCTGCGTGGCGAGAACTGGGCCAATCCGGCAGCTGCTATAGCCCTGAGTCGCCATGACGAACCTAATATTACTATTCTGACCGTTTTCTTGCTTCTGGGCCTTCACGAGTTCGGCACGTGTCATGGCGGGCGGAGTTGGTCATTCGGTGGCCAGGCACTGCGCATGGCGTATGCCCTGCAGTTACATAGGGAGCTCGACCATGACCCTTTGCTAATCCAGAAGAATGGCAATGGGTCACAGCTCAGTTTCACAGATCGGGAGATACGGAGACGGACCATGTGGGCTTGCTTCTTGATGGACCGCTATAATTCATCCGGGAGTCAGCGTCCGCCGATAGGGAATGAGAAATTCCTGCAAATACAGCTTCCTATTAAAGAGTCACATTTCCAGATGGAGATCCCGGGACCGACGGAAGACTTAGACGGCAATGTCCTCAACCCAGTCCCGGATGATGTTGGTCAGCTATCTAATGCGAAGGAGAATATGGGGGTATCGGCCTTTATCATCCGTGCGGTCGTCATATGGGGCCGCATTGTTGATTATCTCAACCTTGGAGGGAAAAGAAAAGATACGCACCCCCTGTGGTCGCCGGAATCTGGGTACACGCGCCTCAAGCGGCAAATCGAAGAGTTTTCCGCGTCTCTCCCTAGCCATCTCTTGTTCACTTACGAAAACCTTCAGATCCATGCAGCAGACCGAATTGCCAATCAGTTCATCTTCCTGCATATTATCATCCACCAGAACATGCTCTTCTTGAACCAATTCGCTATACCGCTATCACCGGGGGGTCGACCTCCCCGTGACATGCCTAAAGCATTCTTGAGCAATGCCGGCCGAGCAGCAGTGGAAGCTGCTCATCACATCTCCATCCTGATCGATCGTGCATCAGCTTATCCCCTCACTGTTCCATTCGCTGGGTACTGCGCTTATTCGGCCAGCACTGTCCATATATGGGGCATTTTCTCGAAGAACGCACAGTTGGAAGCGCGATCCAAGGAGAATCTACGTCACACGTACCGTTATCTCAATAAAATGAAGAAATATTGGGGAATGTTCCATTACATGGTAGAAAGTGCAAAGGACCGATATCGCCAATTTGCCGATGCGGCCATCAAAGGCACGGTGGTTACGCAGAATGGTGGGCAGATTGCGCCTATGTTCCAGTATGGCGACTGGTTTGACAAGTATCCTCATGGGATGTCGAGGTCGCACTGGGAGGAACCTGATCCGCAGAAGGCGAAGAGCGACGATGGTGTCATGAGCCAGCGGCCGGATCTACAGAGCGTCGAAGAGTTCTTTGCCAGCCTTTCTCCTACACCACAGCCGAGCGCCCCGCGTAGGCATTCGAAGAAGAGCAGCAAGGCCGACAGCGTGAGCGGGTTCGATGGACCAACTCCTCCGCAGTCAATGAATGACATCGCTATGGACGGCGCCCCGGGCATGCTTGGGACAACCGGTACAGGCTTCCCTCAGCCGGCCATGTTCAACCAAAATCGCGCGGGACAGCAGCCCTTCGCACAACCCGGCTTTGACTTTTCCATGCCCGCAGCAGACCAACTCCCCCAGCTGGACCGACAATTTGTCTACGGTTCCTTTGGCGACTTTGACCCGTCTGCATCCCTCGTTCCGCCCGAGAATCCGGCGATGCCCGCTCCCGTGAATCGCCCCGATGCTCCCCCTAATCAAGACCCCTCCACCATCTTCACCGGTCAATTAGATCCCAATGCCCCCTCCGGAGCAGGTGAATACTACCAGCCCAGCGCCTGGTTCTTGCCATTTAACCTCGACCCTGTGGGTGCCGGTGGTGGCCTTGATCCAAATTCACAAGCCGCCGGCACCGGCAACCCCGTCGTAGGAGGTCCCGATCTCTCCGGCTTCGGAAACATACCGATGGGAGCGTTTGATCTGGGACTAACGGGGGTGAACCGCGGATCGCAAGCATAAGTGGCCATAACCATCGTGCTTGCGGTAGAAGGATATCTTATTTGGTTTGGCTTTCAGTTTTCAGCGGGGTACATTCGGGCTTGGGGCGGACGGTTTGGTTTTGGAAAAGATTTGGAGTTATGAACGACCTTGGCTATGTGGTTGATGCGACGCTTTTAGTCTGGTCTGGCTATGTGATGCCTTGATGCTGTGTATTTATATTATGGTTATATATATTCCAACGCTGTCATGCGAGAGAATAAGAACATTCAATTTAAGAATAGCTATCTAGATTCGGAGATGAGACGATATATCGTTATTACAGCAAGACAAATGGCGGTTGGACACAATCATGAAGCGGCCACTAACAAATTCAAATAAAACACTCTAATACCGCCATCTGAGCAAAAAGAAAAAAAGAACAAATTAAAAGGACAAAGATAGATGATAGAGCAAAAAAATGCATTGTCGGGGAGTCGAACCCCGGCCACTCGCTTGGAAGGCGAGTATCATAACCGTTAGACTAACAATGCTTGGAAGAATGCATCATCCGTGAATCGAACACGGGCCTCATCGATGGCAACGATGAATTCTACCACTAGACCAATGATGCTTCCTTGAAAGTAGCCGCCACTTATTTGTCTTATACCCCACTGTATACTTTCAGTGATGTAGGCTGCGGGATTTGCATGTAGTAGGAAAGTTTAACCTGCGTTTATCGGAGATAATGATATTTTGAATCTGCAGTTCTTTAGATTAAAGTTATAATCATGATCAATAAGAAGAGTAAAAAACTGTTTTGGTATTCAGTTACCTATTACTGCGACATCATCCCACGTTTACACTGTCTTATCTTGTTTGTAGTATACAGTCAGTCGTGTCGGCTAGTATGATCGACCTACATTGGATTGCACATGTCCTATTATGTAGACAAGACATTCTTACGTTCCAACTACACATATATCCATCAAGCTCATTCCACGAGAATATATTCTGTTCGTTAGCTCAAGAATCATACACTAAATCTGACGTTAACGCCTTGCGGATTGTGAACTGTTGTAGGGACCATATTTCAACTAGCAAGCATTGTTAGTCTAACGGTTATGATACTCGCCTTCCAAGCGAGTGGCCGGGGTTCGACTCCCCGACAATGCATCTTTTTGTTTTTTCATGTTCCTTTCTCAAGTAGAAAGGATGCATCGATTCGTCGTATGCTACATTACATGGTGGAGTATGGTTTTTGAGTAGTTGATTTATTGTTTCTTCGTTTAAGGTGAAGACATACATGTATTTGTTCATCTGAGACCATGAGCAGTCGATAGGTTCTTCGTCAGTTGGCAGGGAGCTAGTTACTAGTTGATTATAAAATATATTTCCGAATGTCGGTGTTGGTAAAATGCAAAACATGTTCTCATGCACCTCATAGTAGTAGAAATAATCAATGACGCTATAAAACAGAGCCAGCTCAATCAATCGATGAATCAACCAATGCATGCATGCACCATCCATATAATAATCGGCCATTGTACAACAAATACAACCAATGCTGGCAGCAATACATATAACATATCTGATAAAAGTTGCGCTATCGGTCCCAGAAATAAACAAAGCCTGCCAACTAACAAACAATTTTAATCTTCCCACTCCTCATCTAACTGGTCTATCAGTCGATTCTCGGCATCGACGTCACTGCCTCGACGGCCGAAACTGCCGCGGTGGTTGACGCTGTTGCCGCGGGTGTGGCCGTGGCCGAGAGCCGGGGAACGTTTTAGGCGGAGGAGGCGGGCTAGGGAGGAGAGGAGGATGATGATCATGTCCTGTGTGGGGAGGAAGAGAGAGAGGAGATGGTGTTAGCTAAGGGTTCTGTATAATGAATGGTATTCTTGAAGAATAGCAAATGAGACAGTTGTATGTGTTCGGATAGATGAGTGAAGCAAGGAAAGATTTCTAGAATCAATCAATCGAACTATTGACATGTTTCCAGCTTGCTCTATATGGACGTCTTTGCCAGGCCTGCACAAGCAATGACTGTATATACCGTGTTCAACACGGGCTAGATATCCAAACGAGTGACTTCGAGGACGAGCAAAGAAAGACAAGCGTAAAGAAAGAAGGAATGCAAGCACGCCTGATGTAATTGAGCTCCAGACCAGCCAAAGCAGATTCAATCCATCCTCGAAATAGGCAACCTTGCATTGCCAAACTCCTTGTACGAGGCCTGCTCATGCCGCCGGGACCGTCGGAACGGAATTAACGCCAGTATACTTACTTTGATGAAGTCGAGCATTCCCGCCCAAAGACTGTAGTTCGGGCACTGTCTCCAACCGCGCTGGTGCATGACGGTTCGTTGGTATGCGCAACCACCGACTAGGTACGCCGCCACGGCGATCAAGGCACTGTGCTTATTAGTCGTTGACCTTACCGTAGGGTGTTTCCTACTTACATTACGCCGAATACGCCGCCTGGCGAAAGGCCCGGGTTATCCGGTGTGGGCGCGGTAGCGCCACAAGCAGCAGAGCTTCGCACCTCGAAGAAATATGTGCACTGGTCCATGGTGCCGACAAAGGAGACCGTCGCCTGGGAGGCAGGAGTGTCGCGCTCACACAGGAACGACATGATGGTGGATTTGGTGCGGGCGGCATTTCCGATGTAATCGCCGGCACAAGGGGAGCCATTGGTATAGTTCATGACCAGCTTCCGGCCGCGGAAGAAGGGGTCTGATGCTTGTTGACTGCATCGGGTCAGTCGAGTGATTATGGCATGTGGTATATAAAAGTAGGGTCACCGTACCCAATGGAGTAGACTTTACCCTCCCTCTCATAGTAGGCGCTAACATTCCTCCACCTTGAGCGGTCCACTCCCACCACATCCTTGATATCTTCAACCACGGGCGCACAGATATTTAGCGTAAAGTTGGCATTATAATCGTGTCCTCTGGCGTGCCAACTCTCGTCTCGGGCGCCTTTGCGAGGTTTGTCCCCGTCTACCGGGGGTGGAGATAAGGAGATGGTATTCAGATCGTAGAATAGGCCGGTCGTTGGAGAGCGGACGACACAGGGAGAGAGGCCATCCTTGGGAGCAGAGGAATCGGAGGCAGCATGAGAGATAAGCGGAGCAGCCAGAAGGAAGAGGAACCTCAGCAACGAGGATGTGGGTGGCTTCATGGTGGGAGGATGATCTCCGGTGGAGGCAGCCGGGACGGTCGGCGATAACGGTTCTAAGCCGAGGAAGGGAACGGAGGATCGATCAGGCAGCTGGAGGTAGGGACTGATCGGTTAAGCTTGGGAGAATCGAAGGAAAGTAGCGCAAAGGAGAGACCAAATGGAAAGAAAAGAAGTAAAAGAGGGAGAAAAGAGGGGGAAGGACGAGGAGGAGTAACAGGTAAAGCAGGCGTCGTAATGCGCGGAGATGAAACGTCGCATTTCTTGCGGAGATTCCATCTAGAGCTTCTCACCGCCCGCATCGTCGGCTCCGCTTCTGCCAAAAAGTCCCGCGGCTTCTTCTCCAGTTTCTCCTTAATCTCCATATTAAGATCCAGTACAGCCCGCCATGGCTCCCAAGAAGGACTCCAAGACCAAGGTCCGGGTGCAGCCCGTTCCAGAGAAACGCGGCTATGAATTCGGAGGCCCGTATGTACTCAATGCCCAGGTACAATTGACATTTGGGATACTGACCCTCCAGTCTCGGTGCGTTCGGGATCGTGTTTGGTCTGCCCGTGCTGGTTTACAGCTTCACCTTCCTATGTAACGATGTCTCCGGCTGCCCGGCACCTTCGTTACTACACCCGTCTACCGTGACGCTTGACCAATTGAAGGCAGAGGTTGGCTGGCCCAAGGAACGTTTTGCGGATTTCTACGACACAAGCGTGACACTCTGGGTCTTGGGCTATTATCTGCTTAGCTTGGCGATGTACGTGTTCCTGCCTGGCCAGGAGGTCGAGGGCACTGAATTGGCATGTGGAGGAAGATTGCCCTACAAGTTCAACGGTTGGTTTCTTCAATTGACTCGTATCTACCTCTCTAACACGACCTGCAGCTTTTCTGTCGGCCGTCCTGATCCTCTCCGGCTGTGCGGCGGGCACCTACGTCTACGGCGCGGACTTTGCTGTCTGGACTTTTCTCTGGGACAACTATCTGCAGGTAATCACTGCCAACCTGGTGATCTGTACTGTCATCTCCATCTTCGTCTATGCGAAGAGCTTCACTGTTCCTGCCCCTGGGCAGCCCAACCCTGAGCTCCGCCAGCTAGCTCCGGGTGGCCACACTGGCAACGTGTTGTATGATTTCTTCATTGGCAGAGAGCTGAACCCCCGGGTACGCCTGCCAATTCCCTTCGTCAGCGAAGCTTCGCGCACGATCGATATCAAGTCCTGGCTCGAAATGCGCCCCGGCTTGCTGGGGTGGATCATCCTGAACTTGTCGAACATTGCCCGCCAGTACCGCACCTACGGCTACATCACGGACTCGATCGTCATCTCGACTGCGTTCCAGGCGTTCTACGTCCTAGACGGCCTGTACATGGAGCCTGCCCTGCTGACTACTATGGACATTATTATGGACGGCTTCGGGTTCATGCTCTCGTTTGGCGACCTCGTCTGGGTCCCTTTTATCTACAACTTCCAGACTCGCTACCTGGCCGTCTTTCCGTATGAGCTGGGTTTCAATGGCATTCTGCTCGTCCTGGCCGTCACCGCTGTGGGCTACTCGATCTTCCGGGGCGCCAACAACCAGAAGAATCGGTTCCGCACCAACCCGAACGACCCCCGCGTCAAGCACCTCAAGTACATCCAGACGGCCAGTGGCTCCAAGCTGATCACGTCTGGCTGGTGGGGAAGCGCCCGCCACATCAACTACCTGGGCGACTGGGTCATGTCGTGGTCGTACTGCCTGCCTACGGGCATTGCCGGCTACGCTATTATTCAGACTATCAACCCGGCCACCGGGGACCTGCAGAAGCAGGCAGTGCAGACCCCTGAGAGCCGGGGCTGGGGAATGGTCTTTACTTACTTCTTCCTGGTGTACTTTGGCACGCTGCTGATCCACCGCGAGCAGCGGGACGAGGAGAAGTGCAAGCGCAAGTATGGGGCCGACTGGGACCGGTATACGTCGTTGGTCCGGAGTCGGATCATTCCTGGCATTTACTGAAGATAATGGGGATATAGACCGAACAAAAGTTCTTAATGTATGATAATTTCTCGTCTGAACGACTTCACATATCGGACATGACATGTATTAGCTAGATTGGACATCTTTACTCTTTTTAATGTCATCACGCTTTCTCTTCTTCCCCTTATTATCCACCAACACCTCCAAGCCCCATTCATCATCCCCATTATTCGGCACCCACGGCAGCAGCACCTTCTTGGCCTCCAGCATAGCCCGTTCCCGCGCCTTGCCTGCAGGCGTCTCCAGCGCAGCCCTCTTAAACTCCTTATACGATGCCGCCCTAACCACCTGCTGTCCCTCTCCCGCAGAACCATCACCAACACCATCACCAACACCATCACCAACACCATCACCACCATCCAACAACCCCCTCAACGCCCCCCACATCTTCGCCCTCGACAGCGCCGACGCGCCCTTCCCCACCGGCACCGACGCCTTATACCCCTGCTTCATACCACCTATGATCGTCTCATACAACCCAGTCCACGAACCACTCAATTTAGCCAACTGCTTCGCCCCATTCTCCGCCGCATAGCGATCCACCCCACCACCAGAAGCACCCCCAAGAACCGGTGCAGCCGTCCAAACAGCAGAAATATTCCCCGGCTTACACTTCATCCCGGCCTCCTTGCTCTTCGGTTTGCCAAACGCCCACAACTCCTCCACGACCTCCGTATCGACAGAGAGAACCTTAAACGGATGATACCCGTACCCACCCCCTCCTCCTTCTTCAAACCTCGATAACAAAGGGCCCATCCTCCCATCAGCCCCCCAAGCCCTCACACACCCCGTCTCACTCACCTCTTCGCGGGGCATCACCACGCCCGCCAGATACGCATTCTCCGTGACAGCCACTAGCAGACTCATTCCCCTGGACAAGAGAGACGACACCTGCCGCAGGGCAAGCTTGTCCGAGCAGGACTTGCTTTTCGTGGATGGGGCGTCTGCGCGCGCGGGCTTGCGGCGGACAATACCTAACTGGGAGAAGTTGGCGCGGCCGGAGAGGAGACCGGCCTCTTCTTCTTCTGAGGGGGATATCTCCCATGGAGTGGGGTCTTCTTGCGCTGCCATGGTGAGTTCCATGCTTGCGTCGCCGCAGGGGGCGGTGGTGCAGTAGAGGTAGATCTTTAGGGAGGGGTCGAGTTCGAAGGGTGGGTTGTTGTTGGGGGGTTGGCGACGGCGGATGAAGGGTGAGGGCTTGGGTGTAGAAGGTGATGAAGATTGTTGATTCTCATGATCTATCAATGCGCGGATCTCACTCAACAGCCAGTAATTGAATGCGCGGAGGGCCAGGATCTCGGCGTGCCAGTCGTGGAGGACCAGACCGGTGCTGGTTGGCAGTTGCGTGGTAGGGAGGCACTTCGCGCCGGAGCTGGATGCTTTAGTATTTACTTGATACATCTGTGATTATATAGGGCAGATAGTTGGTTGGTGTACATACGTAACAGCCACACAGGTTAATTCTTCTTTTCCTCCCTCATACTCTTCCTCCCCGTTTGCCTCAGATACATCTACACCAACATATCGTAAGCTGGTATACACCCAACCATAGTCCCTCTCCATATATTCCTTAGATAGTGTAAAGAAAGGATATACACACCCCTCACGACCACAACCCCACACATAGGAATCCACTCCCTCGTCCCATCATCCCGTAGAATAGGTTTACTGCGTGCCGGCAAACCATCAAAGTGAGCGTGCACGAGTCTGGCAATTTTCTCCGCAAGTGCAGCACCATCCCCAGCATCCCCTCCTTTTTGTCGTTCCATTATGATTCTATCGTCTAGTTATGTATGCTGTAGTTGTGCCATGTGCTATCCAAACCCACTTTGATATCAAAGTGGGTGCATGTCACGTGACTTATCATTCCTTATCCATCTCCAACAACTGAACTTAACTTATCCACTCAATCCATCCGACTCAAACCACCCATCTACTTACACTACACTCCACCCACAACCGTTCAATCAACCCATTCCTAAGTTACCATAAATAAGAGGAAGGATAATCAAAATGGCCGACAAACTCCGCACGATCCAAAACCTCGAGGCGATGCAAGCGCGCTACATCGGTACGGGCCACGCCGACACGACGAAGTACGAATGGGTGTCGAACATCGTGAGAGATAGTTACGCCTCGTATATCGGTCATCCGCCTATGTTGTCGTATATGGCGCTGGGAATGGGCGAGTCCAAGGAGAAGGTTAGGGCCGCGATGATTGAGAAGATGGTTAGAGGAGCGGGGAATCCGCCGGAGGTTGGTTATCCTTATTTTTCTTTCTTGGTTTTGGTTTTGTGGATGGGGCTGATGATGAGGTGTTTAGACGCAGGAATAAGGTGTTTATTAGTTACTGGCGAGGAGCTGGGTGTGGGGTGGATGGGATGATATGAGGGAGTTGGGTAATTGGCGATGGAATATTGTCGATGGAAGGAGGATAGGTAGTGGGAGTTTGTGCTGTGCTGCGCGTACATGTGATGCAGGTGCAGATGATAAGGACACTTGCATAACTACTGGAGTTCAATGGTGGGTAATTGGCGTTGGAGGCTTCATGCATTACATTACATACTAAGGTTATGGACTAAGATGGGATAAAATCAATCAATTGCTATGTACAACGCTACGCTAATATACAATGACATGCTCATTTCTCCCCATTTCCATTTCCAATATCACTTCCATCACCCTGCGCCGCTGCCAACCGCGTATTCTCATTCTGCAATGACCCGATCAAATCCAGCCATTGCTTACGCTCTCCGCGCAGTCGATGCACCTCTTTCTTGAGCACCTCTACCTCGCGGCGCAACGCCTCCGTTTCTGCCCGCGCGCGATGCTTCTCCTGCTTGTCTGCGTGCTTCTGCTGCCGCGCCTCGATCTTCGATGCTTCCTTGACCTGGTCTTTCTCGATCTTGCCCAGCTGTTTCAGCAGCTTGGACTCGTCGTGGAACAGCCCCGATGCAACCTTGTGCATCTTCGCCGTTTCGTGGTCGGGGTTCTCAGCGTGACGGCTCTTGCCTGAGGATTGGCCCCTGTGCACGCTGCTGGCTGGACTGCTGCTCGGCGGTTCGCTGCTTGCTTGCTCGTTTGTTGCTGCTAGAGCGGTCGTCGATGCCTTGTCGCGCTTGGAGCCTTCGACTGGTGAGGTCACGCGGAGGGCTTGGATGTCGGCTCGTACTCTATCCAGCTGTGCTTCGACGTTGCGCTTTCGCTCTGCTAGCTTTGCCAGCTGCTTCTCGTGCGATGTCAGCTTGCCTTTCTTGTTCTTGGTCATTAGCTCCAGCGCAGAGACGTCGGGGCCTGCTTCCATAGATGACTCGATGTCCGAGTTCGCTGATGGTGCTATCGATGCTTTGTCGGGCGACACTGCATCATCCTCGTTCTCCTTGACCCCCTCGACATCTGGCTCCGTGCCGCTGGCAGGGACACTCTGAGCCGAGACCTGACGTGAGTGCTGCGGTAGGTAGTCCAGCACCGCCTGCGGCGCATACCGCTCGAGACCGGCGTTCACCAGGTATGCGAAGCTGGCAATCAACCCGTGATGTTCGACTTCGGTGTATGACTCGTCATCGCTGTCCTCCTCACTGCTAGACGCATCCTCCCCTTCCTCATCATATTGACTGTGACTGCCCACCGACCTGACCGTCGACCTCCTCTTCCTCTCCCCATCCCGACAAGCCCAGTTCAGGAACTTGACAGCATCCGTACAGATGCTCTTGGGCGTGCCCTTCTCCACCATCCACCTTGGAATATTACCCCCAGGATCACTCCTCGTCACCATCACCCATTCAACCGGATTCATCGCCCCCTCAGGCTTATTCTCCACAGGTATCTCCCGAATAAACTCCACACTCTCATACATGCCCCGAATATACCCCGGCACAGGAGGCACCTCATCATGCTCGCACGGTCTCGACACCATCATCCACTCCCTCCCCTTCCCTTCCCGCTTCTTCCTCTCCTCATCACCCTCACTCTCATCCCAAGACACAATCAAACTCACAAAGTCCCGCGCAGTCGTGGGTTTCGGGAACTGCGCCGAAACATGAAACACCTGCACCCGTCCAATCACCCCATCCCCCTCATTATCCCCAGCTCTAACCTCAATCCCCTCAACTAACCTCTCCGCCCCAATCCCCCTAACCGCCTGATCCGGCATCTTCCCCTTCCTTATCCGCTCCTGATTCCTCCTCAACGTCTCCCCCATCTCCCCCGACAATTTCTCCCTCCACCGCTCAAACCCTAATCCTTCATGCACGCTCCGCCTCCCAAACCAATGGCCCTTCCCGTCCGCCCCATGTAACTTGTATATCGGTATCTGGAGCGGGTTGTCCCTCGTATTGGTGACTTTTATCGGCTTGCTCCATTGCTTCCGCAAAGCTTGGACCCCCTTCCCGTTCCCACTCCCACTCCCACTACTACTGCTCCCATCCCCATTCGCATCCCCATCATGATCCACCAAATCATGCACAGGAAGCGCCCCACTCGCCTTCACTACTTTCTTCGCTGGATGATCATCATATGTGGCCGCCGCACCGTGCTGTGCCTGGATGTCATCGTCTGAAGGCAACGGCACGGAGTCGACGATCAAGTGCGCTTTTGTTCGGAGGTCGGTTATGTAGGCTCGTAGTGCGGCGGGGTCGGTGCTGGGGACGTCGGTCCAGATGGTCGGGCAGAGGGCTTGCAGAGATTCTTGGAGGGTGGGGAGGGGCATTTTCTATTATTGCGGTGTTGATTTAGTAATCTCAAATGTTAATGCAATGCGGTACGGTTCGGTTCGGTTCAATTCTTGTGTATGTGATGTGGTGGGTCATATAAGATGTTTCTTTTGTGATGCCGGTTCTAGAATTATCCTCTCCTTCTCTCTGTGTGTGAGGGTTGGTGTAGAATTGATGAGCTATTGTGTAAGAAATGTTGGAGTGATGATGCTTTGTAGGTTAGGGAAGATTCCGGGCGATGGGCGGACGGAGTAGGAGGAGGGTATGTCACAGGGGGACCTAGGCAACCAGGCGGACATGAATCAGAATAGTACACTAGCATTAAGTGAAAGCTTAAACCACATTAAGGAGCAGGAGTTCGTCAGGATGAAGATAATGAATGAATGGTACCTCATAGGTTCTGGTGGTGGTGGTTGTTGCGGAGAGTCGGGAACTGACGTCACCGGGTCGGGGCAGAAAAAGACCGTTCTTGCCGATGAATCCAGCAAGGTCCGTCTCGCCCCTGGCAGCCATGAGATCAGTGCTTTACTATGTCTACGCTACGCCTTACTCTACGTCCTGTCTACTGCGCAGTGCCGATCGTATTGTGGTCCATTATGTCAGACTAAGTACATCGTGCCAAATGATTCAAAAAGATGGTAGTAATGCTTAAAGTAAAGAACGAAGATCCAAAGAAGACTGGGCGCAGCCCTCCAGCATCCGATTCCCGCTCAGTCTCACCCAGTGAGAATCTGAACGGGCGTATCCAGGTATTTTCAAACCCAGCCTGGATGATAGGAGATGAACCTACCAGACAGCCACATTGACGGGACAGTAAGCCTGGAGTTAGTCTCGTAAGGTCCCACTTATGGTCACAGACCGTTAGTTGGTGACCCGACCGGTCCGCCACAGGCGGATGTCCAGATCAGAGACGCGCTCCAGGGCTACCTGCACCACATCATTTGTGTTGCCAAACTCTGCAGCCATCACATCCCAGATGTAGATAGCCACAGCAGTCGCTAGCCACCTCTGCTACTGATGGTAACCTGTACCCAGCAGACGATGTCGTCAGGACGACCACCATGCACAGCACAGTAGCCCTCCCAACTCCGCGACACGAAACGAAGGGCGAACATTCCTCATCCAAATCATATCCCAAGCCGCGAGGCAAACCAGGTCTTCATGACATATAATGCGGGATTGAAAGGGGGCATCCCCAAAACCAGAACAAACAGCCGACCCGCCGCTCTTGATGCTATAGAACGAGAAAAATCAAACAAATAACGCTAGCGCTGTCAAAGGCAAACGAAAGGAACAGGGCACTTGTGGTGGAAACTGGTGTCATCGAAAATAAAAACGAGATAAGAAAACCAATGCAAAGACGTGAGGGTGTATCATGTGTTTCGCAAATCATCAAGGGTAACGCCGTCATTGATGCCAATTAGTCTGATGAGGGTATCCGTGGGGATAGGACCCCGGTCGTTCTCGTGACTGTGTGTACGCGGGCCCCGGTGGCATGGAGCCGTAGTCATGTTGTCGGTACGGATCCTCGGATCTATTCCAAAGACACGCGAAGTCAGGGATACCGTTAACATCAAGTGTCTGGTTCCATGGACCTGTTACATTGTTGTCCCGTATGGCAGTGTAAAATCTTGGTACCGGTTCTCCCATCCAAACCCCGCCAGACCAGCCGCTGTGCTGCACGGTTGCACTAGCATGCTCGGCAGCGGGAGCGCCGCGATGGCCGCCGACGTCGCCGCTGTGCTGTAGTATTGTGTCGCATTGTATGGTGACGTGGTATATGGCTGGCTGAACGTCGGGGAAGTAAGCTGCGCTTCTCCCATGCCGTTCATGGTGGTCCACATACCAGCGTTCGGCTCGCCGGTGCTGGTTGTTGCTGGGCTGGATGGGAGTACCTTCCACGACTCCAAAGGCAGTGTTTGTGGCATCGGCTCTTGCCACCAGGTTCCCGGTACGGTCGAGCTGGGAAGGAGAGGGGTCGAGCGGAGGACGTCAACTACACGTGGCGGCGGGGGAAGTAGAGGCACGAAGAGACTGGTTATCGCCGCCTTCGCGTCATCGCTGCGGCCACCAAGCAGTTCGCCTGCGCCATCCTCCTCGAGCCCTTCCAGCGCGAGCGCCTCTGTGCGATAGACGAACTTGTTGACGGCTTGCACAAATTCCTCGTGCAGCTTCTTCAGCTGACTATCCTTGTCGGGCCAGTCCCAGGTGCTGGCAGCCGTGTCGACGGAATAGATGTCCTTGTGGTAGTCGACCAGAGCCTCGATGGTCTCCGGGGTCAATTTAAAGGCGACTTCGTTCTGCGAAACCATGTCGACATGCACGACGTACGCTTCGACGTGGACCATTTGGTAGTTGTACATGGCCTCAACGAGTGGGTTGTCGTCCTTCTTGAGTTCCGCATCGGGGGCCTTGGGAAACATCAAAGAGCACAGCGTCCAGATGGCGTCGGGGGATGACAGGGTCTCCGTAAGGCATCTGGTATGCTGGGTGACATTGTTAAGGGGTCGCTTGACTCGGTTCACTCTTTTGAGGGTGGCAGTCAGCCAGGGCTCGATGCGCGCATTCAACACCACGTTCGGCGACGAGCGTGGTGCGAATGCGGCTGCCGACGAGGGCAGTAAGACGGTTGGCATAATTAGACTGCGCAGTGACGAGCAAAGATGGTGCTATACTTGACGACAAACGAACGCAAAAATGAAGGGCGGATCAATAAAGAGAGAGTTAAGATAGGGTTGAAAAATAGCATAGAGGCGACATTCGCCCACAGCGAGTGATTTATCCCGATACAGTCCGAAGCGTGACGGCAAAGTAACTTGGAGTCACGAGGACCGAGGCGTGTAGGGGCAGCGCGGAAAGACTAGAAAGAAGTCGGAAGGAAGGCTGCCTGCCCGGGGGGAGGAGGTTGGTAGTAGTATATATTAAAATCCCCACCGTCAGGAACCGGGAGTGGAGTGGAAAGTAGTACTACTTAAGTAGTAAGTAGTAGTAGTGGTGGTGGAGGAAGAGGATTGTATAGGTCGAAATTACTGTGTGTGTGGGCGAATGCGCAACAGAAGTGAGGGTAAAAGAAAGGAATGGCAACGATGATAAGAAAAAGGTTTAAAATAGAAAAATGAAAAATAAAAAGGACCAGACGAGCGGCAGAAGAGGGGAGGAAGAAAAGAAAAAGAGCGAGGCGGGGACAAACGGGGAAGAGAGAAGGACAAAGAGAAGGAGAAGCAGCAGGAAGACGAAGAAAGAGGAGAAGGAGGAAAAGAGGAGAGGGGCGAGGGTGACCCAAAAGGGAAAGCAAGAGTCCCGACCAACTTTTCGGGATGGATCAGTCAATCCTAAATGGAGGTAAAAAAGTCAACTGAGGGAGTTGATGGATGGATTGGATGGGATGCAGGATGGATACAGTAAGAGGCAGTACTGTATGAAGAGGGGGGAGCAGCAGCCAAAACCGTGGTTCCGAGCGGATTTATACAGCCGCCAAATGAGGTGAGAAGGGCAGATCTGTCACCCAATGTCAAGAAACGTTGGCTCCGACTGTCAGACCCAAAAGAAAAGAGAAGTCGAGGGATAAATAAGAAGAGAAAGAGAGAAAGAGAGAGATCAAATTTGATCAATATAACATTATCGAGTCACTTCTCTATAACAAAAATAAGATAAAAAATAAAAAAAAATCAGATCCAAATCCCAACTGTATCCAGCAGCATACACACTGATACATACCCATATCCATACACACACACACTCACACACTCACACACAACACGCGCGCCCTACATTTACCCATCCAGCTTTTGCCTTGAAGTTGGAAAGTCTCCAATGGCGCAGACCGGCGACTTTCGATTATTCATTTTAGAATTTTCAATTACCTTTCCTATTATTTCCCCCTCATTTTGTTACTTGTTTCCCTAGAATTATGTTTTTTTTTTCTTTTTCCTTTTCTCTCCTTTTTTTTTTTTTTTTTTTTTTTTTTTTTTTTTTTTTTTTTTTTTTTTTTTTTTTTTTTTTTCTAGAGGGGAGGAATTTTTTTTTTCTCTCATGCAGACGCGGAATCCCGATCGTATGGTACGAGAGAAAAATTGGCCACCGTCCGGATTGACCGTCCGATCTCAGGTGCGCAGCAGCAGCAGCAGCAGCAGCGTCAGGTCTGTTCTTCTTCGGGCTGGGTTTAGCAGGATGCAGGCGTCCAGAAGTGTCGTCGGTGGTGGAGACACCCGACCAGTCCTGGCGTGGTCGATCCAAAGATGTCATTGCTAAGAGATTCCCTAACTACCGTCTCTTTTCCCACACCTGAGTCAAGAAATGGGGCCAACTTAGACCACACTACGATCGGGGCGGGTAGGTAGCATATGTTAGTGTGTATGGCACACTAAGTACATACTACAAATTCTGTGTAGGGTGGACACTCTCTCGTTCGCACAGTACCTAACTACGGGATAAGTTTGGGTCAACAGGCGCTTAGTCTAGTTAGTATTCTCTTTCTTTCCACCCCTAGCCTATCTACCCCTCCAAAACAATACCGGGAACAAAAAGACGAGGAAATGTTCCAAACAACTCTTTGGCGGCATCGCAAGAAAGTTCGACCAAGGCGCCCGTCGTTCCCTGGCGGCATTGCGACCTGATTTGGAGGGTTTCGGATGGTTCCTCAGCGGTCGAATCGCGTGGGAGAGACAGCACGAAAGCTAAGTAGTAGTAGTAGTAGTAGTATCATCAAAATCCCTCTCGGAGCTAGGTGCTTTTTTTTACCCCCTTTAACTTTTTTTACTTTTTCTATTCAGATTATGTTGCGTGTATTTCTTCATTTGATCGTTCTGTTTGGTCGTAAACTCCTTTTTCTTGCGGAGATTGGGATCGTGTCTGGACTGCTCTGGACATTTACGGAGTGCGACGGTGGGAATAAGAGGTCGGACTAGACCCTCGTCCGTGTGTCACAGGCACGACCCAGACTGACGGTCGGACGGACCGTCAGGTCTGACATCCCGTTCACGCATATGAGTTAGGAGAAGTTGGAGGTTACACTGAGGAATAGACAGATGGAAAAGACGTCAAGGCGAAAGATGGTGGTGCATGAGCCGTCTGGGGGCGGCAGCAACAGCAGCTGGGAAAGTGGGAGGCGCTGCAGAAGACGGTATGCATTCTAGTCCGGCGTGCAGGTAGACAGGGCACGGCGATGCCAACTGCAATGACCAAGAGGGCTGGCTAAGCCCCGATGGCTGATCCACTTCCGGATGGATGGAGGGCTGGAGTGTATGCATGCACGGATGCATCTCTCTCGGCTCCTGGAAAACGGTCCTTGGTCGGCAGAATAGACTGGTCGGGTCGACTTAACTGATTCTGTTTTTCTTGCCTTCACAGACAGCATCATTTCAGCAGCCGTCCTGGATGCTGTCCTCTAGTCCAGTCTCCATGGATCTTGATTGTTGTCCCTATTGAGAGAAGAACGTGGTGAATGTCCTCGCTGAAACCCCCCACCATTAACCTGGTTTGTGAAGATCACCCGATTGCCCTGGGAATTCTAATGCCCAATCGAGTAAGACAATAGCAGCCGGCGCCCATTTCCGCCACCTGGTGGATCCCAACTTCAGCTGGGAAGAACATCTGCCTAGTAAACCGCTGCTTATGGTAGGCTGTTCGGCCCTCCCATGGCGGGTTTTTAAGAGGAAATCTGGTTTAGTTGCACTCTTAAAATACCCAAACAGGGCATTTTCTCTGTCTTTGCCGGAATGGGCGGCTTATTAACCAGCAATTGTATTAAGTCACGGGACAAAAGGGAGAGAAATAACCATAATTTAAAGACACGAAAAAGCACGAGACAACTAATATTGTATCATCACAACTTCATCTTCCACTAAAAAGAGTAAATCCCCCGCGCGCTCAAGTTTGCGCGCAACGCGTTATACAGACCGCTGCCCGCGGCAAAAGCACAATAGAACCCACATCTGCTTGCCGTATGACTCACATTAGCAGCGCGTTGAAGTCGGCCGTGTACATAGTAGATAGAAAGAATGCCTTCCATAGCACCACATACTCCATAACAACAACTATCTACAGAGGGTCTTTCCGGATCAAGTGTAGAGGAACCAGATAATCTACCCGAAATCCCACGCGTTATCGACCAAAGGTTCAGGAGGGTCCACAAAGCCGCTGGCCACCAGTACGCTGTCGCACCGACTCGGTTCCAAAGATCGTGACCCAACGGATACTCTCTGCCTGCTGCGTATTGTTGTGCGGCACACTGCACTACTTCTTATCGCACTTTTGTTTCTTGCAACATCGGAGAGGACAAACATCACGATTAACTTGTGATAGGAGGAATCTGTCTCCTCAGAGTAAGCCCTGATCAAAATATGGATGCAGCACGGAATGGGGAAAGGGCAACGTGAAACGAACCCGGCCTGGTCGTTCCAATCCACAACAGTATTCGGATCCCCTAATCCCCTTCGGGTAGCAGAGGGGGAAAGACCTCAGACTCAGCTGATGAATCATGGAGGGGTTGAGGGCATCGTGGGGCGAGCTAAATGTCCTTGGAAGTTGGTACAAGGTCTCTTCTGGCCTCAGATTCGCTGACACCCTCAGAGTCCGGCTCATACGCCGCAGCTGAGATCCCTGCTACGATCTACCATTGGACTGAGCTTCGTCGACGGTCATCTCCAGACTTTCTCGAATGGGAAGTCAGTCGGACGGGAGGCCTCCTCGTAAGAAATGATACTCCGTTATTACACGCAGCACAAAGGTAGCGAAAGGGGGATTTCTCCCGTCGAACCTACCCCCGATCTGCATGCATGCGCTTCTCGCGTTGCCCTGAACCACCCTAAAGTGTAGAACTTGTCGCTAGTCTGCACGCCCACCCGCTGCTTCATGGTTGGCTGAGTGAAAGCCCTGGCTTGTGCTCGTGTCCTCCAGGAGACACCGGAATCTGGAGATATTACCATGACCAGGCACAAACTCCGAGCACATGGATCGGTGGCAAGCCAGTGCACAAGCCTGGTATTTAGGGGTAGTGGGCGCCCGGCGACACCGGGACTGGCTGAAATGAAGGCGAGAAAAAAAATTCATCCAAAGATGTGGTCATGTCATCCCCTAGCCGACCTTGCACGACCCTCCTCGGACGGCATCAACCCAACCAAGGCCGGAGCATCAACCAAAAAGCGGCAGTGCCTGGGGTCAATGGGTGAGGCAAGACGATGCTAAACTTCGGTCTCAGCACGCGCCCAGCAGCGGACTCGATCAAAGCGGAGTACACTCACCAGGCATGGGAGGAGATTGGGTGGATGGAGGCACGAGAGAAACGATGGCAGAGCGCATCGCTGTGTCGGCTGGAGTCGGATCCGGGCACCAGATGGCAAGGTAGTCAGTCTGGCGCAAGAATGCGGCATAAGCAACCAGCGTCGTCAGCTGTGCACTAGAGGCCATGCGACCCATCAGATTGGATGCGGAATGCTGGAACGACCGTTATGGCCCGCACTATGACATATCGTGGGACCCTAGCCTATACCTACTTAGCAAGGCTGGTGTCGAGGAAAATGGAGGAAAAGAGGCATGGATCGCCTCATGGGGCAAATAGACAGACGGCAAAAGTGTATAAAAAAAGAAATGAAGCAGCAGAGAGTAGGCAAGCAAGGATATGCAGGATGCAGGCAGGCAACAGGAAAAGCCCCGTTGGTGGACAACTGACTTGACGGCGGTGTCGGTGATGGCCGATTGCTGCTGCGCCTCACCCGTCGCTGCTGTCATTTGAGCCACATCACTGTGGCGAAGTTTCTGCAGAACAGCCATGACATAATGGGCGGAGAATTAATTGGAACTAGGGACACAGCTGGAACAATGTAGAGTCGAACTAGAAGAATATTGTTTGACTAGTTGATGGTCTACAGTAGTCGATTGTGAGGAATCTCCCCGCTACTATCAGATACATCATGCTTAGCCTCGGGTCATATGGGCGATGAGATAAGCGGGACGAGTAACTAGTTAACCAACCAACTAACTAAACTCACCAAACTTACTCTCCTGCGCGGTCTGCTACTAACCACGACCTGCATCTGCATCCATCGAAAAACTGTATACGAAGTACGATGCCTGCTAACCCTGAAATATCTCCCGGAACGCAAAGGCTCTCTCTCCTTCACATGACCATGGATTAGCGCTGCGCCCCATTGTCTGCCTTGATGACCTTCCCCCATCACACTCATCACACGCCTGGATGCAACGGGCGGCTTCGATTATCGGAGGTTTCATGCAAGATTCCGGATTCAACCCGGACCTCCACGATGGGGACACGGCATGGCAGCCTTGAAGAAACTATTGCAACCGCGCGCGCATTGAAGCCGCTCGCAAGCAGGTCTGGGATAGCCTAATGGTACCGCTAGTGAGATGCAACCTGCATCAATACCATGCATTACCTTACACGCCCGCCTAAGCGCTGAGTCCTCGCCCATCTTAACCAGAGTCAGACTTTAGCTCCCCCGACCCGGACTGCAACTGGCCAATACGGGCTGCCTTGCTGAGGCTAATCCCTGTTCTGTGTTTCAGACGACCCCATCTCCGTGCTGGCGACCAGGGGGGTACACTGGGTCAGCCATGGCAGAGGGGGGCACCGTACTACTGTAGGGATGCATACTACCAGGAGATATCTTGGGCTTTTAACCTCATTCTTCCTCCTCTAATCCCGAGCGTAATGGTGGTGTCGACCCACTTGGTTCTGCTGACAGTGCATACCAGTTTGGTCACCTGTTCTACTAGCCATCTTGGGAAGGGGATGGACTGGCCTGGACTGTTTGAGGAGAGTCGAAATGAGATCATCTCGTTCGGATTCATCCTCCAAGGGAGCTGGGGTCATCTATTCTCCTATCTAAGGAGACACCGAGCACAAAAATCCTGGAGATAGGTATGCGTACTTTGTTCGCTGATCCAGGGGTCAAAGCTACAAGGAATAATGGTCTGGACTCATCACTCTCGTACTTCTGGGGAGGTCCTTTTATGCTGGAGACCGAAGTAGGAAGTCCCTATTTAGGGAGCTGAGCTACTGATCGACTTTATAGTTCTGTTGTGAGACAACAGTCATTTACTACTGACGTAAATGTTTACAAACTTCCCTCTTCGATACTGCCAACCCTCGTTCCAGCTGAGGATTATACCCCTCGCTCGTCTCCACCACCTCTTGGCCAGCCAGACCCATCACATCGGTTCAGGTCACCCTCTAACCGTGGTCTGTCGAAGCCGGGGCACATTAGTTGATGTCAGCACTTAATTGCGACACTATTAATATGGCATGGCATGTGGACTGAGACAACCACAGCCAGCCAAACTATATTATATAGATACCAAGACCATTTGAGCACAGAGTGCTTTTGGCTCAAGAATGAGCCGAACAATATGCACAATATGTCACACCGTCACTCACCTCTGCTATGTACCAAGAGGAGATCCATTTCAGCTGGCCATTTCGCATCTGCTTTGAGCGAAGAGAACTTGGACAGCTGACTCCGATGTAACACCGCACATGCTTCATGGCTTTCTTTCAATCGCCGTAACTGCTGAAACCGATATGCAAACGTCCTTGTGAGATCTGCCTTTGATGCCTGATATGTCACAAGAGTGGCTTGAGGCTTGTGCAACATGAGGTGAAGTCGACCAGGTTACTACCATCATAATGACACTGCATGAGATTCTGAATGAGGACCATCAAATGTTTGACCCCTCTGGTTCACGACAGGTGCGCTAATCACCTGACCTGTCTACTTGTGTTTAATTTGTACGATGTCAGATCTGTTGCCTATATGCGCAACATGCTAGTGATTTTAATTGACATCTATCGCAATGTCTTTCACTTGTTAATATACCTTGTAAGTATTCACTATGACTGGCAGAGCAAGCGAACATGGTGCAGAGGGATTGCAACACATTATTAATCTGCACAAACAAAATGATACTGAGAAACTACATAGTCACACTGGATTTACTTGTTATAATCATCTCTACGTAAGTTACACTGTAGTTGAACACCCATCTTAGCGATTATAGACTGATGGCGTCAGGTAGGTAAACCACCACTATTCTTACCTTCAGTCTCTTGATCCTAAACAAAGTATTCTATTGTAAGTAGTAATATACCTTCTTTTCCCAGCTAGACCACCCAGTATCAGGATTGAACTTAACCAGTTTATGAATCTTTGGTATAGTCCAAAAGCAGAAGGTAGAGAGCCTGCAGAACAACTGTGGAAACCATAGCATTCCATGCGAGAGTTGTATAGACAACGTCACGAATACGGTGTTACACAGACACACGAAGCTTTATTTAGAAAGAAAGTTTACTTAGCTTCGACAGAGGCTGCTGAGACAAAGTACCGTTTTGCTTCTTGCCGGCTGACCTGTAGAACACAGTTCTCACAAAACTCACGATTAGGCTCGCGCGAAGTTCTCAGAATCCAGAATTTGAATTCGGAAGATATATTGGCCAGAGATATGAAGAAAAATAACAATAACCAGTTATAAGAGCCAATAATGTGGAAATAACAGCTTGAGTCTGGGAGTAGGGAAATTATATGAAAGGAGATATGATTACATTCATAACTTCTAGTATTCAATCCCATTGTGACCACCAAAGTCCCCCAACAAACCTCCAACTTAGACATACCGGTCCAAGTCACTATTAAAAATACCTCATATTGCTCCCAAGCTCTGAGAAGAGTGAGCACTTAAAACAAATGCCAAAGCCATTCCTTATCCCAGACACACGCTTTCAATCTATACCCTTTGCCTAAGCATCAACACCAAGCATAATAGTGAAAAATGAAAATAGGAAAGAAACTAAAGCACCTCCAATCCTCTCGGAAATAATCTCCCCCAAGCAGTCAAGATAAAGAAGTGGAATCTCCATTCCGTCAAGAGTCCTAGGGATCCGCAACGATATGTTTCGTGTCTAATAAAAATTAACCCGTTTTCAAGAAACTCTTTTGGCATAGTTCCCTTCTGGTGTCGCATCAGACATGCTATGAAATCTTAATATTGAGGTTTCCTCTTTCTCATTCTCTATTATAGGTCTGTCATTCTGAGGGTTAGGTGTGACTAGCCAGGCTATCATTATGTTTCAAGGTCGGGGATAGGACGGGATTGACTGGCCAGATGGGTATATTTGGAATGTATAGGGGTCGTTTCGTGATTTGTGTAGCGGGCTCACGTTGATTGTTCTCTTGGACAGTTCGTGGTAGGTGTAAGGGAATGGTACTAGGCTTGAATATATTCAGTTGCGTGGGAAGGGAGCAATAATTGGGCTAGTTAACGACCAGAAGGTTCAGGACCATATTCAATATTCTTTGAAGTCAGAATTGTAACTGAATTTGTGCTCGCTCTTCAAGCTCTTCGAGCTATATCTTGTTTATCTGTTTGAAGTCATGGCTTGTCTTACAGCTCAATCCTGGACATGTTCCTTTAAGGTCATGAATTATATTCTTTAGGCTTATCCCAGTAGTATTAGTTGACTAGGTCTAGTAGTAATGACAGCTATCATATTTCGAATTTTCGTTTCTAATCGATGAAACCTGATATTTATCGCACTCTACGTTTATCTCTCAGCTACAGAGAATCGAATTTGTAATGTCAACAATATCGAATGACAGAGCAAATCACCAGAGTGATTCAAGACACTTGTAGATAGTAATATAAAACAGCAATCCGCATATCACTTGGTTCAAATCCCCCATGACCAACCACATAGAGTAACTATATATGGCTTACCAACTTCACGCATACTTCTGAACAAGACCTTGCAGGCCACCGGGGTGAGCTCCCGCCATATCGTCCAGCTTTTGGCCATCTTTGAATACTATAAAGGTCGGCATGGCTCTAATTCCACATTCTTGAGAAATATCCTCCTGTGTATCGACGTCGACCTTGGCGAACTTGATGGCGCTGAACTCGGGCCGGGAGGCCAGCTGTTCAAAGAAAGGACTAATCATTTTGCAAGGACCACACCATGTAGCCCAGAAGTCGATGATCACCACATCTCCCGAGTTGATGAGGGTGAGGAAGTCGGAGATACTAGTAGAGAAGAACAGGAGGAGATTGGTCAGTTACCCACTTTTGTTTTTCTTTTGGAAATGAGATTAGGAGATGGTTGTAAAGTTTCTAGAGGTCATACCTTTCGATAGCAGTGACAGCCATGATGCAGAAAGTTATTGATAAGGATTTGATTCCGAGGGAAGGATAGCGTGAAGGAGTGGTGCTAGTTAGTTGATTTCCTAGTAGTCACGGTCTTAATAGGGGACGAGTTAGTAGGTCGTGACGGGAGGGAGATCGATGGTTTTTATAGTATCAACATGCTGAACTCGTCACTGATCTCATATTCATCGAATCAAGTCATGTTTTACCCCACTTCGCTCAGGCCCTCCGATTTATCGGACATGGACGGACTGGAGCGGCGGGATTGCTGTGAACTGTACGGCTGAGTAGCTGAACAGCTGAACAGCTGAAGCCATTGTGGTCGAATCATCGTGCTGGAAAATTGTCCGCTAATGGATCGTCAGCCTCAACACCCCACTTATTCGACGGGATGGATCTGCCCCTCCCTCAGTCGTGCAGATAACAAAATGATGTTGAGAGGGACTCTTTCTGAGCTGAGCTTACGTAGTGTACATGGATGGCTGAGGTATTTTCAAAGGATGTTTGAGCGGAACAATACTAGTTGTGCTATTGAGAGACCTATAACATGACTAATAGCCTTAGGAGTTCATATAGAAACAGGCTGTAGGTAGCCTAAGTGCAACTAGAATTTTGATCCGCTATATAGAAGTGAATACAGTTCACATATTAGATACTCAAGATCCCTTCTGACAAAGTCTTGAACGGCCACTGGACCCGAGGTTACTGACCAGCCCTCTAAGAGATGCTCGGACAAGCATTTAGGAAAGCTTCTCTAGTTCTCACTTGTGAATATACCATAAATACTTGCAAATATTTAGGTGTGTTAAATTTGTCTGCAAAGGCAGAGAGGCAACAAGGTTCCTTGTCACTCAGGTCCTAATGTACCTCAGCTATGATAGACCGGCAACTCAAGACATACATCCTTCTCTCGACCACCTGCATGATAACAAGTGCTTCTATCAGAGCTATAGAAAAGAAAGAAAGAAAAAAACTTCGACAAAGAAAGAGAGAGTGACAGAGCGAAATGTCTATGGAAACGAGATACATTTCTTAAGTCCTCCTCGATGCGAAACATTCCACGCAAATGGGACATTCGCCAATCAGACTGGAGAGAAACTCAGCTGAGTGATGGCCAGTCTATGATAACTTCACATATATCAACTTTACCATACTACATGCTACCAGATCTTACTCTCCCATTTCCAACATATAAGTCCGCTCTAACAAGAAAACGCTAGAGACATCGAACACGAACAGTATATATAACACAAGATAGAGAAAATGCACGGGAATTATCGGTGCATTATAGGTGTAAGACGAGGTAGTGTAAATCATATAGTTGAGCTTCCTCCTCTTCCGTGTGACAGAGCATCTCTTCCGGGAAATTACCAGCAAGTAGTCCCACAGGCAACCCGCTACGTCGCTAATACATGTTGCAGACAGGCTCTGCTCGGCAGTACAGTCAGGTCGGAATCGGCCCTGACTCTAGATGTCTCTACCCAGGCTAGGAATACGTAGGCCTCAGAGCCACGATGAAGACGCTGAGTAGAAGACCCAATCATGCCCCGATTGAGACAGCGAGGAAGACCAAGGATATAAGAAAGAACTACAAGTAGGAAATATGCAGTGGACAGAGATAACATGGTGACTTGCAGGTAGATGGTCAGCCATTTGCAACACTCATTAATAGTAATTCTTTGTTTGCTGTTTAGTTGAGTTTAGCTGCGGCGACGACCTTCCTACGCCGCCGCATGCGTTGTTACGTGGCTCTGCAAGTTTGAGGGATCCGATGGATTCAGAGCCATATTCTTGCTTCAGATGGTGAAACGCCTGCATAGACAGCATCTTACATAGCAGGCTCGATCAAGTACAAGAAGAAAAATTGAGTTGAACTTAATAGCAGGTATTTTGGAACGGCATCAAGGCCCAAACTCAGGTATCTGATCCCTGAACATATTTCCGAGGAAAATGGGCCATATCAATATCAAGAAGACCAGTTAGGAAAGATGGCAAGTAGTCTCTGTCTGCCCTAGCATCGTTTCGATGGATAAATCACGCAGTGTGTTTGAGTGCTGAGTTAGTGCGTCTAGCCCCGAAAAGTCTGCCATAGCTAGCATTGTTCTAGCCTGAGATGGTATATAGGTAGGTTCTTAACGGGAAATAGGGCTATGAGTGAAACACCGGGTCATAAGTATCCCATTTGGATATGCATGGACGGATGAGCCTCAGTGATGGGATAGACGAAACAGGTAGAATCCGCTGCATATTCCGCTTAGGGTTGTTGGTCTAGGTATCTAGAAAAGACTGACAACGCGTCTAGAATCGAGTAGAGCTAGATCGGAGAATGAAAAAGCAATGAGATGACCCTGAATTTTGCATTGTCAGCTTGAAACAGCCTCAAAGATATACCAACCCCTATCTAATAACCAACAGTGCAGCAGAGCAGAAAGAAAAAATTTTTGGAAGTAGAGGAGTAGGAATTAGGGAGAAAAAACTAAATACAGATCATTCAACCGACTTTACTCCATATTTGGGCCATCCACTGAAGCAGGCTACCGTTACAAAATAGAGCGGAAGTAGATCCGGTCTGATTTTTGGTCCCGACCCAACCCAGCACCCACCACACACTGCACACCATCCTGCAGATAATGAACCAAAATAACCAGAATAGCATTGAAATAACTTCTCGTACCTGGATGATTCCATGGAATATAGGAAGTTTCTATAATTATCATCTTGGTAGAAAACTTATCTGGTTATATACGACAGAATCGGAAGTAAGTCAGCACGTTTTGGATGCGGCAAGATCGGCCTCTCCTTGCTGATCGAGAAAGTAGGGCCCGAGCCGTCAAATGACCTTTCCCCTTGCCAGAATCAATTCCTGCTTTTGCCTCTGAGGACGTGGTAGTCTGGAAGTAAGGTCTGCGGTGTGTCATGTAGCACAATGTTTTAGTCTGCAATATGCGATCTCCTAGAGATAGGGTAGTCCCCCCTGGTTGTCTCATCTTCTTGACATCCCAAGGTCGGTGATGGCTAGTGCGGTCGTCGCTGCGGATCACAATCTTCCGGAGCCGTTAAAAACGAATTGGCTTAGATTTTCTAAAGGTTGAAATCCTAGGATGAGACATCGCTCTATATTTGAAGGATGAGGTGAGATGTTCGGGTGGTGAGGGAATACCTCGGAGTTACGAAAAGTTAATGCGGGTGTGGGAGCCACTATCTGCAGAAGATAACCCGCACACTGCATCGTGGAAAAATTATCATGCAGGTCCAGTAATGTAACATTCTGTTGCTTTCTTCATTTGGTGTGATGCTATGACGTCGAGAATAATGACTCGCGACCGAGGGGGATCTTGTATCTGGCGATATGGAAATGAGGGGGATTACCATCCTCAGTAAAGGATAGCATACTCGAGTATCAACGGTAATGGGTGTGCCCTGACCCGTTCCTTCCCCAGCTTGACCAAGAAATCCTTCGTGTGCTTGTCGAGGAACCATGGCGCCAACCCCGCTTGATGGTCGCCGTCGATCATCAAGCTAATTTAGACCGAGTCCGAGGGGGAAACCTAAATCGCCCAACTGCCCGCACGCCAACTCCAGTAGCCAGGGCCATTGCTGCTTCACATGTTACCGAGCATCTCTCTTGCCGAACCTCGCAGCACGGCAACTGCTCCTTGCGCTGTTTCGCGGACGCCGAGTGCAACCTCGCTGCGGGTGGATTGGGCACTTCTGTTGGCCATTGCACTGAGTGCATTTCAGCGATTAATCGTGCAAGTAGACCGTAGCGTCCATCACTGGAGACGCAGGCTCTACCGGTAAACTCCATTACTGTTTCCACCCGTCCCCGCAAAGTCAAGTCGGAGAACATTTGCCGTAGATGGCTTAGGTGATAGTCGCCCACAGCTTGATAACCAACGTGAACGGCGAACACTGCCACTGGGTAACAGTCGAGAAAGTGGACCGTCCCAGGTCACACCCCTTAGCCAGGAACTAGGACTCCTGATTCCCAAGGCACATCCAATCGCTGTTGTGGTGTCAACACCCACCACGGAGTCAATTGCGACATGGCATCATAGCCGCAAGGGCAAATTTTGTCAGATGCTCGCTTGACTCAAAATGATGGGCCTTGGTGTCGATCACCGAGGTACCCAGGAAGCTAGAGCAGAAAAATAAGCCCATATCGGGAGCCAAACCATGATCCTAAGTGCACCTCGTAATTTCCCTTCCCAGCCATTCGTTCCCCCGCAAGGCTAAGAGCCCCTAACGCACCTTAAGGTGCACGGTTCACTCCGACAAGCATGGGTTGCTCCAGATCAAACCGCCTACTCGGTTGGAGCAGAGGAACATTCCCCTGCGGTGGGTAGCCGATTCGGGTACTCATCTGGTGGTCCAATTACGGACGATCGTCACGTTGTCTTTGACCAGGGACCGAAAAGGAATTATCCCCGTTAGGTTAGGAAGAGGCCAATCCGCCTGGTCTCGGTAGTATGGCTATTATGAGACGCCCCAGCACGTCCTAGTCATTTCACATGTGGGGTTAAGGACAGCCCTCGGCCTTGTCTCGATATTTGGATCGATGTGGAGAGAGCGGGTGGCTGCCGTGTATCTGCAGGCATAAAAGGAGCCCTGCCATCTGCATTGATCTGGACCCTGACCCGTCCGTTGTCAATTGCTGGCATTCCCTGGTGGAGAGCACCCTCAACATGCGCGTCTCTTCGGCCCTTCTTTCCGCCCTTTTGCTTTCCAGCACTTCGCTGGCAACTCCGGCCCAGGTTTCCTCATCCGTGGCCATCTCTACACAGGGGAGCCCGGCGCCAGAGGAACATGTTGCAGCACAAACAACTGCAGCAGCAGAGGCAACTGCGGCGGCGGCAGCCTCGGCGGCAGCAACTGGTGCATCTGAGCAGACGGCCAGTACCAAGCAGCAGCCAGACAGCGATGTTGGTGCCGACCAGCAAACCGCGAATGCTGCCACTCAGCAGTCATACGCAGACACAAACACAAACACAAATACCGGTAACCAGCAGCCATCTGCCGATGTAGCTGGCCAGCAAACCACCCCCAGTGCCGTACAGCAAACAGCCGCAGCTCCGGATTCGTCAAGCCAAACAACCGCTACCCAGTCACAGGGTGGAGATCTTCTTGGTGGACTGGTGGGTGGAATCCTAGGTGGTGGCTCCAGCCAAAATGCTGGAGCAAGCAGCAGTGCTGCCGCATCCCCCTCAGCAGCAGGTCTTGGTCAGTCTGCCACCTCCACGCAGGATGCCGCGTCTTCCGCAACGACGAGTTCTTCCTCATCCGCAGGCGGCTCTTCCGGAAATCTCTTGACAGACATTGGTGATGGCCTCGATGGCCTCCTAGGTCTTTTGTCGCCAACATTCTTGAAGAATGTCGAGTCGTTCTTCAACCACTTTGCATATCTCTTCGACGATAAGACTACCGACCAGACGAAGTCCCTGATCGACACTGCTTACAACCTACTCACCAAGCAGTTGATCACTGAATTGACCGGTCTCCTCAACAACGCAAACAGCCTATTGACGCCGAACTTTGTGAACGAGACCCAGCAACTGATCAACTCGGTTGGCCCGCTTGTCACGCCACAGTTGTTCAAGAAGGTCTCTACCCTGCTCGATAATGGCAACAACCTTTTGACTGCTGAATTTGTCAAGGAGGTTAACGGCCTTATTGGCAATGCAAACAACTTGTTGACAGCCGACTTCGTGAAGGAGACGCGTGAGCTTATCGAAGCTGTCTCTCCTGTACTGACACCAGAGCTACTTGGTGAAGTCGGCACACTGCTTAACAACGCCAATGATCTCCTGACTGCAGACTTCGTTAAGGAAACGAAGTCGCTCATCAGCGCGGTCGGCCCGATCCTGACTCCAGAACTGCTGAAGGAGGTTAACACGCTATTGACTAATGCCAACAGCTTGTTGACCGCAAACTTCGTTAAGGAGACAACGTCTTTGATTGACACGGTCGCGCCTAATTTGACACCAGAGCTGTTCAAGGAGATCAACTCGGTCCTCAGCAATGCCAATGGCCTCTTGACACCGGGCTTTGTCAATGAGACTCAATCTTTGATCGAAACTGTTGCTCCTAACTTGACCCCCGAATTATTCAAGGAGATCAACTCGGTCCTGGGCAACGCTAATAGCTTGTTGACCACCGACTTCGTAAAGGAAACCAAGAGCTTGATCGGCGCCGTTGCCCCTGTACTTACACCAGCTGTTCTCGCAGAGGTTGCTGGCTTGTTGGGCAATGCCAATGACCTGCTCACACCGACATTCGTTAACGAGACTCAGGGCTTGATTGGCGCCGTGGCTCCAGTCTTGACCCCTGCTCTTCTGAAGGAAGTTGGCAGTCTCTTGGGCAACGCCAACTCTCTGTTGACCACCGGATTCGTTGATGAGACCCAGACATTGGTTGGTAATGCGAATGACCTACTGACGACCGATTTCGTCAAGGAGACCCGGAGCTTGATCGGTGATCTTTCACCGGTCATCACACCTCAACTGCTATCAGAGGTCTCAGGTTTGCTCGACAATGCGAACTCCCTATTGACAGCGAAGTTTGTCAATGAGACGCAAGGATTGATCGACGATCTCTCGCCAGTCATTACACCTGAGTTGCTCGGCGAGGTCGGCGGACTTCTCGGCAACGCAAACAAGCTTTTGACCACCAAGTTCGTTGAAGAGACCCAGAACCTGATTGATAGTGTAGCACCTGCAATCACTCCTGCTCTCCTCACGAAGGTGAACTACTTGCTGGGCAACGCAACGAATCTGTTGACACCTAATTTCGTCAATGAGACAAGCAACCTCATCGACGAAGTCTCGCCGATCCTGAGTGAAGTTGCGCCAATCCTTACACCCGAAATGCTTGGCGAAATCGGCGGCCTCCTTGGAAATGCCAACGACTTGTTGACTTCGAAGTTTGTCAACGAAACGCAAGTACTCGTTGAGGACGCTTCTGAGGTAAGTTTGTTCTAAAATAAACAACTGCACAGTGAGGCACAGACTAACTTTTCCTAGTTGCTTCCCGCTCTGGTTAAGGTCTTAGGATCGCTGTGAATGTAATGAGGCGTGATATTTGAAGGATATACGATCTGATGGACAACGAGTCTACTTAATCCTATGAGTAATTATGTGTTTGATGTTGATGCATTCAATGTTCATGACGTTCTGCGCTGCCGGTTCAACGTCAAGTACAGACGACGTCTTAATATTAGCAATAGCACATCCATAGTCAAAAGACCTCAAAAAAAGCCATGCCAGGTGGTGAAATTGGCTTTGCCGTATCGCAAAATCACCTCATCATGGTGTTCATGGATGAACGCTTCCTGAATATCTCTGAGCCCTGTAGAGAGCAACTGGCCCAATTTGCCAGTAAATTTGCCGAGCCGAATAAAATAATTCCATCGAAGTAGGACCGGATACAAGTCTGTCACCCAGAGATTCTGGATGAAGCAACCCTAAGAGGGTGCCGAAGACACAGTACGGCTTATTAGACTCATCACTGGGGACCGGTTTTCGTAAAGCGAGGCCGGAAGAGAAGGAGTTCAACCTGCTCGAGCGCCATCTGCTAATTGTTTGAGCATCAAGGTCACACAACGTGTCAACTCTCATTGTGTTTTCCCCTGTGAGGGATTGGTGGTGCCCTTTTGTTTGATGGCGTTGTTTGAAAATGTCCGTATTGTTTGTATAGATTTCTCCGGTTGAGCACAGGCTTTAGGACGGGATGTTCGAAGTCTTGACTTCCTGGTACTTGGACAAGACTTTCATCTCTGTGTTGCGTTCCTTGATCTTCTTGTCCATAGCTTTCTGGACTTCTTCGCGCTTCTTCTCGGCGTCTTCCAACTTTTGTTTCACTTCCCTTGCAGCTTGTTCTTGCGCCTTCAGGGCCGCTTCTGGTGTCGGGAATTCCTGGCGTAGTTGTTCAAGCTGGGAGCGTATTTCTTCTTCGTCGATGGGAGTGCAAGTAACTGGATGGTACTTGTGCGGCGGTAATGGTTCGCCCGGAATACGGATCTCAGGCAACAATTCATGAATCGCAGTGGTGCGGACAGGGGAGTCCTGCGGGACCGCCTTGGCTGTGGGTGAAGGCGTCGGCTCGGAAGGCGGAGAGAGAGGGAGTTGCTGATCCATGTTGATGTAGGTTATTGAAAGCTAGCGTTCACTAGACAACCATGTACAACTGTCGGCTTCGATAGGGTAGTTTGAGCCAGAAAATAGCGACGTCCCGCTGGTTGTTGAACCTTGAGGCGATGGGAGTTCTTGGAAGTCCCTGGGATTTTGTCGGTTGCCATTACTGCCATCTGCCAGTTCACCGCCATTAATAGTCACATGATCCGAAACGGTGCCCCGCAGCGCCATTTGTATTCCAATGAGCTTCCTTTATGGTTCGCAGCGATCATTGACTTGTCCTTACAGTTACTACTCGGAGGGCTATCTATACTGTCTATAAATATTCCAGAGCGCCCATCTTTTCAAGTCCTCAAACGTTAGCGCGTACGTGATCCTGATTAGATATGTCCAGGCGGTCAGTTCCTGCCGTCAGGGGGAAGCTCGCCGCCTTTGCTCCGGATGTGGGGGTTCGGAGAGGGCCTCGACCGGCAGCGCCTCTCAGGACATCGTGAAGCTACCCGGACACTCGAATAGATGAAAGACTAGTGATTCAGAGCCGTTTACTTCGCTTCGGGCTTGCCAAACATGCAGGCCTTCGGTATGTTACCCATTCTATATCTCATCAAACAAATCGGGTCACCAGAATAGATGACATGTCTTTTGGCAATTGCGCTAATGATGCAACTCTAGTCCCCAAGAACCGGAGAGTAAGTCGATCATGCTCGATCCATAGAAGTATTGAAGATGCCAATGCCAGATGCAGCCCCGGTTTGAGTTAATACTCAGAGTAAGAGTCCATGGATCACATCCCAAATGGCCTCCCAGCTAACTGCTATGATTATTGTAGATTATCGACCTCAATAATGTTCCACTCGTGAGCGGTACCGCTTTCGTCAAATGGCGCCTACCGTCATCTAGTGCGCCTGAACACCATGGACATACAGATAAGGCGATCATCATAGACCATCGGGCATATTGGAATTACGAGAAGGTCCTGCAGGTCAGGCTCACCATCGACCGCAACCAGACTTTACACGAATGCGAGTTGTATTTCGAAATTATTCAAGAGTTTGCGTCAGGAGGGAACAACGAGAAGAATCTGCTAGGAAGGATCAGACTCAACCTTTCCGAATATGTGGATAAGAGTGACGATGACGAGGGCATCGTCCGGAGATACTTGATGCAGGATAGCAAGATCAACAGCACACTAAAAGTTGGTATAGCCACACGCCAAGTTGAAGGGGATCGGAACTACATTACGTATGTCATATATTATGCCGGAAGACGCTTTACTCCCTTCGAGGAGCATATTGCTGATGACATTCAGGCCGCCTCTCAAATCAGCCATGGTCTTTGGCGGAATCGCTGGGGTTGTATCCTCTGAACAAGGCGAACATGACGACCTGGGTCGGCTTCCCTCGATCAACACCCAGAGTCGCGAAGTGACAGATATGCAAGACATGTACCGCCGCACGCTGGCTGCGTCTTGGAATTCTCGGGCGGACGATCTACCGGCCGACAAGCTGATTGAAGAACTGTTCTCCGGCGGCATTAGCTGGGCAGACGGCCATGATGCCCGTGCCGAGAAATCTATCGAGAGTCAGGCAGATCGACTGTCACCACATGGGCGCACAAGCGTCAGGCAAGCTTCATCAGACAATCGATTGTCTCCTTCCAATTTTGAGAGGCGACCAAGGAGTTCTTCAAGCAACCATTATCGCAATGATGTGAAAGGCACAGACTTTGCCCCAGCTGTTGATCATACCCGGAAAGGCGGGAGCATAGAGCAGCAACTGTATGACAACCCCAAAGGCAAGGCTTGGAAAAACCGTACTTCGGAGTTTGAACTGTCGGAGTTCGATGTGCGCGAGGATTTGCGGAGTTGGGAGGTCATGAACAAGGAGTGATTCAGTATGGTTCTTCGTGGCGTTAAGCAGTCTCTTGTATAATACCCCTATGACTTTTACTCATGCCTCTGTTCTTCAAAATGTCTGCTTTCTCACTTGTGGCACCAAAATGTCGGGGTAGATAACTGCCCCATGTAAGCGTAGTCTCCGATAACCATATCGATTATCGAGGAACTGCTTGGGTGGATCCACAAGACGGACTAGTCCGCTTCAAGACTAGCGGGTATTTCAGATTGCATCAATCCGAGCTTCAACTTTCAGTCCCGGGCTTTTCTTGGACTCCGGTCTGGTGTGTTCGTTTCGTGGTCCATATGCTGTCTCGATCTTCCAACAGTGCAGCAAGTCTTTTAGGCTGCCGGCTGCTCCCAGAATGCAGAGCAAGCTTTCTCCCTCCCTCCTTGCGCCGGCATAATGTATCTATCCGGTTCGAGTCCACCGAAACTGATGCCAATGACGACGAGACGCCGCCGCAACATGTATCTTCGCGCCGTACCCCCGGCCACAACCGTCTTCAGCACCGGCTCAAACGGAGACTGGGTAAAAAAGTACCGATTTCTGTTACCTCGCTTGGAAATCCTGGTGAAGTAGTAGTTGTCAAAGATCGGCAACGTCGTCGACTACGCATAGCCAAGGACGAACCGAAGGAAGTCACCGACAAAAATGCGCTTCCCCTCTTTCTGAGAGAAATAGAGAATGACGATACTTTTGTTGATAGCGAACTACTCAAAACTCGTGTTGAAAGTTTCCGTCTCGACTACGAACCCCACCACAAGTTGCCCGTTGCCGATTGGAAGGAGCTCCGAAACAAAATGCAGTCGTCATTTACCTATCGGCAGTTATTGGACTATATAATAGAATCGAAGGAGAACGATTTGGATAATGACGGAACACCAGAGACAACACCCACGCGCTGGACACCTGGAGTCTCCGAGTTTCTTGAAACCAGTTATCTTTCCCGAAAAGGTGTCGCCGATAGAGTTGCGGCGTCGCAAGGCCTCAAGGGGAAGTATCTACTGGCTGAAAGGATACTCCGTGACTGCTGGCATCTTGGAGTCCTTGATGAGGTTGGTCAGCTAGATATACAGCTGCCGACGCATATACTGTCTCTGCTCCTCAGTTCGCAGCACTTTTCTTTCGAAGAATTAGCCAACTTGCACGACGCAAAGATCGATGTCACGCATTCGCTTGGTCTCGTGAGGATTACGGGGATGCAGCGTATCTGTGAATCAATTAGTGAGATTGTACACGATGCCACTGCTAGAGTCCGACAGGAAAGCGTTGAATTGCCACCCGACGAAACGAAAACGAAAGTCAACAACCGCATCTTTACTCCAGAATTTCTCTCGTGGATGACCAAAACCTATAGAGTAGCATTTGAACAAAATACGCCACATACGCCAAGCCAAATCTACTATCTTGCCGAAGACAAACAGGATGCAGATAATGCCCGTAGGGCCCTGCACCTTGCCTATTACAGTGGGACTGCTCCTGCTGTACCTTTCAGCACATACCTACCCTCAACCGAGCCAGCCAGCGTCCATGACATTGATCCCGAGAGCAACACATCATGGTTCGAGAGGCAAAAGGCATGGTTCCGATGGGCCACGCCAGCAACTCAGTCTGACGAGGTAAAGCCCTCAGACACAGAATTGTTCGATAACCATCAAACACGGGTATCCGACGAGCTTTTCAAGCTACTTCGACAGAAATCATCCGTCACTCATCAGGCACATCCTGAAACCGGCGCCGACTACCATGAATCCATCACAGCAGCAGTCGGCAAATGTCTCTTCCTGCGCAAGCCATTCTTCGAAGAGAGCTCGGTCAACGCTTCTCAGCTCGGCAGGATGTCACTCCCAAGGACCTTCACCACCGACATACCTCGCGCAGCCCAATTTCTCCGCACTCTCACTCCCAAACCAGTAGACGAACACCAACAAGCCTACCGCATTCGGCTAGTCCCATCAGCTCTTAACGCCAACGTCTTCCCCCAACTTGAGCTGGAAGTCACTGCCAAAACAAGCAGCACACCCGAAGATACAACACCCGAATTCTCCATGCGCAGCGCAAAACTCGTTATCTCCGAAAGCAACGTCGACTACCTCCTCCCCGAGAACGGACTTGACCTCCGCTTCACTCGCAAACTCACCCGGGAGCTCCTTCCCCAGGCCCAAGACAGCAACTCCTTCTCCCTCTCAAACATCGAGGAATCCCTCCGAAACCTCTTCTCCCGAACTTCCACAACAGACAAAGAACTACCTCTCCCCCCGTTCACACAAGTCACGCTCCCCCGCGATATTCTTCCCCAGGACGCCGCCGACAATTCCGCAGAGTACATCTTCCTCCCCGTCAGCGATATCCGAGGAACTCGTATTCACAAGTACGATTTCCGTGGGCAGCAGCTGGATTATGCTTTCTACGAGAGCGGACCGTTCAACCCGTACCGTACCACGGATTTGTTCCTGAACATGGATATGACTGACGGTTCTGCGTCGGCTGAGTCCTCCGCTGATGTTTCTTCCGAGAGCGTGTCGCGGGATGCTGTTGCATCTAAGGATAAGTTCCACACATTCTATAACACTGCTTGTGCGTTGGCTTTCGAGTTGGATAGAGCGAGGCGCTTGGGAGCTGTTTGGAATGATACTATTTGAGTTAGGCTGGCGGGAAGCAGTGTTCAATGTATAAATAGATCTTTATTTGACGAAATATGTACAGTATGATATAACTTGTAATCGGGAAAGAATATGCCCCTCTCTGCTTCGTTTTGATGTGCTATATAGTAGCTAGTCCCAACGTCTGATACAAACAGGTTTTCTTTGATCGCAAAATATGTTTCCGTCACGGTCCCCGAAAGCCAATGCATAACATCCGATACTACTAGTGACTCAGACATCTCTAGCGCTCATTGCGGTTTAATCAAAGACTTATATAAAGACTCATCTCTATAAGTTACCGACCGATAATTACCTTTTAACTGACTCAAATTCCGATGATGTTGTAAAAATCTTGAATACCTCTCCGAAGACCATCCTCCCATGCCGCAGAATTCTCCCCGAGCTGCTCCGGGTCTATATCTCTTTTGCGCTGCTGGACCCACAACTCTATATCATAGATCTTGTCTGCACCTTTTCGCGGAGCCAAGATGCCCTGAACAGCAGCGCCAAAGAAGCGCAACGCATCATCGTATCCCAGGTTCCAGCCATGGACGAAGCTTTGACGTTCGTTCGAGCCCCAAGATTCCGAGACTTGCGACAAAACCTTTTCCTGGAATCCTGATCGTTCGGCTTTGGCTTTGTTGATCTTCTCTCGGACCTCTGTTTCGGGTAGCATCATTTGGCTAGGTATTTGGATTTTACCGATTGAGATGTCGCTCTTGAACTGAGGGATGTCGCTTTCGCAGCCCTTGAAGACTCGTTTGTTGCATTGAGCTTGGTTGTCGTCGATGTATACAGGCAAACATGCGTCAATGGCATTGGCTATCTTGAGGATTTCGTCGTAGCATTCGCACATGTCAGGGGCAGGTTCACATCCGGAGGATACTGAAAGTCCGACCACCGCGGACATAGAATGGAAGGTTATTTCTTGAGCAAGAAAAGCGACGCAGTCCCGAGCTATTGTCCGATCTTTCGCACTGGCACAGAGGTTTATACCGCTGGCGCTGGCCTGGAAATCAATGAGGATTCCGATACCGTGAAACCAACATTTTTCGATTAGATGCTTCACAGTACTCCAGCAATGGTGGTACACCTCTGATGGATCCCCTTCAAAGGCTGTTCCCCGACAGAACAGGGGTCCGAGGGAGTAGAAGCTCAATGGTAAACGGAGTGTTCTGCATTGCGCTACATCCTTGAGCCAGACGAGGTCATCGTCGGTCAATGCAGAGTGCCAGTGGGATTCCCACTTCTGTCTTGTTTGCTCGAGTCCAGTGGATGCTAATGACCTGGTTATGACATACTACTATTTAGTACCTATAGAAGAGACATGATGACCATAAAGGATGTTCTTAATGTGGTTTCTAGCACCTACGTTTTCAGTAACTGTAATTCATTTGACTCGCCAGTATTATCGTGCGGACCGAGTACAAAGGTAGATCCCAGGTTCGCTCCAAACTGCTGCCGGAAGCGGTAGATGTCCTGATCCCTGGGCGGAATAGGACAGTATAGTTCTGACATATCAACAACGACGCAGTGAGGGTGATTCAATGAGTAGGTACGACAACTATTAAGTATTGTTGGTCAGGTGACAAGGATGTCTATAAGAACGACAGATCAAATATGGTATAAGATGTATTGAAAATCACGTGTAAGTGGTGACACAGAACCAGATCAGATGAAGAGTAATTAATCCACCAGCAGTATTATATGAGTTGTGGTGGATGATGAAGTGTTATGGGTGGCAGCACTTGACCCTGTACCTTAGATCAGATGAGTTTCCCGAAATGGAAACCCCTCACAAGCAATGGCTACCCGTATGGGGAGGGGAAACATTCATCAAGCTCGGAGATTTCGGGGCAGTGAATAGAGGGCCACGTAAGAATTCCTAGTAAACCCGGGAATTTGAGCGTGCAAGACAGATTAGAAGTCAGAGCCAGAAAACATGGTGATGGAGGGGAAAAGAATAAAGAGAAACCGGTGCGAGCAAACCATAGGATCGCCGGGCGGGACTGACGTAGTTGGAAGACTGGACTCTGGCTTTAAAGGCTTTTTGGAGAACTGATGGATGGTTCACTGCCATTCGGGCTAGCGAGGGGCTCCGCATTTGGCCGAGTGTCCGTGCTGCTGTTGCTGCTGAAAATGTCGCCTGTCATCCTTCGCTTCTAAGCCTCGCTCCTCTCCAGTTACATGTTGTGAGCCGTTTTTGATTACTTGCACTTTTCTCTCTCGTTTAATTTTCTTGGTTTCACCGGTCGGTAGCTACAGCAGTCTCTGACCGTGCTGCAAATCCGTGGTGCCCAATCGGTGTGTGCTCAGTCATGAATCTGATGCAGACCGAGTAACAGGCAAGGCATGGAGCGAACACGGGTCGCTAAGGTCAGTGTTATTTGAGTGCCGCAATCCAGCAGTATGGCGCACCATAATGAGATATCCCAACTAACGGCTTCTGTGATGCTTCAGGTTGAAGATGTGACCTTGGCGCGCCGAGGCGAGCAAGTGGTCGGCACTCTCCACCTCACCCCTCACCATATCATCTTTTCCCACACTCCTCCTCCCTCCTCCACCGACACGTCTCAGGCTCCGGGCCCTTCTGGCCGGCCTAAAGAGCTCTGGATTACATACCCCATAATCTCCTTGTGCACCTGCCGCCCCACCCCCGCCGCATCCCGCCAGCCGTCCTCCATTCGTCTCCGGTGCCGCGATTTCACCTTTGTCTGCTTTTATTTCACCACGGAGAGCAAGGCGCGTGATGTATATGAGACCATCAAATGCTGGACCTGTAAAGTGGGCCGCATTGATAAGCTGTATGCGTTCTCGTACCGCCCTCCCCCTCCTGAACTGAAATTCAATGGCTGGGAGCTGTACAATCCTAGCAAAGAATGGGCTAGACAAGGCGTCGATCAGGCTGGTTCTGGCTGGCGTGTATCTCAGCTGAATGCAGATTACGGGGTAAATATATACACGAGCATTACCATGTGAATTGTTGTGTTGACTCTCACCTTCCAGTTTTCTGCCACATACCCGGCTCTACTACCGGTTCCCTCTGCCATCTCCGACAATACACTGAATCACGCTGGAAAATATCGGTCTCGAGCGAGAGTGCCGGTTCTTACATACCTTCATCCGGTGAACAATTGCTCCATCACACGGAGCTCACAGCCTCTTGTGGGTGTGCGTCAAAACCGAAGTATCCAAGACGAAGCGTTGCTAGCAGCCATATTCTCAACCTCACGCTCAGAGAGACCTCTTGCAAGCTTCACCCCGCCTGGCTTCGATTCGGATTCCTCCAATTCGACCTCAGAAAACGCCTCACGCAGTCATATGCTGGCTGATCTGACTGTCCCTGATGACTTGGAAGCTGAGATGTTGACGTCCGTCCGCGGGGATCCGGAGGAAAAGCCCCAAATTTATGGCGCCCAACAGCACAATCTCATTGTTGATGCTCGTCCTACGGTCAATGCCTTCGCCATGCAAGCTGTTGGACTTGGATCGGAAAACATGGACAACTACAAGTTTGCCACGAAGGCTTACCTTGGAATTGACAATATCCATGTGATGAGAGACTCATTGAGCAAGGTGATTGATGCGCTCAAGGATTCGGATGTAACTCCACTGGGCCCCAATAAAGACCAGCTTGCACGGAGTGGATGGCTAAAGCACATTTCCGGAATTCTAGACGGTGCTCGGTTGATTGCTCGGCAGGTTGGGCTTCAACATTCGCACGTCTTGATTCACTGTTCAGATGGATGGGATCGTACGAGTCAGTTGAGTGCACTGAGCCAAATCTGCCTCGATCCTTACTATAGGACGATGGAAGGCTTTATGGTACTGGTGGAGAAAGATTGGCTTTCTTTCGGTCACATGTTCAGACACAGATCAGGCCATCTGAACAGTGAAAAGTGGTTCCAGATAGAGAACGAGCGAATTGGAGGAGATTCTAACCGTGGATTCGGCGAAGGCGGTGGTGCAGGCAGAGCCCTTGAGAATGCTTTCTTAAGTGCCAAGGGGTTCTTCAACAGGGATAATAACAGCCGCGATGCACTTGCCGAATCGGACGGCGAGATGCAAAGCTACGACGCAGAAAATATGAAGAAGCCTAACAATGCTATACCCAGAACTGCAGCCGCCGAAAAGGAAGTCACCAAGGTGAAGGAGACGAGTCCAGTCTTCCATCAGTTCCTTGACGCAACCTATCAGTTGCTATACCAATATCCTACCCGATTCGAATTCAACGAGCGGTTCCTGCGCCGGCTCTTATACCACCTCTATTCATGCCAATTTGGAACCTTTCTCTTCAACAGTGAGAAGGAACGCGCAGATTGGAACGCGAAGGAACGAACTCGGAGCGTGTGGGACTACTTTCTGGCGAGGAGGGAGCAGTTTACCAACCCACAGTATGAGCCTCAGATCGACGACCATAAGCGTGGGCAAGAACGACTGATCTTCCCCCGAATCAACGAGGTCAGATGGTGGAGTGAGTCGTTTGGTCGAACCGATGCGGAGATGAACGGCGTGCGATCCTCTGGTTCTAGGCCGCCCAATGGGCGTGACGCCACTAGTACTCAGCCGTCGCCAGTGTTGACCGGCATTGAAACCGCCAACCATTCTCTCGGCGCTGGATCGTCTGGGAAAGATGCCTTGAATGCGGCCTCCACTGGAATGGCGGCAGTAACCGCAGGAATCTCGAACTTAGCCTTCTCTAAGAGCAAAGAGGACGGGCAGGATTCTAAGAGCATAAATCGCATGGAGATGGAGATGCAGTAACTCCATGCAACGAGATCTCTGATGATGATGTGATGGAGAAGAACGAGAGAAAGAGTCTGGTTACAAGATAGTGGATCTACGCTGATTTATGGTGGGCGATTTGAGTATGTCGGGTTCGAGCAAGACAGTTCGTATCATCTCTGCGATGTATGCTTGTGGATCTAGTGCGTGCTTGGGACGTTGCATCTCGGGGGAGGTAGAATACAGTTTACAGACAGAGCGAGAGACAGAGAGAAGTTAATGATTCAATGAATACAAAAGAGCGGGAACCAGCAGAATGCATACAGATGCTGGATTAGGGATATGGGCTTTGATTGTCAGTTCCAGTTTGTGATCTTGGATTGAGTTCCATAGTTACTGTAACTAGAACCACTAGAAACAATGATAAGTAATGCCTGAGCCCCTGAAATCTGAGGCAGAAAGCGGGATTGTACACTAAGGGGCTTGGCGGCCCGAAGAGGGAAGGTGCCCGCCGAACAGCAAGCGAGGTTGAGCCCTAGCCCAGAAGGGCCAGCAGAAGCCCTAAAGGCAAAAACTGCCCACTAACGCCGGCTCTCTCAAAACTGACTTGACCGCCGCCGCCCATTTCGCCCTCGCACGACACACCCCCAACCTACGCCCTCGGCCGTTTCTTCGCCAATTCAATAAAACAGAAACGCAATCATGGCTGCTGTCCAGGGAGCTATTTCGAAGCGCCGCAAGTTCGTCGCCGACGGTGTCTTCTATGCCGAGCTGAACGAGTTCTTCCAGCGCGAGCTGGCTGAGGAGGGATACTCCGGCGTCGAAGTCCGTGTCACTCCCACCGTCACCGACATCAGTACGTCCGCCCGATATTTCATTTTGCATTTGATTCCAGATCCTGTGTGTTGTGTTGGAAAAGGCCGGAAATTGGAGATTGGAAGAATCGACCGGGGAAAAGAATGGTGATCCGGGAGGAGGAAAAGAAAAACAGTTATCGGAATACGGCCGGGAATATCAACCAACCACGGGGAACTACTGGAATTGGAGACAATTTTATATACAAAGGAAGATGGAATATGTGCCAGTTGCTAACGGATGCTTTCTTTACAGTCATCCGTGCCACCCACACCCAGGAGGTTCTCGGTGAGCAGGGCCGCCGCATCCGCGAGCTCACCTCCCTCATCCAGAAGCGCTTCAAGTTCCCCGAGAACTCCGTTTCCCTCTATGCCGCCAAGGTCCAGAACCGCGGTCTCTCCGCCGTCGCTCAGTGCGAGTCCCTCCGCTACAAGCTCCTCAACGGTCTGGCCGTCCGCCGTGCCTGCTACGGTGTTCTCCGTTTCATCATGGAGAGCGGTGCCAAGGGTTGCGAGGTCGTCGTCTCCGGAAAGCTCCGTGCTGCCCGTGCCAAGTCCATGAAGTTCACTGTACGTCTACCAACAGCGATTGATTTTGTTTTTCGAATGGTCGGATCGGTCCCGAAGCAGTGGTGGAAGTTGCGCATATCCAACGACAACGATGCCTACTACGATCTGCAACAACGAAGCGACTGTGCAAGGACCGGACCGAAGCTCTACACCATTCGAAACACTCCATCATATGCATGCTATAACAGTATCAGAAAACTAACAACCATTCTTCTCAATAGGACGGTTTCATGATCCACTCCGGTCAGCCCGCCAAGGAATTCATCGACAGCGCTACCCGCCACGTTCTCCTCCGCCAGGGTGTCCTCGGTATCAAGGTTAAGATCATGCGCGGTTCCGACCCCGAGGGCAAGGCCGGTCCCCAGAAGACTCTCCCCGATGCCGTCACCATCATCGAGCCCAAGGAGGAGCAGCCCGTCCTGCAGCCCATGAGCCAGGACTACGGCGCCAAGGCTCTTGCCGCTCAGCAGGCCGCCGAGCAGCAGCGTCTGGCCGAGCAGCAGGCCACCGAGGCCCAGGAGGGTGCCGGTGCCGAGGCTTACGCCCAGGAGTAAAGAAAAAAATACATTCCAAACAAAAGAATTTCATTTGGTTTTTTTCTTCTCCATTAGGCCCTGCTTCTCTTCTTCCTTGTTCTCGAATATCATCTTCGTTACCTAGTCTCTCTCCTGTCCCGCCCCTTAACCTAACCTAACCTAACTCAAACCTCTTCTATATCTCTTACCTATGACGCATCCAAATAAACAACTACTTTGATGACCTCTAAGCTGTTTATATCACCCTTCTCTTTCCCGTCAACAACGGGGAGGGGGAGATAGTTGCGCCTTCTGTGATTGTATTTTCTGCCTGGTGGAATATCTAGGCGGAAATGGAATGAGAAGATGGAACAGGTTGAAGAGTTGGGTTTTCCTTTCTCATCGGCTTACGTCATAGGCTGGGTCAGGGTAGGACCTGGATTTCATTGATACCTAGTACCTAGGGCACGTGGGAAAAAGAGATTGTTTGGTCTACTAGTAGTGGAACTGTGTTTATTCGTAGGAATATGTAGTCATGTTACACGTAGTTGCTTTCCTATATATTATAAAGAATATATATTATCGGCTAAGCGCATGATCCTGCCCGTTTCAAGTTGCCCCATAGGCCTACTACTTCTGTACCTAGTGCTATAGCAGGAGTTCCCCTGGTGGTATTAAACTCAAGAAGTAAAAACAAAAAAAGATCGATCATGGCATCAGCTATTTTTCTATGTAACATCTATCGTCTACGCATGACTTGGCTTTGTTTCAACACCGTCGCTTACAAGAAAGCTTCAACGTTGATCTCCAAAGTGCTGACGGGGTACTTCAACTCGTAGTTCTCCAACACTGTCGGGTGCAGGATACCGAAGGCACCGATGACGTGCTCCTTGCCAGCTATGCGCACGTGAACGGAGGCGGCGTGTCCGGGGAAGTAGGTGGGTTCTAAGGCATCCGGTTAGTAAACGATATCCTGCGAGAGATGTGATCCTTTTGACATACCGTCCAGCTCTTCAATCCAGTACTGGGAGTCAGCCATGGCGGGGTTCTCAAGGCCTTCCTCGCCGGTGATGAAAGCGCTCTTGAGCATGGCCATGACGCGGTCCAGGAGACCGTGGACAACCTCGAATCCACTCGTCTTGCCATACCAGGCAGCGGCAAAGTGCCTCTCGTTACGACTCTTGCGCTCCAGAGACAGGTCCTTGAAAGCGACATCGCTGACCTCGAAGACCTTCATGGGCACGGTGTGATGCTTGTTCTCACGGATGGTCTTGAGCAGACCGGGCAGCAGGCTGGTGCGGACAACCTGGAACTCAAGGGTCTTCGGGTTGGCCAGCTTGACGGCGGTGTTACCGTCGTCCTTGCGGTTGAGCCAAGCGAAGTTCTCGTCGTGCGAGCACAAGATCAGGGGCAGCACCTCAGACCAGCCTGCCATGGCAGCCTCCATGCGCACAATATCGCTGAGCTTGTTGATGGGGAGAGGTTGGGCAATGGTACCGGACTTGCTAGGGAAAGACCGGGGAAGGTTGTTGAAGCCATAAGCGATGGCGACATCCTCCATGATGTCGGCTTGGTGGAGCACGTCAGCTCTCGTCGGAGGAATAAACACATCAATCAGGTCCTTAGAAGCGGCAGAGGGCTTCGCATCGTAAGCCATCTTCTTCAGGAGCGTGCAGATCTCTTCGGGGGAGAGCTCCAGTCCGCAGCACTGGTTGAGGTAGGAGACCTCGGCCTGAGTCGTACGGGGCGCAATGTCGGGGACGACTCTAGTCTCGTTGTTGTGATCAGAGATCACCTTAACTGGCTCAATCCTATTTGTTCAGTGAGCATGGGTCCGAGGTCAGAACCGAGAGGAAGGGGCATACGTGAAAGGCTCCGAGGTGTATTGAGAGAACATGGACACAATGATCCGGTTAACAATCTCGACCTTAGTCTTGTCAAGTGCAGTGATTTCGATGAAGACGTTCTTGGTGTCCAGGGTAATCTTGGAGTGATCGCCGTTGATGATAGGAGGAAGAGAGCAGACGGTTCTCTTGGAGTCGTAGATCACTGGGTAGACGGGAGAGTCGCGGATGATGTGGAGGTACTTGCCCAGGTGCTTGTCTTTCTGTTATATAGTGAGCACCTAGCTTGTTCGTCTCGTCAGGCACTTGTGGGCCATACCTCGTAGAAAGCCATCAACTCCTCGCCGTTCATTTCTTTCGTCTGGTTAAGAGGGACAAACTTGATGTCCTTCGGGGGAAGGGCCTCGTATGTGAAAGGTCCCTGGATGGTGTCCAGATCGTGGGTACCGATGGAAACAAGGGTTCTTTGCCTGGCGAGGTTCTGGTGAAGCTTGTCTTGCAGGGCGATGAAGGATTCGTAACGCGCTTGATCGAACTTGATGTTGCGGAGAATGGCACCGGAGACGAGGGGACGAATCTTCATAGTCTACGCTGATATATTAGTTTCACTCAGATTGAGCCATATTTCCGGTCGTTAACATACGTCCTCCTTGACGATGATGGTCTGGAGTTCACCATTGGCAGGCTCAACCAGCTTGTAGTTGGGGAGAGGCTGACGGCCCAGGAAAATGTTGAGCATGAGGGCGATACCCTCGAAGCACAGCAGGTCATATCTGGATACCTCTCAGTATGTGTACTCTGAACCATTAAAGTTATCGCGGGTGCGTACCGGTTGGCGGGGATCTCGATCTTGAGCTGCGGGGGTTCCTGCTTGCCGTTCACGATCGGTCTGTCCGAGTTGGTAGTCTGTATTTTGGATCAATACTATGACTCTCAAGAGGCGAGTACGGTTGGAGGAGAATTTACGTCTTCGTCGAGTTCAATTCCTGTGGTAAAGTAGCAGTTAGCGCATTGCCCCGCCAAACCCGGTTCAATATGTCCGACGTACCGAATTCGAAGCACAGCTCGTCGAACTCCTCGGTGGTATAACTAGCAGAGGTTGGTCAGCATGAAAAAGGGGATCCAAGGGAATATAGTGCGCATACTCCCGACCGAGCGCCTTGAAAAGCGCCTCCTTGTCAACGGAGATGGTAGGCATGGCGATGAGCGGGGGAGGTTTAAGACAGGGTAACAAGAAAAGTTGAGAGGAAGAAGAAAACCAACAGACTGCCTGAGGGTAAGGATAGTCTGTGTAGATCCCACCACGAGGTCAACCGCAAGTATTCAGCGGGGGAAAAAGGGACGGGCAACAGGAGCGCTGGGCTTTAAATCGGACTGTATGCCACCGTTTGGGTAACTCTACAGTTAGTCTAGTCGGAGTCATAAAGTCTTTTGTTCCCCGTTGGGGCTTGACCCTCTGTGAGGGCGGCGGGCAAGCCACTGAAACATGCACCGCCACAAGGCCATCACCCCTCCTTTTTTTTCTCTTTGTTCGAACCTCACCGGACTCGGACTGCCGTACGGGACAGTACACCGCCTGCTTGCGCTCTCACCGTCACCAGCCACAGCCCGGCCTCCAAGTCGAAAGCAACCTCCAGCAAGCCCATCTCGTCACCTTCGCAATTCCCCCCCTCCCACGGATTAGCTTGATATCACCTCTTACAAGTCTTCTATTCTACCCCCTGTCGCATCATATACGGGGCTCTTTTGTCTTTCACGGTCATCTTAGATTGGACCATATTCCCTGTTTGGTCCCGGTCCAATTGTCGAGGTATGATGATAATGATGTTCTTGCTGCTGTTGTTGCTCAAGTGTCCTGCGGCGGCCCAAACCCCACGAAACCTCGCTCCGGGGTTCTCACTCACCCTCTACTATCTCCTCCTCTCCATCCCACCACGCTTCCCCCCGCTAACTCAATACTTTTCCACCTTTGTATAGGCTCTTAGCATCCTCCTCCTTCTTCACGATATCCCCGCCCCCTTTTGCCGGATTGCCTTTCTTCCTAGGAAATATTCGTCGTGTTCGCGTGCGAGCGGGTCGGATCGTAGCCTGAACGAGGACTTGGACCGGTCACATCCTTGCCTCTCTGCGTGTTTCCCTAACTTTCAACCTCACACTTATACATCATTTTCGCAATGGAGGGCCAAGGAGAGAACGACGAGCTTTACCCTATCGCTGTCCTTATTGATGAGTTGAAGGTATAGTTGCCCTCGTGATCATCCTATCCCTGACGCACGACATCGGCAGTCCTGATCCTTTGAATGCCATAGCATGACGATGTACTCCTCCGCCTCAATGCCATCCACCGTCTGTCTACTATCGCCCTGGCCTTAGGGCCTGAGCGGACCCGGGAAGAACTTATCCCTTTCCTTGATGGTTAGTACCGTCAACGCAAGAAGGATAGCTTTCTGGTCAAAAATGTTTCCCCTAACTCTTGCGCCTTAGATTCTGTCGAGGATGAAGATGAGGTTTTGACTGCACTGAGTGAAGAGCTCGGCAATTTCATAGAGTATGTCGGAGGTCCGGAGTACGGGCACGTACTCCTCTCTCCGCTTGAGAACTTGGCTGCTATTGAAGAGCCTCTGGTCAGAGAAAAGGTTGGGGAGCTGCAACCGATCTCTTTTGTGTTATCCTCCCTTCTTACTGACCTTGTTTCAGGCCGTTGAATCCCTCAATAAGATCGGTGAGCAGTTGTCCGAGAAGCAGATCGAAGAGAATTTCATCCCGATGGTTCTACGCCTGTCGAAAGCCGACTGGTTCACCTCGAAGGTTTCCGCGACCGGCCTCTACTGTGTCCCGTATAGGAAGGCTTCTCCGTCGTCACAGCAGACCCTTCGGCAATACTATGGAGGTCTCGTACATGATGACACACCGATGGTGAGGAGACAGTCGGGCAACAACTTGGCGAAGTTTATCAAAGAATTGAATACCCAAATCGTTATCGACGAGATGATACCCCTGTTTCAGCACCTTGCAACAGACGAGCAGGACAGTGTGCGCTTGCTTACAGTGGATGTTCTCATCTCGATCGCGGAAGAGATCCCCAAGGAGCAGCAGCCCAGCCATGGTGTCCTTTTGACCTCCTTGCGCAACCTGTTCGAGGATAAGAGTTGGAGAGTTAGGTATATGGTTGCTGATAGATATGAGAAGGTATCATCTGTCCCGACGATGCTCATTCGGCCGTGCGTTGTGTTGTTCTGACCTCGTTGGTAGATCGCTAAAGCCGTGCATGAAGAGGTTGTAACTCGTGATATGGTTCCCTCTTTTGTCAAGCTTCTGAAGGACACCGAAGCCGAAGTCCGCACTGCCATTGCTGGACAGATTCCAGGTATGATTCTCGCCTACTTTAGGACCTTACAAGGACTAACTGGCTGTTAGGCTTCTGCAACCTGATTGACCGAGACACATTGCTCAACGAAATCATGACTAGCGTGGAAGACCTTGTCTCTGATCCATCTCAGCATGTGCGTGCCGCGCTTGGTACTCAGATCAGCGGTCTTGCACCGATACTCGGAAAGGAAGAGTCAGTACCACCGATTCGCAGACGCCGATTAACCAGGTTACTCACAAGTCATGTCCAGGACCATTGCGCACCTCCTCCCGATGTTTTTGCAGATGCTCAAGGACGAGTTCCCGGATGTCCGCCTTCATATCATCTCCAAGCTGGAATTGGTCAACAAGGGTGAGACGAACAACTCGCGTCCATCATTTGAAGAATTCGCGATCTAACTGTTATAGTTATCGGCATCGATCTTCTCTCACAGTCACTTCTCCCGGCTATTGTCCAGCTGGCTGAAGACAAGCAATGGAGAGTGCGTCTCGCAATCATCGAATACATCCCCTTGCTTGCAAGCCAATTGGGAGTCAAGTTCTTCGACGAACAGCTCAGCGAACTTTGCATGGGCTGGCTCGGTGATACAGTTTTCTCTATCCGCGAGGCTGCTACTCAAAATCTGAGGAAGCTGACGGAAGTGTTTGGTGTTGACTGGGCTAAAGGCTCTATCATCCCTAAGGTGATGGGGATGGGTCAACACACCAACTACCTGTACAGAATGACAACATGCTTTGCCATCTCCGTATGTTGATTAATCGTCCCTACAGACGTTGCCTTGCTAACCTTATCCAGACTCTCGCACCCGTTGTTTCTCTGGACATCATCGAGAACTCGATCCTCCCCATCTTGGATCGACTTGTCTCGGACGAGATTCCTAATATCCGTTTCAATGTGGCCAAGTCTTATGCCGTGCTGATTGATACCCTGCGTCGCCTCCCTACAGAGGGAACCCTCACAGATCTGGAGAAGGCAGGTAAAACTGCCACGCCATCCCCGCGGGGTCAGGATCTCATCCAGCAAAGAATCCTCCCCAGCTTGGAGAAGCTGCAGGAGGACGAAGATGTTGATGTTCGGTACTTCGCAACGACTGCCGCAGGCGGCCACGAGGAAGTCATGCAGACTTCACCGTAGGCTACTTTCCCACCTCGGCGCAGGCCAACACCTGCTTGTTGATGCAAAGCACCTTGGGTGTGAGTGGGAATAATACCAACGGCACTCGCACTAATTTGGGTGGAATTCAGTTTTGTCAAACTTAGAAATAGTCAGAGCGTCTGACTGGTACGAAATGCTCATGGCGTTCTAAATGTAGATTCTTTTGGTCCACGATTAACCCTCCTGCAAAAATTCCTCTTATGTTTCCCGAAAATGTAATTGCAAATGTGTAGCATCTGAATGCTACTTCATGAGAATAGCTGATTTGAAGCAGCGAACAACTTGGTAGATACCCTTCAGTATCATGTGATCCCGAGGGCCTAGGATGCGCTATTTCCGAAAAGCCGTCGGTGTAAGCCAGGCATCCGTTTATTTAATCTTTAGTCCACGTGTAGTTCCTGAGTCTGAGAGGTTGCTCGATATCTCCAAACCGCCATTGACGCTGCTGGACGCCGCATTTTATTACTCTTGTTGGTTTATTTCCCCGCAGCCGTGACTACGATGTCGTCTACTTGGCCGTGGCATTTCACGTCTCTCTCAGACGCTGAGAAGCAGCAACGCCGGGAGCTTCTTGATTTACGTGGACTCTACGCGCAGTGCTCCGTGTTGGTTGCTCTTGTTTTGGTTCGAGTATATAAGAAGTCCTTTAGCGAAGCCCCTGGCTCCGAAAAGCCAGCCGAGAGGCGCTCGCGGCGAAAGAATTCGGAAAAATCATGGTTGGATACGCCCCCAGTTGCTGGCTGGATGGAGACCCGAAGACAATACATTGTCTGTCTCATCTGGCTTGGCTGGCTTCTGAGTCTTTGCATCTGGAATTCTGGTGAAGGTGGGTCAATAATTTCTATCATAATTCTTGATACTACTAGTACCCGAGCTTGGGGCATTGGGCAACAGGATTACATTTGTCTGGGCTCCGATTTGCCAGAAATCTACACTTTGTGTTCATCTAAGCTCCCGCTAACTACAACAATCCTCTGTCTTCTATTCTTCTATCACCCACATCGTGGAGACGAAAGCTAAGCCATTGTTGGTGTAAACAGATTATCTCCACTTCACCAAAGCTCTAGCCCATGTCAGCCTCTCCCAGCTCCCCTTGCAGGTGCTCATGTCACCGTCCTTGTACATGAGTCCATCACCAGGATCACCGTCCGTCGTGTCGGTTATCACATCCGTTCCGCAGCCGACCATTAACGCCTACCATCGTCTATTTGGTCGAATCGTTCTTGCGCCGCGGCTCATTGCCCACGCTTTCATGTACGATTCTTTCTTCCTGCAGTCGAGCTACCCTGGCTTCAGCTCGCTCTTTGCGAAGCGTATCTGGGATTCTGATGTTCAGTGGGGTGTCGCTGCAGCCACCATGGTGGGCGCGGTCGCTCTCTTTGCGCGACCGGCAGCCATGCCTAGCTGGGTACGCTGGTTGAAACCGACTTCTGCCAAGTCCAGACAGCAGGTGTTTTACCTTGTGCATGTGTCCATCGTGGGAGCCCTGGAACTTGCAGCGTTCTGCCATGTTTCGGTGGCGCGCACCTATATCCTTGAGTCTTTTGCGAGCTCCGCGATCAATTTCGCCTGTTGCTATATGATGCAATAGACTGTCTTTTGTGAGGTCTGGCATGTTCGTTGCTGAAAAGTGATGTTAGATCAGCGAATCATCAGAGTTGTGGCCTGTGAGAACTAGTATTATTAATGATACTTGTGTCCTACACTCCCATGACAAGGGTGTGTGAGGACTGATGGTGTTGGGTATCCGAGTAAATATACTAATGGGATTTCTAGAACATAGTATAAAGCCTTATTTCCCTGCAAAGCAAGTAGACACAACTTCAGTGATACGGTTAAATAGTAGATAGTAGCGAACAAAGGCCATACAATCGACGCAACGTACACCCTGCGGCATCGCGTTTAGCATCCCAATAACTTCTCCTACCAATGGTTAGCTTTTCTTGATGAGCCAAAAATGGCACCCATTGTTGCTTCATACAATAAATCTGTTGGACCGGGCTACCAACAACTGGAGCCCTGCTTGAATCTAGTTCTGCTTGAATGCTGCAGGCCCTAGACCATGGGATGTTTCTTTCTTGCTCTTTTGTGGTATCACTCTCGTTGAGCTGCTTCGAGCGTCTATATCTCTATCATTTAACGGGTTACATTTTCCATCACCATCACCACTGTAGACTCTTAGCTGCTAGAGCTACCTCTTCGTGATGATTCCTCCTGCGATCCATACCACCTAAACTAATTGGGCGGTTCGAGTCCGCCACTGCCAATTGTGGTCCACCCAGCTTGGTACGTATTTCAACCAGTGATCCACTGCACTCGATTAGGCAATGTAGTTCGTACATGCAAACAAACTTCATGAGACTCGCACTGAGTGACTTTCGGCGCGCCGGTGCCTAGAGTGACTGGGTGACTGGCTCCTCCTCCTTTTCCTTTCTGCTCATCCCACGGGCAAGAGCCATACGCCACGAGTCGCGTGCGCACTTTCCAAGTTTGTGCATGAAGACATTCCTATCAGAACTTCCGATACAGTCAACTCTTCATTGTAGCACGTTGCCTGGATAAGGGACAGAGTCCGCTGCTTCTATACATTTCTTTCAAACCTTTCACTCAAAGCCACTAGCTGCTTGCTCATTGTTCCTATCTCGCATCCATCGGTGTGTTGTATCCACTAGGCACAGCCATGGTCAAGTATGACATTCCCACTCTGCTGGCCCTCAGCCACAACGGACGAATAGACTTCAGCAAATTTAGTGAGCAGGCGATTGGACGTAAGTGTTTCGTTTTTATCTAGGCATACTAGTGAATGCTGGAAACGAAGAAGCAAGTTTGCTTACACAGCCGTCTTTTCATTACCAGATAACGTGCTTCGACAACGCAAGACCAGTACGAGTGTCTTGTCGGAGCAGCCAGTCAACCGGTCAAGGAATGCCTCTACTTTGTCACGCCAGAGCGAACGGACTCATTCAGTTCCAGAGCACTCTGTACTTCATCCCTCTCGGCAGCCAAGTGACCCTCCACAAAGCATCCGGGCACACGCCGATGCCGGGTTTGCTCAGTTCCTGAAGAAGCATACATCCCCGAAGCATCAGCGTGTCACGGCTGGGGGCCGAATCGTTCCAATGGAACCACAGTCTCCTACCCCCAAGGCGAAGCAGCCGGTGCGCAGCATAAGTGCACGAGCCAGTGATCAGAAAATATCCAAGTCTTCATTGCGAGATGTCAACAGAAACAAACGTGAAAATAAACAAGTGCTGTTGCCAGATAACAACGCAAGTGTCGACATTTCTATAGCTGCACCGCAGCCTGCTGAAAGTCACGATGATTTACGTACCATACTGGCCCAGGGCGGTTCTGCAATTGACAATCACTTCTCAGGCTATGGACAGGCGCCGAGTCTTTTGTCTACCGCAGCTACCACTGGTCTGTTCTCCCAATCCAGTCTTCCATGGGCGATGGATAACCTACCAATGCCTCAAATCGCCCTACCATCCTCCGACGTTATGCCAGGGGCCTCGGACTACCCTATGTATGCCTTTGGAGATGGTCCATTATCGTGGACTCCAAATATGTACCCAACTCTTGGTACCCAAGGCCCCCTGATTCCTTCCATGCCAGCAGCCCAGCCATATCCGACTATTACCTCGACCTCTGACTTTTCCGCGGAGAGTAATACCAGTAGCGGCAGGGCGACCTCGTTTCTTGGCCAACTTCCACCTACATACGACCCTCTTTGCCCATCTCTGGGGATTCAATGGCATCAGTATGCAGGTGGACAAGTCCCAGCCCTCAGCCAACCAATGATGGTCAGCACTCCGCAAGCACCAACATACCAAAAGTCCCTGGAAGATGCTGCGAAGGAGCATGAGTCTCTGACCAGCAAGCTATCAGGTATTGACAGATATATGGCTGTGCACAGTTGGGATCTCGACCCAAGCGCCAAGAAGATTCTAGTTGATCAGCGAATGAGCCTGGTGAGAGAGTTGGATGCGGTTAGAATATACAGAGAACATCTCGAATGGGTTTCTGGAAGATTTAACACAACAATCCCAATCAAGCAGCATGCCTCGAATGTCGCCTCAATGTATTTCGCCAGCAGCCTCACAGGTAGTCCATCTCTAATGGGACCTTCGCTGTGCACACCCAGCTCCGCTTCTGCGCTTCCAGCTTTTTCGATGCTGCCACTAGCAAATGCGCTTTCGCAGTCAATCTCCCTAAATGAGACAGTTAACTCATCAATGCCACTACATACTGTAGCGGACATCCATCCATACAATACGACGATCTGCCCAACAGATGTACATCCAAACCATAGTTCGATTAAGGATGCTGGCTTTTCGCATGCCGCACGCGGAATGGAGACACGACGGGTCGAACCCAAAAGGTCAGACAAGCAGGTCCAGGCATATGGTGAGGCCAGATCGAGAACTACTGACGGGTCTGCTGGATGGAAAACACCGACGAAGATAACCGCTTTAGACGTTGAGAAGGTGCATCATCAAATTGAGGAGGCCACTCGTCGAGGCGAACCCCTTGATGGGCTCCTCAGGGAACTATCAGTTGCTACTTCCAATCTAATTAAACAAAGGCGAGATGAGCTTCATGAGCCGCGCGGGCCGCTGCCCGCTGTGCCTGCCAGACAAAACCGCAAGAATCGCGCGGAAAGTGAGGCGGGTGCCATCAAGGAACTATCAGACAGACATGAAGCCCATGCACCTCTGATGCGACACTCAACCAAGGCCTGGAAGCCCGGGAAGGAGCTGCGAAGGCCTGGACTGCACAGCGCAACGGGCCCGTTTATGAGTGCGACAGAGCTGGAAGAGGGTGATGATCGTCAATCAATATCATCGTATGTGTCAACGACGGACTCATGGGCTACCGTTCATCAAGGAGAGTAAGTCCTATCGCTCTTGACTGGCAGTGACCCTGGAAGGTACTAAGTTTGCAGGCGCCGACGTGACAAAAAGCTACGAAGAATCAAAGAAAGGAGGGCGATTCAAGAGATGGCCAAAAGGTAGTAAGCATCTTGAAGCATGGGCAAGCAGGCTGATCATGTCTCGCAGCAGACCCCGTGGTCCATTTGAGCATCCCATCGTATCGGATGAAGCCTTTTCACCAGGTCCTCAACGTTCTAGAGGGCAGAATTTGGGCGCACCAGGAGGACCATCGATATACAAGCCACGCAGCCCCCCAACGTTGGTTAACCCGACTGAACCGGCGAGGCAGACAAGCGTGGACGCGATGAGACAGCAGTACCCCCAGCTTCTGACGCAGTACTTCAACAAGGACCGTGGTCTAGCCTTCCAGAAAACGGCTGCCTTGGCTGTCTCGCAGAATGTTAATGCGCATGGGTTTCTGCCCCCTTTCGAAGGCGTAGGCAATGCACCCAGTAAGAACAGGAGTGCACCGACGGACATGACCGAAGGTGGAATGTATATGTTCAGCGGAAGGACGTCAAACTCGAAGCAGCATGCTGGACCCGGGCCAAGAGGGAAAGAGGCTCCTGGACCAGCCAAACAAGCTGGAAAGCCATGATAGAGTCGGCTAGAGCGAGGTCACCGCGGCGTCCACATATACGTTTCTGTCTGGAACCGATAAACGGGGGTGAGATGACCACCAGCAATCAGCGGTGAGCCCTGGAGAGCAGGGTTCGAAGGGCATTGGGGCAAGCAGTTGGAGATATGGCCGTATGGCATCATTGTATTACATGTATTCAAGGGTACCTATCGTTCCACAGAGTCGGGCCCTTACGGTTGGAGTATATCTTAGAATGGGGGATTGTTTTAGCATGGCATGACGGAAAAATATTATTTTCAAAAGTCGTTGTGGAGGAAAGCCCAGTCTAACTTATGCTGATGCAGCCAAACCCAGGGAATAGTAGTTAGTAGTTAATTAACGAGATGCAGTCGGTGTTGAGTTCACTGGTAAAGCTGCTCCTATGAGTACAGTAGGGAGTGGTATAGATCAGTAGCGATTGGGAGATTCTGGCTTCAGCCCAAATTCTCTCGAAGCCAAGATAATTTCATTGCTGAAGAATCAGGTGCACAACGGGAAAAACAGAGTCGATCGTTACTCTGTAGTTGAGGAGGCCAGAGCTCCCCTTGCGTGGATGATGGATTCCCCCACATCCAGCATCCGTCGCCTGACTGGTTGGTCCTCCGCCACACCCCGCAAAAAGATGTGAGGTCGCATCTCGTATTCTTGGTTTTGACTCAGTAGGGAGAACAAGACGAAGAAGGTATACCTGTGACCAGCAGGGTGTGTGAAGTGAGTGTATGAAAGTGTGAGTGGTGAGGATACTGTAAATGTATGTAATAAATTCTTAGTATATAATGTAGTAACAAAATAAGGCACAGCAACAACAACAACAGCGGCGATGATGGCTGTATTTTTAGTTAGTATGAGGCAAAGCCAGACTGTTTCCATGTTTTGTAAATGACCCACGGTGAGGCAAGTGGGCAAGTTTCGGGGAGAAGGGCCGGAGTGCCTGACGGCCCTATCAGACGCGCTGGCAGGCCCATGGGATGGCGAGTCATCCATGGGAAGTTCAAAAGCTGAATCGAACAAGTCCAGAATGTGGCAAGGCACCGGCCAATCTGTAGAGAGCGCTGGCTGGCTTTGGTGTGAGAGAGCCGATCGGATCTAAGATGACTTAGTCAATTAATAATAAGTGACTAACTACGAGGTACGAGAGGAACGAAGGCATTTGAGGGACGAGTTGAAATGGCAGACAATACTACAGTAAGTAATATCGTGAGTCTGTGACATCGGATATGCATACCGATTACCGATTACATACCGAGCCAAGGAAGGATAGGATGATCTGGGCTGGGATGAAGGAATAGATTGGATTGCTGATAGCAGATGGATACGACAAGCCGATACTACGGTGATAAGTGACATTTATCGGGCTTTATCGGCTCTCCTTTTAGTTTTAGTAGTTCTTACTATTTACTCAGACGGTTTAGTGCGGATGGTTAGTGACGGTGAGAAACACTACTAGTGACCGTACTAAACCCGGTATGGAGGCGTATGATGTATCATGCCGGGCAGCGTGACTAAGCCCAGGCTGTGCCATTCCAACTTTCCCTCCACGTCTCCACTCCGTCTCCGGCCCTTTCGCTTTCTCTCTCTCTTTTGTCTTCTTCTTCTTCCCCTGCTGTTTCTGTTCTTTGAAAGCCCGTCTCGGTTCGGGGATTCAATTCTTCGACTTCTGTTCTTTCTTCCTGTGATTCCTTTGCGACCTCTGCGAACGCTGCGTTTCTCCCCGCCCGCGGTCTAGTAGCCGAGGTGTCTGTCCATTCACAACCAAACCCCCATCGTTCCCGGGCTGGAAGTGCCTCTAAATCCAAGTTTCTGGTGCGACTAGCACCACCGCCTACCAATTTCCCCCGCGGCTTCTGGCCCGTTACTGGGGCCCCCTTCCTCCCGTCGCAATTATTATCTTTCATCGCCTACCTGCCCCGTTCGTTATCACCAAACTCAACCCGAGTACCTGGCCACGTTCCTAGACTCAATCCAGGCAGTCACCGGCATGACACAACTTTTCGCCTCCAGTCCGTCCTCCGTGACGAACGAGAAACGCGGGAACTTTCCCAGTCTCTCCCTGGCCTCCAAGAAGCATTCCAACGATTCGAGCCACTTCCCCACCAGAATCAAGAATTTCTTTCGCATCAACAGTTCCAGCAGCAATTCTTCCCATGCCAGCCACCACAACAATGAATCGCGTGATCGCGATGGCAACACCTCCCCGCCTGCAAAGTCAGATGCCAAATCCGGCTTTAGACAATCCCGGTTCCTTCCCACTATCGGCCGAAATCGCTCAACCACCGTTGCCAGTGAAGGCAATCCGCTAGACGAAGGCGTCTCCCCGACCGCAACGGCCAATCCATACTTTGTCCACCAGGGCCAGCCTTCGTTACAGCATCGGAACGATGGCTCGGTGCCGTCCTCCCCTCCCGATACCCCCGAATTGCAGGTGGACGGTGTCTCTGCTGCCGAGCAAGCCACTACAGCCAACAAGGTTGAATTGGCTCGTAAGCTCCGTCGTGTTGCTTCTGCCCCGAATGCGCAGGGCTTGTTTGCCCGTGGTGGGTCCGACGAACGTCCTCAGACGGCTGAGGCTGGAAAGGAACTTCTGGAGCCGTCTGGGGTTGATGATCCACAAGTCACTACGGTGGAGGTGGCGTCCGACAAAGATGTGAATCTTGCCGTGCCGAAACTTGGTCCCCACAGTAAGATTCCTACTCCCGGCCAGATTCGGGATTCGGTTGCCTTCCGCAGGACATATAGTTCCAACTCAATCAAGGTGCGCAATGTGGAGGTAGGACCGGGGAGCTTCGATAAGATCAAGTTGATCGGAAAGGGTGATGTGGGCAAGGTGTACCTTGTCCGGGAGAAGAAGTCGAGCCGGCTCTATGCTATGAAGGGTGGGTTTTGATGTCTGTGGCCTTGTCTATTGGCGAAGTATGCTGACTTGACTAGTACTGAGCAAGAAGGAGATGATCAAGCGGAACAAGATTAAGCGGGCATTGGCCGAGCAGGAAATTCTCGCCACCAGCAACCATCCATTCATTGTTACACTCTACCATTCCTTCCAGTCCGAGGACTATCTCTACCTGTGCATGGAATACTGCAGTGGTGGCGAGTTCTTCAGAGGTGTGTAAGACGTATGCCAGGATGTTGACTGTTGCTGACTCTTCTAGCTCTTCAAACCCGCCCAGGAAAGTGCATTTCCGAAGATGCTGCGCGATTCTATGCGGCAGAAGTTACTGCTGCTTTGGAATATCTCCACCTTATGGGTTTCATCTACCGTGATTTAAAGCCAGAAAGTATGTACTGTAATAGTTAAAAGAGGTGTTGACTAGTGCTGACAATATTGCTCTAGATATTCTTCTTCACCAGTCTGGCCACATTATGCTGTCTGACTTTGATCTGTCGAAGCAATCCGGACCGGGCGGTGCGCCTACAATGATCCCGGCGCGGAGTGGCAATTCCACAACGTCTCTACCGACGATTGACACCAAGTCATGCATTGCCGACTTCAGAACCAATTCATTCGTCGGTACGGAAGAGTACATTGCACCCGAGGTCATCAAGGGTTGCGGACATACTAGCGCCGTTGACTGGTGGACGCTTGGTATCTTGATCTACGAGATGCTGTACGGCACGACGCCGTTCAAGGGCAAGAACAGGAATGCTACTTTTGGCAACATCCTGCGAGATGAGGTGCAATTCCCCGAGCACTCAGCGGCCCAGCCAACCTCCAAGTAAGCTCTCACGGTCATGCTTTACCACACAGTTGCTAACATTCGCAGCCTCTGCAAATCATTAATTCGTAAACTGCTCATCAAGGATGAGACCAAGCGCCTTGGAGCTCGAGCCGGTGCTTCGGACGTCAAGACCCATCCCTTCTTCCGGCAGACGCAGTGGGCGCTTATCCGGCATATGAAGCCGCCAATGATCCCCCACCAGAGCCGTGGAACGGATACTCTCAACTTCCGCAATGTCAAGGAGAGCGCGAGTGTCGATATTGGTGGATCCAGCACGACCAAGATGAAGGGTGTACCGATGGATTCAGGTCTTGCGACGCCGAATGGCGAGATAGCCGATCCGTTCGAGGAGTTCAACAGCGTCACCCTTCACCATGACGGAGACATGTGAATGGCCCGATCGTGCACCACCAGCGCTTTCTGCCCGCCCAAGCATACCTCGTATTGTTCGAGGCTAATTTTACGACTATGATGCATGAAAGATCTCTACACGGAGTTCACCATCTTACAGCTATTACCTGGAGTATCGGAAGTTTGACATTGGGAGTTTGCTTTTCTTTCTCTTATACACAGGGTGGTTATCGATATATGCTGATATCCTATGACTGCGTCCCCTCATGCATGGGCTAATATTCGGCTGTCACTTTATGGTTTGATGCGGCAGCGATGTATCAGTTTGACTCTTTTGATTCTATCACAGTTATTGCAGCAGACGGCGTTAGCGATTTCGGTTGTACCTTAGCAAACAGATCTTTTGAGCAAAAACAGTGGTGTGAGAGGTCACTATGCAATTGGCCTGCTGACACAGGGACTGGTTTTGGTCGGGGATGCTTTCTGTTCTTTATTCTGTATTTGTGGGCGACTTATTGATGCTTGGATGTCCGATGGGACAGGCCCGGTGCCTTATGGACATGATTATGTTTATGAATTTATATGTATTTTCTAGATTATTGCTCTTCATGTTCTAGTATTCCGTAGTACGCTCCCCCTCGGAAAGACATAGCAGCTACATAGTAGTCGAGTTGAGACACGACGGAATCCCATCCGCCGCGACCCAAACAAACCAAACCAGATCCAAACATCATTTCACCTACCTTAACAACAACATACCCCAAACAACCACCAACCCAACAATTACCCAATACACAATCACGGACACTCAAAAGAGAAAGTGAACAAGAAGAACCCCCATCAAAATGTCCTCCCCACCCCAGGACCACGACCACTCCGCCATCCACACCGAAGACCCCTCCCCCTCCTCCGCGACAGAAACCCCCAACCCTCTCCTCCGCACCACAAACCCCCTCGTCAGCTCCCTCGAACAAGAAGTCCTAGATGAATATACTCGTCTATTAGGGAATGTAAATAAGGTGCGTCCTCCCCCTTTCCCCCCATTACCCACCCAATCCCATACCATTGTCCACTCGAATACATCCAATCCTACAAACACCCTTCAAGCACAGATGACGACCCACCACACCTCTTCCCTGCAATACTAACAATACTTGAAAAATGGTATAGTTATCAACCAAACTCTCCACACTCGCCGAAAACCCCACGACGCTCACACTGGACGGGCTCCGCGGCCTGGAACGCCAAACCGCGACGGTCTGCACGTTGCTCAAGGCGAGCGTGTATAGTATTGTTCTCCAACAGCAGATTTTTAATGAGAGTGAGGAACAACAACAGCAACAGCAGCAGATGCAGATGCAGGAAATGGAGGACGGGGATGGGTATTCGGGGATGATGCAGCGGCAGGAGGGTGACGGGGTCGAGTATGGGTATGGGGATGGAGGGTATGGGGGGTATGGGGCGGAGGGGGAGAGTTTTGGGAGGTATTGAATTTATGGATATTTTTTTATTTTTCGGTTTCTTTTGTGTGTATGGTTATTTGGGTTGTGGGTGGATAGATGGTGTGATATATGATATACCCCTGTTTTTCCTTTTATGGGTTTTAGACTTATTCAATCATTGAGTATTGCTTTGATGCTGGTGGATACAAATACATGTTTAGACTGAGAATACAAGATCTGAACAGAAGAAAAAGAGAAAAAGGGAAAACATTATATACACCGCCCATGACGCAAAAGAACATGTCTGCTGCTGCTGTCTGTATGCAGTGCTGTGCCCAGAGAGATATATATTTCTTTGTGTCTTTCAAATGGGAATAAATCCACCACCTCAAGCTCGCCGAGCTTCCCGGGACGGCCGCTCACGATGTTCCCGATCACGAACCGGGCGAGCATACATGTCCTGTTGGATGCCTCTTCCGGAATAGTACACTCCCCGTACATCGACCATCTTCTTACCCCGGGCACGGGCAATATCCTCGGGGTTGCGCTGGCTCATGAGCGCCTCGTAGGCTGCCTTGACTGTGTTCATGGGGTTTCTGGAGCGGTTGACCCGGGCTGCGATATCGTGAATACCGGCCGCACGGCACATTTCGAAGATCAGGTGCTGGCAGCGGAGACCGAAACCTGTGGGAACATCAAGCATTAGCGTTGAAATAACATTTCAGGGTTCGGACAATCGTACCTGGGGGACGGTGCATCAACTTCAACTGCACAGCTCCGACCTTGCCCTCGACGTCACCGAAGATGGTCCGCTTCTCGTAGCGCGGCACAGGTTGCATGTTCTTGACAGCCCGAGCGCGAGCTTGTTGGCAGGCATCGATGATTTCATCGGACTTGGCGATTCCGATACCCATAAGACCGTTCTGGTTACCGGCGACCGTAACGACGGACATACTCGGGACCTTACCCAGTCGAGTCTGGTTGCTGACACGGCGAATAACGAGGTCCTTGATGTACAGAGACTTGAGGTAATCTCTACCGAAGCCCGTGACCTGGAAAAGTCTCTTCTCCGCCTCGTTGGGTTCGTCGGGGTTCAAGAACGTAAGCTCTCCAGTCTTTGTGCGGTATTGCGGCCTCGCCACCACCTCGTCGCCCATGTGTTCCAAGGTCTCCCCATCGTTCAAGAGATTGGGTGCGAGCGCGCTGTGTCCGTTGAGCTCGTTCTCCTCCTTGCCGTGAGTCACCCGGGTGGTCTCGAGGAATCGTACGAAATCTGCCGGCTGGGGATCCTCCGATGATTCGGCGAAGAAGCGGGCAAAGTCTTCCATGAAATCATCCTCGGTCTTGAATGTCGCGTTGTAGTCGGAGTTGGACTTGGGGGCGCGAACGTGCTTGTCGACGCCGGGTTCAATGACCGAGAAATCATCGAGATACTTCAATCTCATGGGATCCCGACGAAGACGAAACTGTTCAGCCAGGTCTTTGGGGTCAATGGCCTTCTCACCGGCCTCAATGGCGGCAATCTGTTCGGGCGAGTATTCTTCCCGGAGGGCGGCCTTTTCCTCCTCGGTATAGTGCTTGAAGTCGTCGAGCTTCACTTCCCGGTAGATTTCATCCAGGGTCTTTCCTTCGGGGGCCTTGTTGACTTCTGGGACCTTCGGTTTCCGATCGGAGAGCTGTATCGATGACAAGTGGAACTGGCGACTAGGCACGCGAGGGCCGGCGGAGGCCGCACGCGAGAAGCTGCAGAAGAGGCATCGGGCCGGACGTGCGAGACTCATGATGAAGCGGAAGAAGAGCTCTCTGGCCAGCAGAGGCCACTTGAGAGCAAATAATCCGGAATGGTGGAGAAGGGAGGAGTAGAAGATGTGATGGACGGGGAAGTTCAAGACGGCGAAGGGAAGGACATTGAAGTTCGAGTGAAATTCTCAGCGGGTCGTTTCCAGCCAATCCCCGCCCGCCTTTTCCTGCTCACTCACTTTTTCCTTTTCCTCCATTTCTCCAACTTCCTTTTCTTCCTCCCACTTCAACTTTCACAATCCCTCCGTTTTTCTTATTAACTGGTTCGGGATTCATATATGTTTGCCTTGCGGTCCCTGCGATCATATACTCTGCGAAAACTCCCAACCAGCGTTCCTCAACAGGTCCAACGGTTGGCTCTCTTCCATCAATCTGGTCGCCCGCGCAATGCGCAATTAGCCTTCAATCCTCCCACCATGCAGAATTCCCCCAAGAAGCCCGACACCGTCGCAAAGCGGCGCAAGAGAGTCAAGGCTCCCCGCGATAACAAGAGCAGTGGTTTCGACGAGGTCCTCCAGACCGACATTGATCAGCTCCTCCGCAGACACAAGCCCGAAACCGAGCTCGAGACAGAAGACGCTTCCACGCCCCCGCAACCCACCCTCCCCGAGCCTTTCACCGAAATTGAAGTTCAGGTCGCCGATGTATCATCAACGGGTGATGGTTTAGCATTGTCCGAGAACCAGGATCATGTCTACGTCGTTCCCTTCACAGTCCCCGGCGACAAGGTTCTGGTCAAGGTGGTGCGGCACTTCCCCTCTCTGTCCTACAGCATGACGGACTTCATCAAGGTCATTGAGCCTGGCCCTAAGCGCAACGATGCCGGCATTGGTTGCCAGTATTTTGGTCGGTGCTCGGGATGCCAGCTGCAGATGATGTCCTACGAAGACCAGCTCGCCCACAAGAAGCGCATCGTGGAGAAGGCCTACGCCAACTTCTCTGGTTTGATTCCAGAGTTGATTCCCGCCATCGACGACACTTTCCCATCTCCGCTGCAATATGGCTACCGGACAAAGCTCACGCCGCACTTTGCAGCCCCTGGCGGAAACAAGAGGAGGGGTAAGGGGCCCCGCGAGCCGCACAAGGAGGTACCTCCGATTGGCTTCACTTTCAAGAACCGACGCATGGATTTGGATATCGAAGACTGCCCCTTGGGCACCGACATTGTCCGACAGGGATTAAAGAGCGAGCGCAAGCGCGTGGCCGAGACCATTGGCAAGTACACCAAAGGTGCCACCCTTCTCATGCGCGAATCCACCAGCCGCGTGCCGAAAGAGCAGGACAGCGAGAACCCTCCTGCGCCCATCAACAAGCCCGGACAGGATTCCGGCGACGTCATCCGCATCGAAAAGGATACCTACATTGAAGAGAAGCGCTGCGTGACTGACTCGAACGCCACCAGCATCGAATATGTCGACGACTACGTCTTCACCAACAAAGCCGGCGCATTCTTCCAGAACAACAACTCCATCCTATCTGGATTCACCGAGTTCATCCGCCAACACGCTATGCCCCCGAACAACGACCAAGACGCCAAACCCATCAAATACCTTCTGGATGCCTACTCCGGCTCCGGTCTCTTCACCATCACCCTCTCCCCGCTCTTCAAGTCCAGTCTGGGCGTCGACGTTGCCGGCGACTCCATCGCCTCGGCGCGGGACAACGCTCGCGACAACAAGCTCCCTAACACTGGATTCGCCGCCGCAGACGCAGCCACGCTTTTCAAGGACGTGCCCTACCCTCCTGACCAGACTCTGCTGGTGATTGACCCCCCGCGCAAGGGATGCAGTGACGACTTTCTCCGGCAGCTGCTGGCCTTTGGACCGCGCCGGGTGGTCTACGTCAGCTGCAACGTGCACACACAGGCGCGCGACGTGGCTGTCATGGTGCAAGGCGATGCGGAGAAGAAGATCCGGTACGAGATCGAGAGCATCCGGGGATTCGACTTCTTCCCGCAGACGGGACATGTTGAAGGAGTTGCTATTCTGAACAAGACGAGTATACCCGAGTCTGCCTAGATTCATATATTTGATGGCGTTGGTGGTTTAAAAAGGAGACATGACTGATAGAGTACGCGTATATACAATGAGCCAATACCATTTGCAGCTTGCAGATTTCTCTTCATCTATACTTCACTATCATGCTGGTTCTTCGACATGCTACGGAACTAATAAAATGAGCTCAGTCTACAAATCAGGGTCTGCAATCTTCAAAACCGCTTTGCCCAAGTTCTCTCCACGCAGCATGGCAACAAACGCCTCTGGACCATTCTCAATGCCAACCGTGATATCCTCCTTGGCATTGATACTGCCCTCTTGCAACCACTACACGCTCGTCAGCAGGTATTCTTCTTTCCGGGGAAGACGAATCACTCACAGCAGTAACCTTCTCATTCCTCTCCTTGATCCACTTGGGCCCTATATCCTTATCCCCAACAATAAACCCGCGCATGCGCAGCCTCTTCGTGACAACATTATACAGGTTCTTGAGGCCGTACCGTTCCTCCGGCTTGAGATTATACTGCGAGACCATTCCACAAGCCACTGCAATCATCAGTCAGCATGCCCCCGAAACCCAACATTCACAAAGAAAAAAAAAGGGAATCTCACCAATTCTCCCCCCGTTATTCATAACCTCCAACACAGCATCCAACTGCTCCCCACCCACATTCTCAAAATACACATCCACACCACTTCCACCCTCTCCGCCAGCCAACCTCCCCAACGCCTCCTTCGCCCCCTCAACCCTATAATCAAAACACTCATCAAACCCCAACTCCTCCACCACATACTTCCTCTTCCTTTCTCCCCCCGCACTCCCAATCACCCTACACCCAATCCGCTTCGCCAGCTGGCCAACAACACTCCCCACCGCCCCGGCAGCACTACTCACAAACACCGTCTCGCCCTTCTTCGGTTCCCCGATCTCAAACAGTCCCGCGTATGCAGTCAACCCCGTCATTCCCAGGATGCCCACGTACTGAGACAGCTCAATCCCCGAGGGCAGCGGGGTGGGGATCTTCTGCACGGGACTGTTTGCCCCGTCGAGGCTGTTCTCCAGCGTCCATGTTTCCCCTCCAGCTTCGCTGGTGGAGGCTGGGGATATAGACAGAATGCTGTATTCCTGGATAGGCAGACGCGCGTAGATGATCTCGCCCGTCTTGAAGGATGCGTGCGTGGAGTGCACGACTTGGGCGACGGCGTAGGCGGTGATGGGCGAGTCGAGGGGGTACGGTGGGCTGTAGGATTTGATGTGCGCGGGGCGCATGCGGCCGCGCATGTAGGGGTCCAGACTGGCGTAGAGGAGCTTGGTGAGGAGGGAGTGTGGGTTTGGGGGCGGGGTGGTGATGTCGAGGGGGCGGGGAAGGGGGGTGAGGTCTTTGTGTGGGGTGGGGAGGCCCGTGGGGATGTTGGTGAGGATGAGGGACTTGTTGGGGTACATGATTGTGGTTTGTTTATTCTTGGGTTCTATGTGTGAGGAGGATGAATTGGGTGCTAGTGGTTTGTGGAATTGGGAAGTGTGAAGGGAGTATGACGCTGGTATTTATACTACTTCTCGATTGTGCTATATGCGGGGGGGATGTATGGTGCGGCGTCTAGTCGGTTTAGAGTAGGTCTATGCTGCTTGTGAGCAGGGATCGCTGCATGCTGAATGGTGTGATGTTAGTTACTATACTAGTAGTGTGCTACTGGTGCTTACTGCTAGGTTCCTGCTTAGAAATGCTAGTATTCGCGTAGTGATTAGAAATACCCTGGGCTATTACTTGTTTTTGGAGACCGTAGCGGCATTCACCTCCGAGGTATACGAGATAGTATCGACCAGTAGTAGTAGACTAAACGATGCAATCAGACCTATAGCAGACGCGTAACCATACATTTAGTATATACAAAATCAAGACAAAATAGACAACCGTCATCTATTTACTATCACCGGATATTGGTAGCAAGGCAGCAGCATATCAAGTTAAACTATAGACAGAACCACATGTTTACGAACTGCCAGGGCCTCCCAACAGCGCAAAGCGGCGCACAATACTAGGACCAATCTCGTCGTACTCTGCCTTGGTGTGGCAGTAACTGCGGAACTCCGGCGTCTGTCCGAGCAAGCTACCTCCGAACCACGGTCCATGGCGCTGTCTCTTGTGTGTCACAACTGCCACGTCCAGTCCACCACTTCTGGCGCCTCCGCTGCGCGCCTCCGACGCCCGAATGCGTGCATCCACCAGATGACGGATGTCACGCTGAAGACGCCGTCCAAAGTCCTTGTACAGCGTAGATCCACCGGACAACACAATGTTCTTGTAAAGACCCCTTCTCACATCGATGGGGGAAGACTGGATCACGCCGTCGACGACATTAGGCAGGGGGGTCAAAAAGTCCGAGGAATAAATCTCGGGGTTGAAGAAGATCTCGGGCGCCAGGAAACGTTCGTAGCCCACATCGATGCTCACGGTCCGGCCGTTGGGCGAAGTCACGGTGTGCTTAAGCAGGCGGTCCGGCTCACGGTCGTAGCGGGCGAATTCCTTGACGATGTCGGGGCACACGTAGCAGTACTCTTCCTTGACCTTCTCAGCCGTCTTCAGGCTGCTATCCGGCTCACCGCGGTCACGGAGCAAGCTCTGGACAAAGTAGGTGATATCGCGACCGGCAATGGGTATACTCTTGATAGATGATCCGATGACGTAGCCTTCGGCGACGGGAATAACGTGTGTGACACCGTCACCGGAATCGATGACCGTTCCGGTGAGAGAGCGGTCGGTCACCTTCGAGGAGGTCCACGAGGCAGCAAGGGCCAACACAGCCTGGACGGCAATGTATAGACCGGCACAGTTGAAAGACTCGAACATGATCTCGGCGGTGTTCTCACGGTTCTCGGGGGGGTTCAAGGGCTTTGTTTACAATACCCGATCAGCATTGCATCCGCAAAGAGCCATTGGAAGGAATCGAGGGGTCTTACCGGCTCAGTGAGGAGGAAGTAGTGGTCCTCCGGCTCGACGCGCAAGTACTTAAAGATGGAATTCGACCAGAACCGCTCCATGTGATCCCAGTTCTCGATCTGACCATGGCGAATGGGGTAGTTAATCGCATAACCGGGCCCGTTGGCCGCTGCCAGAGCTTCATCGCCAATGAAGAAGTCCAAGTCCTCTGTACCACGCTTCGCGGATAGATGGGAGCCTGCCCCACCACCGCTAGCTAGGAAGGACGGTTTGTTCGCAACAGGAGGTCTACCGGCAGCGGAGGAGCCAGCGCTTCCGGCACCAGCTTTGGTCGCAATTGCGGTGGGAAAGACGAAAGAGGGCGAGTCGTTACCGGCGAAACCTGGAGACTTGTCAGCCTGGAGCTTGCCGGCGGAGCTCCACGTGGAAGCTATCAGGAGACCTACCAAGCTTGGAATAACCGGTACCGCTGAACAGAGAGAACGTGCAAGTTAGCGGATGCTCAAGTATTGTGTGATATGGGGATGGTGAATGGCATACTTGTCCATGACAACGGCCGGGGTCTGGGAAGCCATGACTGATGATGTGGAGTACACGCACACTCCCCCTGATCACTGGCCGGACAAAGAAGGAGATGGAAGAGATGTAATTAGACGATTGATTGGGTTTGAGAGGATGAGAGCGCAATCATCCAGGAACTCCGCCAGGAAGGACGGGAAAGAATTATCACGAGGAGGGAGATTGGAGGGGAAGAGGGGGGTTAAGGGACGGAGATGGAGATGGAGGCGGGCAGTAAGTTCAGGATGGATGGAATGCCTGGATGCCCTGCCTGGGAACTGCGGCTGCCCCATACTTTACGGGTAACGACGTCACGTTTGGTATGGTACACCCACTGCGGTCCACGATACACAGTTAGATATTACCTCCAAATGGATTGATTCTCACTCCTTTTGGTGATAACATTAACCAGCATTGCATAGTCAGGGAATATTCTGGTTCTTGTAGTGTACCTCTCATGTGACTAACTTCCATTGGGAGGTGAACCGGTTCTGTTCTTGAAGTTGATATGTAGACACCCTCTTCATGATGTTCGTGAAATAAGTAAACCCTCCTCAGGAAACTACCTCCAATGCAGTTGCTGAGGAAGGAACTTGATCCAATGATCCTATCCAGCTGTTTGAGCTTCACCATCCCCCTTCTTCTATACAATTAATGCCTACAGTATCTTTAAACCTCTCTTGAACACTTCTACTACCTGATTCCTATCTCCCTTTCTCTTCCTCCCTCTGTCTTTCCCGCTCCGCATCCTAGGTTGATCATTCTTACTATATCAAACCTATCCTTAACGGTTATCATCACCGTCTCACGTCCGCGTTCACTACAAATACGCCGCTTGATTTCAGAAAATCACCAATCGTCCCGGCAGCAGGCTGGCAGCAAGAGACCCGCGTCTCTCTCTGAACACTCAATTTTTTCTTGTGTGTGTTGACGAGTCCGCTTCTTCCTTTTTTCATCCCACCTTCTGCTCTCTTCTACCCTCTTCGTCCCAGCTTTGATTCCAACTCCAGCCCTGCAAGTCCACGTGTACCAAAACCACGGAGAGAACCTCAAGAAGTGAGTTGCCGGGGCCTCCCGCCCTGAAGCACTCACGGCCTCCAGGACTGCGTCGTTTTCTCCAGTGCTTCACAAGGTTGCACCTCTCAGTTCGCCTCAGAGCGCAGCGACTGAGTTCTACAATGAGTCGCTCAAAGGGAAGCGGAGATATCTCTGCTATCTTCGTTCATGCGGGAGCCGGCTTTCATGCCCCGCACAATGAGAAAGCGCATCTAGAGACCTGTGAGAAGTGAGTTCTCCACGCCCAACTCACGCCTTCGAGGGTCAAGTCCAAACCGAGCTAACGAGGAGCAGAGCGGCGAGAGTAGCAATGTCGATGCTGAAGAACGGTGGATCGGCCGTCGACGCTGTTGAGATTGCCATCATGATGCTAGAGGATAGCGAAATGACCAACGCAGGCTACGGTAGCAACCTCAACCTTGAAGGCACCGTCGAGTGCGATGCCACTGTCGTCAATCATCTAGGACGCAGTGGTGCTGTCGGTGCTGTCGGTCGTGAGTATCTATTCTCTAGTCCCGAACCGATCTGTAAGGTCAACTACTCAGTGCTAACGACTTGGTGTAGAGGTCAAGAACCCCATCTCCCTTGCGCGGGTCATCCTTGACGCTTCCTCGAAGCCGCTCTCGCTAGCCCGAGTACCTCCAAACTTCCTAGTGGGACAGGGTGCTACGGATTTTGCCTACGAACACGGGCTGGTGGTGCTGCCCCCTGACGGTCTAGTAGCTCCGTCGGCTCGAGAAAGGTGGACTCATTGGAAACGTGATCTGGAAGCCGCTACTCTTCGGGAGAGGAAGCAGTCTGGAGAACATACCCGCCTGAGCTCGCACTTTCGCCGGCCCCCCACCGTCAATCCGGCCCAGCTGCTCTCTGCGGCTTCGAGCCCTGGGCCAGCCTCGGTGACTGGAGTAAGCACTCAGAGTACCAAGAGCGCACCTACTGCAGACCCACGTCGTATCACGCCGCCGGCAGGTTCGGAGTTAGCACCCTCCATTGCCCCCAGGGTCAATGATGGCAAGCAAACTGACGGTGCGCGGTCCGCTGCTGTGGGGAACATGTCAACGAGCCACAATATCTTGTCTCCTTCCGAAGCTCCTCATGGCGTCGACGCAATGGATATTGACCGAGTCAATGATACCGTGGGTGCAATAGCCATAGACAGTAAAGGGAACATCGCTGCAGGCTCTTCTTCCGGAGGCATTGGGATGAAGCATCGCGGGCGGATTGGCCCTGCCGCGCTTGTTGGTATCGGGACTGCTGTATTCCCCGTGGACCCTAACGATTCAGAGGCGACCTGCGTTGCGACTATCACTTCGGGGACTGGTGAGCACATTGCAACGACTATGGCCGCCAGTACCTGCGCGTCACGCATCTACTATAGCCATCGAAAGCGTAAAGAGGGCGGATTCGAAGAGGTCACCGAAGAGGAGGCCATGAAAGCGGTTATTTCAGACGATTTCATGGGTACTTCTCGCCATCTACATTCGCAGTTTACAAGCTAATAGCTGATTTTAGGACATCCGGGCGTCATAAACAGTATCTGTAACGGCGCCATTGGCATCCTTTCGGTTAAGAAGACGGTCGACGGAGCGTTCCTCCACTTCGCCCACAATACAGACTCTTTTGTAAGAAGCCCCGCATCAGAGACGGTCAATGCTAACTACATCAGGCTCTTGCATCGATGAGTAGCGTCGATAAGAAGCCCGTGTGTGTCATGTCTCGCAATGGCGGGGGCGGTACCATTGCCCAGGGTGGCCGCGCCTGCAGAGCCAAAAGGTATTTGATAACAGCTACTGTACAGATCAAGCTAAGCTGACAACATCAGACCCAGGGCCCCAAAACCAGCTAAATAAAGCCTATCCTGCGTCTTCTGTACTATGTGCATCTTGGCGTCCGACAGCGTTACGGCGCTTGTTTCCGGGTCGATGACGTTCGCCGACAGAATGATCGAGTGCCGTGCCGGCCACGCCCCGTCCGTTTGGTTGTCAAGTGTCAGCGTCCATCCAGATTAAAGCGATGCCGCACGGGTCCTGAGTATGGATGCAGGGGCGAGTAACCATTTGCTAATTCGAGCCGAAGATACCGAATGAACAAGCATTCAATGGCAATCCTCGGCCATTCTATCCCGTAGCCAGTACATAGGCAACTTCCTTTTCACCACGTAGTCAATCCCATGCCCACAAAGACACTCACGGCCCCGGCGTCGGTGTAGGCGTAGGCGTCCCCGCCGCAGACATCCCATTCCCCTTAACCTTCTTCTTCTTCTTCTTTCTAGCCACCACCGCCGGCTTAGCCCCATAATCACTAACATCCAACCGACTCCCACAAGTCAAACACACCCCATCCCCCAACGGCTCACAGAAGATACTCAAACAAATCGAACACACAAATCCCACATCCACAACCCTCCGATGACAAAAGCACGCCGCCCGGAAATCCACATCCACTCTTGTAGGCAGCACCAAATGGCGTCTACTCCTCTGATCCGGCAAAAACGCCATCATCAAGTACTGCAATAGTCCCTTCGGCTCATCCAACGCCATATACACCCCCTTGGTCGCATCCGACGCCTGCTGCAGGAATACCGCATCGCCAGACACCTTACATACATCAATCGGAATATGCAGCCTCTGGCAAGCGAATATAGCATTCATGATGGGGATATATTGATGCGCTGAACCGGTGGAGCTTGACACAGAGAGAATGAGGATGCGTGATTGGAGGGTTGATTCCGCAGTACCCTTTGTATTATGTGATGAGGAGGATGTTGAAGAAGGGTCATTGGGGTTTGTCGTGTCGATATCTCCCCCGTGCGCTTCATTCCATGCTAACGTGCGGCGGTTGATGTGGCTTAGTGCTAGGGTAAGCGCGCCGGCCATCATAGTTGAGGTGGTGGATTGGAGGGTTTCTGGGGTGGTTTGGGACATTAGGTTGTGGAGGTGCGTGGAGACTTGTTCTTCGACGATGCGGAAGGGGCGGTATTTGTTTACGTTGGTGTGAGTAGATGGTGGTGGTTGTTGGGAGCGCATGGAGATGTCGCCGTCGGAGTCTAGGTTATTGGCGGCGGTGGTGGTGGTGGCTTTTTCGACGGGGTAGAGCCATGTTGCTTGAGAGGTGTGTGAGGATACCACGGCTACTTCGTTCGCGTAGTTGCATGCTAGGTGGGCGTTGATGAAGACGAGGATGTTGGCGATGGCGGTGGAGAGGGGGAGGGAGGGGTTGAGGAGTGCCCAGGCGTGCGGATTGGTGTCGAGGATGATGGTTAGGAGGGAGGGGGGCCGGTCTATATTTCGTCTTGTTAGTTTGTAGGGTAGAAGTTGGATTTGGGAGGGGGATGAGATGGTGATGGATGTATGTGGTTGGTGGACGTACCGTGGGCGCTGGTTTCGTAGTGTTCTGTTGCGTCGATGGTATTCATCTTGTGTATGTGTGTATTTGTTCGGTGTGGGAGACTGAGGTATGGAAGAGCAGATCTGAAGCTGTTGGTTGGTATCTAAGGTGTATACATTGTCGTGTGGAGGTGAGCTCGGAGAAGTATGCGGTGCGGCTGTAGTTCGAAAGCTTCGTTTCTGCGGGGTGGTTGTGTGGCTGTGGGTATTAAGTTTGAAGTAGCTTTGCTGGACAAGCTGCAGGCTTGAACATGTGAAGAAGCTGCGCTCGAAGACCGGTGAGGTGGAAATGAGCGATCGAGAAGTTTTTGTAGCAGAGATGCGATTACTTCGGACGCCGCGCGGAGCTGGAACATCTCCGGCGCACGTGATCTATACTGCGGAATGTACCGATACTAGCATCTGTAGCTAAGATACGAGTCTACATGTTCAAGACACCTGCAAGGTAACTAACAGACCAATAATAGAATGCATTCAACTATGTCTTCCCAATTCTAACTGATGGTCAAATAACGCGCTATTTATCGGGGGTTAGATGTAATGGCCTCCGGCTTCACATGTAGATGGTCATCTTTCTGCTCCGTTTGGTTCAACACAGGAATGTTGAGCGACTCCTTGAGAGAGCCAGATGTCGCTCTGGCCAGAGGACTAGGCTGCGGCGAGACGCCCGGCGTATCGCCTTTGCCCTGGTGTTCTGTGAGACCCTTACGGATGGCGAGAACCGAGTCCACGATGACAGCGTCGATTCCCTCGGCCACTTGGAGCTGCACTAACAGTTAGTAAATAGACGACACAACTGTTAGGGGCTACATACCTTGACACTCTCTGGGTCATTGTTGATGGCGCCATACGACACGCAGACCAGACCTGACTCCTTCACGACCCGGACCAAACGCGGGCAAAGCACTAGCGCTTCGGCCTGCGAGACAACGCCCAGCAGGTTCCAGCGGGACGCGAAACGAATCGCTTCCTGCAAGCTGCTGGCCCGGATATCACCAACAGGCGACGCACCAGAGTCCGTCAAAAAGAGGACCGGAATGGACGGCTGCTTGAAAGAAAGCAGCAGGCAAATGTCCGGGTTAAAGCTGGAGAATATCATGTTCCGGCCCTGACCCATGTCATACACCTTGGTGAGAACCGTGTCCACGAAGGAGTTCAGCTCCACCGCATACGTGTCCATCTCTTCTTCCTCGCTCTCGTGGAGCATAGGATACTCTGGCGATCTAGGTCAGATCGTCGTGCAACTGTTCTTTCATGGGAAGAGGTACTCACTGAGTTCGATATTGAAGCCCACCGATTTGGGCAGCTTCTGAAACAACTCTGCCAATGTGGCAAATGGGGCCTGAATGTGGTTGCCGCGGCTGTTTCCCTTGAAGCCCTTTTTCTTGAAATCGCGGGTATGCTTGATCTTTTCGTTGAGTTCGGTAGGGTCATACTCGGAACCGCCTACAGACATCGACCGCTGACGGAAAGCAGCGGCCATCCCCTCTCCAATGCCGTCCGTACCCGGTACCGGGGATCCCGGCCTGCGAGATGGACCCTTGTCGCCCAACTGGAGGAACTGCTCTAGGGTAAGGGTGTGGACCGGCGCGTCGATACCCGTCTCGCTGACGAGGAAATCATGGTAGATGACAGGAACATGATCCTTTGTGAGCTGCACATCAAACTCCACATAGGAAGCGCCCAAGTTCGCGGCAGCGATGAATGATTGGACGGTATTCTCGCCCAGCTGCAGCGAATTTCGACTGGCCATGTTCTTGCCTAGACCACGATGTCCGATCACCATCGTTGAGCTCATACTCCTCCAGTAGGTCTGTTCTCCGGTAACCGTCATGTTGGGATGCTTGAAAGGTGTGATGATGAGGAAGTTGAAAGTCACCGAACCAATGACCTCGAGGGTGTTGGCAGCCACAATAGGAACTGTGGAGTCGCCCTTGAGATTGATACGGTTCGATCCCACCGATTGTTTGATACTGGAAAGTAGGGCAACACCACGCCCGACCACCTTGTCTTTGGAGCCTGCGTACGTGGGAATCAGATCAAAAAGGAGTCTGACCTTCGTAGCGTCGGCGGCATGAAAGACAATGGGTTCGGTAGAGATATTCTCCTGGACAGGGAGATCGATCACCTCCGGCTCTCCACGAGCTCCGCTAGCAGAGACCACCAGAGACAAAGCAGTGTCAAGTTGCGTGGAATGCGCATTCTCCATCGGGATACGGTCCAGGTTGACTGCTGCCGTATGCGTCCGCATGTCCATGGTTCCCAGGCTAACCAAAACCATGGATTCATCGGTGAGATACCGGTGTCCAAAGGTCTTGATAGGCTCTGCGTTCCGTAGAGAGCTCGCGGCAGGAGTACCGTTCGATCTTCTCTCGGCAAGCGACGACAGGGGAGGTGAGGGCGGATCAGAGGCCACGGGGGGCACAGGGATCACAGGCTCCGACTCACTAATATCCGGCGCGGGAGTGACCTTGGCAAGACACCGAGCGATGTCAAGATGACCTCTCAGAGAGGCATGCTCCTTCGCGGTCCAGCCAGAGGAGTCGCATCGCTCCAGATTGGCACCGGCCTCGATGAGCAGCTCCACTACTCTCAGCGCGCCATCAACACAAGCGATAAACAAAGGAGTCCAGGAGTATGTGTTTTCCGCAAGCTCTGTGTCAGCCTTCTGTTCACTGTTGCCATCCAGCAGGATCTTGGCGCATTTATCATGGCCGAACCGGGCTGCAACATGCAGCGCAGTTTCGCCTTGTTCGTCCTGGTAGTTAATATCCACGCCGGCCTCAACCAATAACTTGACAATGTCCACAAAGTTGGCTTTGGTGGCCAAAGCAAGTACTGCGCTAGACCGTGAGACTTGCTTGCGGATCTTCGCCTTGTCCTTGTTGGCACCATGCCAATTCTCTGCCTCGAGAAGGGCACGGGTCGTCAACGGATGGCCCCCAACAACACTCAAGTGCAACGGAGCCCAACCATCGTTGTCTTGCCAGCGCGGACCATCAATGCCCTCGGTCACATCAAACAGGTCCCACGCCTGCAAATGCTCGATGATGACTTCGCAGACAACCTTGAATCCATACTGCGCCGCGTAGTGTAGCGGCGTGCGTCCCGCAATGTCCTTGGCGACGAGGGCATCTCGTTGATTGGGCTGGAGCTGATCCAAGAGATACTGCAGAAGCGACACAGAGGGATCGGACCGATCCAAATGACTAGGGTGGTCCGCCTCCATCACGACTGGGCGAGGGGGCTGGAGGGTCGGCAGCGCAGCCGGGGTGATATAATTGGACGTTTCCAGAGGGAAGTCCAGGACCATGGACGCAGACTGCTCTGAGTCTGTGGTAGACTGCGCCCGGCCGATCGATATCACCAAGCGATGGATACAATTGCGCCTATTTATATCATCTTCTTCGTCCAGCGAGTCCATGCGACCCAGAAGGACCGAGATGCAGCTCGTGGAACGATAGTTGATGGACCGCTGAAGGAGGCTGTTAAGGACCTTAGGGTATACATCTTCTCCCGACTCATCTGCCGCCGCTTTCAGAGTTTCAAGTAACTCCAGCAGCACATGAGTATCATCCTTGCGCAGCGCCTCATCGACGGTCTGAAGCATACTCGCAGGCAAGTTTAAGTTGGGGCGCGCAGGACCCTTCTTCAATGACAAGGAGGAGCGTATGGAGCTCGCATCATCGTCGATCTTCTGCTCGCCCAGGACGGACAAGCGGTCATTGATCTTCCTCAGCGCGTCAGTGACCCGGGTGTTCGAAGCGAACGGCGCTGGGTCGACCTTGGTCTGCAGATACTTCTGCTGCGCCTGAGCGCCAACCTTCTTGTCGAGCTTCTTGGTGATTTTGATGAATCCTTGACGGTTGAGCTCGCCGTACCACTGCAGTTTACGCATCTGGCTACGCAGTTCAAGCAAAGCAGCCAGCAGGTCTTCGACATCCTCGGAATCCAATCGCTGACCACCATCCAAAGACTGCCCGTATCTGTCCTCCAGCAACTTCAGACGGCGGGAAAAATCGGCGTACTTTTTGTTGTAAAAGTGATCGACATCCTCGAGATTTCGATCGAGGGAGTAGAAGAAACCTATGCGACAGAGTTAGCTAAGATTGCATTGTGATGGACGACACAACTATTCAAAGAGCGACTCACCAGCAAGGTCCGCCTCCTTGCCAGCCTTCACATTGTCCGCCGCAGCCTTGATGAGCTTCTTCAAGGCCTTGTATTTGATGTATTCAGAGCCCCACTCGGGGACCACGTTGCGGGGTAATTGGCGTCCGAACTTCATCTTGGATGAATGTGTATGCAAGTTGTTTCAAGTGGTTGGTGAGAGAGAAACCAATGAGAAAGGACTCTGAGGGGGAGGTATATAAATCTGAGATCTAAGACACCACGGCTTCCTTTGGTTTAGTGAGATTCAGGAGAACAGACTTGAACCCACGAACCCAACGATAGAAATGCCACGTAGATCAAATATTATTCGACGGGCAAATGCGAGAAAGACAAAAGGAAAAGGACAGGTGAAGCTTGAAGGAGAAGAGCGCCATGTGTCAGTTTTATTGAGGAGACATGAAGAATGGTAGAAGAGATAGCTGAAATCTGGGAGGTGAAAACCTGAGGAATTGGACGGCTTCAGGGACACGCCGTGATTCGGAGAGGGAGATATTGAGGAAGAAGAAAAGGAAAAGGAGAAACACGAAACACGGCGAAGGAATTAGTGTGGTTGAGAGGGAAGGATGAAAGAAAGCGCAGGGCATATACTACTTGATCGTAAAGTAGTTAAGGCGACTCCCGATAAAGGAGGCCAACCGACGGAACCTATCAGCACGTGCCCAAAGGGACGGTTTTTGGAGCTTCGAGAAGTTCCAGCAGGTCCAGCAATTCCAGCTGCACCTTAGCAAGCAGAAGAAAGAGGGAGAGAGGGGCGAGCAAAGGGCCGAGGCCAAATAGTCTTTAAGTCTAAGGTGGTGCTAGCGAATTCGCTAGTTAGACACGGTCTCCATCGTGACCAACAAAAGATACTTCAAATACACTCCACTGGCGACGTAAGAGGCAGTCCAGGCGACTCACCTGGACTTATCCCAGATTGCTGGCCATTAATGGCCGGACGCTGGATCTGCTGCCCGGCGGACGCTCTCTGATTTGCCCGCGGCGCTGGGCGGATGAACGGTTCGAACCACCGGATGAAGCGATGCAAAAATTCGAGTTTGCAAGGCACGGGATGAATGCCAATAAATCTGAGAGCTCAAATGGCGGTAAATGAATGGATGCAATACCGGGGGGCAATCTGGATGATGATAATGACGATGATTATTTTCTTGGGGTGAGTCCACCGGTAGAGAGAAGCTGATCCTTTTCACTGCACGAGTGAGGAGCAGAAGGTAACTGGACCAACAGATCACCACTAGGAAAGGACCGGATCTTGCAGTGATTCTTCTTTCCACTCCATCCAACTTGAAACTTGTTACTAGTTAGTAGCTGTAGATACTAACTTCTGTAACAATCCCGTCAGAGTGAGTTAGTATGAGTCTGGAACCCCCATCCAGCAAAAGAATCCCCACCCTATATATAGCCGGACCACCCGCCACCCACTTCTAGGGCCTGAAGGGATCCAATCATGTCAATAACATGAGATATTAATCGCCCAGTGGATGGAAGGGGAGAGGGCTCATGATCATCATCTCCTCTCCGTCTCCTCCTTCCCAACACCGCTTTCTCTTGGGCGCAGGATGATGATGGGCTAGAAGGGAGGGGGAAAGGGAAAATCAAAAAGGGGGGGCCACTTTCTGTGGGGGAACTTCAGGCTGGGCAAGAGAAAAGGCCAGCAAGTAACCATTCAGCATCGTGAGGGTGGGAACTTGGCCTGCATGGAATGGATGGAAGATGTGGGAATTCGACCATGATGCACGTCACATGCTCCCTCCTCTAGTTGTCGGTGAGGTTCTTGAAACTCCGAAAAGTTCTTGTTGCGTTCCTGACTTGGGTTTCTCCTTCCTCCGATATCCAACATCGTGATCACTTTTCGGAGGGTTTCAGTCTTTTTGAGGGGATGCCACTGATTGCTCAGGTTTCGTATATAATAAACTATGTTATTAGGTGACTATCACAACTGGGTGGGGAGCAGACCATGTATCTGACCATCGACTTCCGACACCCTCCCCTCCGATGTATCACTTGTTGATCACTGCACTCATCCACTCAGCTCGTTTCGCAACGATCGACCAGCGGGAAAGCTTATCATCTGTCACTTTCTTTTCCCCTCCCCTCCATAACGGATCTCCTGCTCGCTGTGTAGACTAGTAAGGACTACTACTGAATACTAGCTTGGGGGTTAGTGCCAGCCATACTGTAACTTTGGCTTCTTTGCGACTTATATACAATGAGTCCGTAGCTTCTTAAGTAATACTACTACGGAGTACTTAGTTACTAACGTTATGTCGATGTTCTCGGTTATCAGCGGCATTCCAACGACTTTACAGTAGTACTAGGCCGCAATAAAGAAACCCTCACAGAAGGCCGAGATGATCCAACATGACCTGACTCCCAACTGCAACATAATAAGCATCTACACGGGACATGAATCCTATAGTGAGCCCCGCTCTAGGTTGTGTATTTTGGTGTCGAGGCCAGTGCGACACCATCCCAACAACCATCGATTCCTATCAAGGCTGACTGCAGAGACAAGGATCCGGACGCTTCCGAATGGAACACTCGTCTCCCGACGGATCCCCAAAAACCGCGCATTGCATCGTGAGTATCATTCAGCTAGAACGAGTAGATAGTTACTTGAGTAAACTAGACACGGCAATTCTCGTGTCAACCGGGTCTATGGCGCTGTCAGAAAAGGGAATCCCACTCGATAATCCCCCATATCGCTTGAAATTCTTGTCGACAATGACCCGGACACCATTCCCACGCTCATAAACAACCCAGATTTATAGACAAATTCGACATCGGTCACACAACGTGACATAAGAAGGAAAAGCACGATCACAATAATGGAAACACCGGGCAAGTAAACTACCAACGCCGCAAGGAGATCTTCATAAAACAACATAGAACGTGACAGAACACCAAAAATCACGGAGCCCCAGCCCATGAATTGCAAATCGAAAAGACCCGCTATCACAATCAAATCCAAATCACCCAAAAGGAATCATAGAGATGTATTAACCGCCGGGAGATACCCCAGCAAAGGACGCCGCTCGGTTGTCGGCTATCTATTCGACCAATGGCTTCAAGGCTTCGACCCCGACTTGAAGTACCGCGGGGTTCTTCGTCTTCTTCAGCACATTGCTCAATATATTAACCCCTCCGTTTGCCTTAATGGCTTCCTTGGCCCGCCGGCCAATATCTCCGGTGGCGAGACAGGTCAAGTTCCGCACACAGGCTACGCCGCGATGCACTAAACCTTCATCCTCTTCCTGGCACAGGGCCAGCAGTAGCTGGACACCCCGCGGCCGTTCCAGGATACCGGCAATGGCTGCTTCAAATTCGGTCAGCATCGCAAGAGCTCCGCCAGCAGCGCTGCGGGTTGCCATATCGTCCGTATCGGTGAGAGCCAACAGCACATGCAGCCGTTGCGCCGCGCGCTTAGAGCCATCGGCATATTTGACGATGCCGGACTCGCACGTCATCAAATTGCAGATGAGCTCGCACGCAGCTCGCTGAACCATGGGACTACTGGAGAGCAGGAGATCCTCTACTACGGGCCAGGCCTGGCGGACGATAGCTTCGGGAGCAGTCTCGTCTGGATGGGAGGCGAGGTTTGTTAGAGCAAGCAGACTCTCAAAGACCGGTAAAAGATTCCGCGGTTGTTCCGCCGTCAGACTAGTCGTCTCCGGGCTTACCAGAAGCGCGGTCAGAGGCCTGATAGCGGATGTGATCTGCGGGAAGCCAGAGGAGGGGAACACGTGGACCGGGTTGACGGAGATCAGAATTCGCGCGAGTGCTTGCGATGCATTCTGTACCGCTTCGGTGGCGTTTGTCCCCGGGGTCCCCTGCTTCGTGGCTGCCATAACGAGCAAGAATTTGACAGCACCTTGCTGTGCCAGGGTTCCCCGAGACTTTCGGTCCCATGACAGGGCAAGGACGATCTTTCCCATGAGACCTTGCACCGAGGAGAGATTTGTCTTACCGCAATCTACCAGAAGAGGCATGACACCTGCCTTGATGAGCGCACTGCAACGTGCGATGACATGTTGCTCGTCATCAAGGGGATCTGGCTTTGCTCGGGCCCCGCTAGGAGAGGCCTCGGCATAAGACTTGAGTTGGGACATTTTCTTCTGCTCTTCTGTCAAAGTGGGTGGGAATTGTGTGAGGTTCACAATGATCATGAGACCACCGTAAAGCACTGACGAATCGGCGCAATTCTCGCGCAGAATCTTGATGAGATCCTGTAAGAATGCCACATCATTGGCGAGCTGTTCCTTGACGGTGGCCTTTACAGATGCATAGGCTAAGCCCTCGATCACGTTTGACAGATTCTCGGTCTTACGCTTCGACATCAAATCCTTGAAGCGGTCGACCAGCTCGGTAACCCGGCTGTTATCTTCCTCTACCTTGCCGTTGGAGTCCGAAGGACCAACTTGGGCAGCAGTACGGACCTTGGCCAAAATGACCGCCGCCATCTCGGAGCTCTCATCACAGCCATTGGTGAGAAGGTGAGAAAGCCAGGTCGAAAGATGCTTTGAAATTGCTTCCCGACAGGCCTTGTTCATGCACGCGGCATTCAACAATTCCAGAAAATGGGGCTCGACCTTGCGGCTCTTCGCGTCTCTGGAGGTCAAAGGCGCCAAAGCCGCTAGGTAGCTCTCCGACAGGAAAAGGTTGGCCGCGACTTCTGGTATCACGGGAAAGACCGCAGCCGTGGCCGAGAATGCCTCGATCAAATCATCGCTGCGACCCTTGACAACCTTGGCAGTTACGAGCCGAGAGAACCTCTCTTCGCCAACTTGCCTGGAGATTTCAAGGTACTTGACGGTTGCTAGAGTCGCTTGACTCCTCCACTCGAGGGGAAGCCGGCTGTCCAAAGAGGACAGGATCACGTCCAGTCCTTCATCGTCGACCAACTCCTGCAGCTTCGCCGCATCGACGGCAAGCAAACGCGCGATTCCTTTGAGGGAGCGACCGTCCATATCGTGGCCCGACTCCATGAGCTTGGCGATGAAGAGCAAGAAAAGCTCGCGCTCACAGTGTAGACGAGCATCCTCGGACGGCCACACAGTAGGGTCTAAGACCACAGTGTCAAGGCATACGGCAGCGCCGTCGCCTCTTTCGTAAATCTCATCGAAGAACGTGGTCACCGACACCTGGAGCTGCTCTGAGAAGTAGCGCCGCACGCTGGTGTTCTGGCGGACCAGCCCCGAGATAATGTCATCCTGCAGCGACGACAAGGCATGAGGCCTTTGCGCCAGCAGGAGCTTGACACATTCCAATGCAACCTCCTCGGGAGGCTTGAGTCCGTCGGTACGGAGATAAAGGGCGGCGTCTTTACCCGCGGACTCGTCCTTGCCACCGGTATAGCGTCGGCAGAGATCTAGCAGGTGATGGCCATTCTCCTCTTCCTGCTGGATTTTCACAAAAGCTTCCTTGACTGCCGGATGTTCTGGAGCTAAGGAGAGAGCTTCTCGGAGATTTCGTGAGGCGGCCTGCAATGACATCACGAACGAGTGGTTAGTCACATGGCACGAAGGTACCTATGCTGGCGACGGATGATAACAACCCAGCGGGGTCTGATAAAGGGAAAAAAAAAAAGGGAGGAGACCAGACATACCTCACGATGGCCAGCATCAATTAACTCAACAGCCTCCCGTGTCAAATGTACAGCGCGTTCCTCGCTCGTAGAGTGAACCATTTCAGGCCGGGTATAAGAAGCCGACAATTGTAGGGTGGGATACAAAGAGCGATATGATACCGGTTCTGGGAGGAAATAAAGAAATCGGCGGGGAGGAGGGACTGATAAGAGAAACCGGTCGGAAGCAGGACGGAGGGAATCCGAAGACAGGTCAAAAGGTCGCCGGGGGAGTGGAGATTGAAGTAGTCGTATTCAGAGAGAGAGAGGTAGGTTAGGTATAGGTAGGTAAGTAAAGAGAGCTGCGTCAACCCACGACCTCCGAAGCGATGGTCGAGCAACAGGACACACAGGCAATCATGGAGGGAAAAGGACGAGTAAAAGAAGTGCGTTGCGGTCGCAGAGACAGGGTAATGCTGACAGGATGCAGGATGATGAATGTGAAGAAGGTGTGGGAGGGAGAGGCTGTGGTGGGAGTGGTGTCTTTTTTTTTTTTCCACTTGCTTTCCCTTTATTTTTTTTACTTCCCTTTTTTTTTTCTTTTTGCCTCTGGGCGTGGATGGAGGCAAGTAAGTTCAGTTACTTTTTTGGACGGAGCGTGTATGGGGGAAACGGAGGGGGAGGATTGGCGGGATGTGGGTTTGGAGACTGAATGGCTGATACCGTAAGGTAAGGTGTGACAGACCCTCGGAGCTCCGAACGCCCAGACAAACCGGGGGAAGACGAACGCAAACCGTTTTATTACGGGGGTCTCCAGCAGGGACTCTAATTCCACCCCCAGCGGAGTTTCTCCCAAGCAATCATCCTTGAGATTATTTGACTACTTACTTAGTACCGGTCTGCAGCTGCTCCTAGACGGGCCCCTTCCGCCCGACAGTCGGAGGTTGTCCCCCCCTTCGTTCGGCCGCCCTTCGGCGTGCGCTTAACTCCGGCCTTTTCTTGAAGAATAATATGGAGACTTGGAGGGGGCTTTATCAACAGGATCAGCATCAGCATCATCATCAGCATCACCAGCAAGCTTATCCTCCTCCTGCTGCTCATCGCACCCCCATAATATAAATTCCGGCCAAAGAGAAAGCCGGGGAGAGAACAGCCAGAACTATAATTCCTCCCCGTGACAGGAAGCCGAAGGAGTAATAGGTCTATCCCAGACGGTGTGGATTCCCCGGGTGGCTGGAAGTTTGGGTGGACATACATACTCCATAGCAGTTAGTGTGGGAGGCACCAGCGCCCTCCCAGATAAGATGAATGGCTAAGAATAACTAAACCGGACACTACTGGCAACTTTCACACCACGCTTGGCGTCGGCCCTTTAGCCGATACACGCCAGAAGATACTAGACTAGTAGCAGCCAGATCACAGTTACAGTAGCTACGGAGAATGGTGGACTACTGACTTAACACCACCTAACACCACTCACTCACTCACTGTATACCTTGGCCCCCTCCCTCCCCTCAACGCTTGGATATCAATGACGCCTTCACCGGCCTAGATGGGAAGAGGGAAGTTAATAATTGTCCAACCGAGCCCAGCCCAGCCCATCTCATCGTCACTGTATTGATAAGCCCACGCAGCTTCATTCAAATCAATCAATCGGAATGATTCTTTCCTCATGCCGATAACACCAACCACAGGGGTCCGTTGCATCACGTTGCCTTGCCCGCCCTGCCGCGCCGAGCAGAGCACATCCCCCAACAGTAGATAAATACCTTATTTTCAGACGGACACAACCCCTTTCCGTTCCCAGAAAATCGAGTAAGCACCATTAATTACTACTATGTATGTACCCAGTTAGTCTGGACGGAAGGAAGGAGAAGCAATCTGAAATGATCCGCAATCCCCAACTGACTGACTCACTGGCTGTCCCATTCCCAAGAGTTCTTGGTCCGAATAGTCCTGTCGCACTAGTGGTCGTCTGCTTGGCTTGGCTACATCTCCGATCTACATCTGGGTTTTCCTCCTTGAATTCATGCACTGCGCCCCGGTAGTAAGTACAGGAAGTAAGTAGATAGATGATTAGATAGTTAGATAGGTAGATAGAATCTGTCTACTGACAGGTACTAGTTGGTGTAACTGTATGTATACGTATGTATGGTCCAGCCAGCCAGCCAGCCAACACAATAACTACTAACCTAGGCAGCTACACAAGTCACTACATGGATACCTACAGCCAACTATGTGGATATGAAGAAAAGAAGAAGAATGCACAGCCAACTTTTCTGCTGGGGATAGAAGATACTGCCTTATCTACTGTACCCCCATCCTATCACCCCCTTCTGAGTCCGCAGGCAGGCAATGGGTGAAATAAGTAAGAGTAAACTACTAGGTAGATACGGGATCTACTACTCCGTCGTACTGCGTACTACAGTAGTATACTTACGCATACTTATGCACAAGCGTAACCAGCCAAGTAACTACTTATGCAGGAATGGGAAAAAGATCGGTTCCATCATTCTTCTCAACATTTTCCAAATGGGACGAAGCCACGTCCTATCTACCACTCCGGGGGAAAACGCACTGATACTTTAGTGCTCCTCCCTCTCCCATCTACTCGGTCGGGGACCAATGGTTAGCCCTTTCTCTGCAGTGAGGCAGACGGAGGGTTCGATCCCATGTAAATCAATCAATGGGTGATTTTTCCAAACAAACACGAACAAACAAACAGGATTGTTGGGGAGGACAAGACAACACAAGATAGTAGTTTGGGTTTGGGCTTCTTTCTTTCTTCTTGTTAGGTTCCCTCTCTGGTATGACCACTACAAAGTACTATCACGTCAGAGAGGGTCCTGCTTAGAACCCGTGGAAGTCCAGCCAGCCAGCCAGGTTGCCCACCCGCCATGCAACTCTACCTTGTATTGACCGAAGCTGACGGCTGAAGATCCTATGCAGCTGCGCTGACTTCTTACAAGGCCTTCTTCGGCGATCATCAACCCTTCTCGATCGGAAGAATCATACTTAGGGTACTCGGTATGCTTTAACTTCTCTTCATCATATGTAATAAAAAAAAATGTCCATCATCACATCTTAGTCAGAGTCGCCTGCTTCTGCAGCTTTCTTTTCTTTTTTTTCTTCTACAGTTCACCGCATCACATGAGGCAGCCCTCCTTGATGCTGGAGTGCAGCTCGCTCGTCCCAACCCGAACACGTCGCCCGCCACGTGATCGCTGGGGCTGTCGCTGCAGATTGCCAGCCGCTGGAGACGTGCCTTTACCCCCACTCATCACCACTTCTTCTTCGTTGCCTTCCACTGCAAATACTTCCACCATCCACTCATACCATACCTTGCGGTCGTCGGTTTGCCGGTACATGGTCACCACCACTTCGCCATTGTCGGGGACATTTAGAGGAGTCTGTAGATAGCATACTGTTAGCATCCGGCGTTGTAGTTCTTATACGTATGTAGGAATGCAGACCTTCAATGGGAAGTAGATCGGGAACCAACTGATCATGTCGGCACTCTTGGTATCCATCGTGACAGGATTGGTCGACAGCTCAATGTCGCGGTATAACACCGTTTCAAAGTACCCTGCCAAACCATGGCACACTCCTCGGTTGTAGACTGGGAATGACAGGCGGGTCCGGCGCACGTTATGCGAGTTGGAAATCGTCGACGTGGTCGGTAACTGAGGGGGTATATGCTGGTTAGGATGCTCAAAAGACCAGGTCGTCTGCACGAATGGGATGGGCGCCTCTCCAGAACCCGGCAGCGTGGAGATTGAGTCTCGGGCACTATATTTAGCGCCCCCATGACTGGAGTTCATCAGTGCAGCTGCGGAGGGCTGGTTCGTGGAGAGGAAGTCGATCGCGTGTAACATGACCACATACGGCGTCTCCGGCGCTGCTGGGTTAGAGATGGATTGATTCATGACATCGGCATGGAGCTTCGGCGCCGCGATGGGCGTGAGGTGAGCCGTATAGGAAGCCGGAATGGAGATACCGTGAACCGGATTGAGTAGGTGTGTGACGCCGTCGAGGCATTCTGGCGAAAGCTCGTTGTCGCCGAACGAGCCCAGCAGCTCTGAAATCAGAATGTCAATGGTAGTGGGAACGAGCTCGGTGACGGGGGGAGCGGCTGCCGAGTCGGACGTCTGTGCCGTTTCCTGCTCCTCGTTGGCATTGTACAGTAAGGAATTGTCGATCCCAAGGGATTGCCCTACCGGTCCTGTTTGTGCTCCCGAGTCATCCTTCTTCTCAACCTGCGGGCCTTTCCAGCTTCGCATGTCCGATTGAACAAGCTTGACTTGCCCACCCCATTTCTGCTCATTGTGGCGCTGGAGAAGGACGAAAGCATTGGTGTTCTTCTCAACTGCCCAGAGGTCAATCTTAACCCCAGTCTCTACACTGGCTTGGAGCGCCCGTGACACGAGCGGTCCTCGACCCGCACCAACAACAGCCACAACCACCCGGCCGTCGGGGTTTGAAGTTGGCTTTCCTTCACTTGCCCAGTCGCTAAGGGCTTTGGCAACCGCGCGCTCATACCATTTGTATTTGATAGGATCTTTCTCGAACACTTCGTAGGTAATGCTTTCCAGGTTGACTGTCAACGGCTGCAAGGGCGCCTGGAGATAGTCTTGGTATCCAACTCCGAATCTCTCCATGGCGCTCCTAGAAGGCTGGCGTTGCTGTAGATTTCTGAGGTAGGAAAGATGAGGGGTCGGGTCATAATGCTTCTTATTAGATACCGCGGCCTGGGTGAGGCTAGGATAATCAGAGCCGGACAGAGCGGGTAGTTTTGTTCCTGAAGTTTCCTGCTCATCTACGCCTGGAATTGGGCCAACGTCGCAGAGAAGGATCCATGGGGATGTCCGCAGGCGCATAAACCGACCGATGAGCGCCTGGTGTGTCTTTGACAGTACGGGATAGCCTTTCTGGTTCTTGATGAAGGTATTGGCATCAAAGCTGAGCAGATGAACAGGCTCAGAGTACCAGCGAGACTGCACAGACATGGGAGGGAGGTGCTTAGGCATTGAAAGTGCTAATAACATTGTCTTAGCCGCAAAGAGGAGACGCAAAATGTTAAGACCGTGGGATATTATCTTACCTACGACAAGCCTTGAGTGGTATTTACAAGTTCTTCGTATGATGTCCCAAGCATCCCAAGTGCCAAAAGGGTCCACTCGCGATGGCTGCCCTGTGAGCGGCTCTCCAAGAAACTCCTGACGAGCAAGGCGAGACAAATCGGCTATTCCATCTACTTCCAAATCGGGATTATCGACCATAGGCATCCAAATGTGAAACTGTATGTACGGAGCGAGGTTGATAGCATCCTGTATCGCTCTCGCATAGTAAGTCACGCCTTCTGCATGGATATCTCCGTGGTGCAGTTTCGGGCCAGGAATCAAGAGGTACCCAAGGCCACAAAATGCTGCATAAGCGACCTCCCGCATGAAAACTTGACGCGAGATGTCCGCAATAAGGGGATTTGGGGAGCATAGATCGATCCAACTGCTGGTGACTCCAACTATCTGCGACATCGTCTCATCCGGTGTCAAGTGGCTATCCGCGGGAGTTAAGGGAGGGATAAAGAGGGGGCGTATATTATCGGTCGTCATCAAAGTCCCATTTGCAGCCGGAGAGAGAGGAGCATTTGGGTTGGAACCCAACAGGGTGAGGATACGAGAATGGAAAGCCTCCGTGGTAATTGGTGCCGTGAGCATGTCATACTGAGTGATCCAAGTTAGCATATGAGCCGGCAATTCAGCACGAGAATATGCGTACATTGCTTTCGTGGGCTGCCTGTACAATTGCAGCCGTGATTGGGTTCTTGCGGTTGCTTTCATGCTGTCCGATGCAGAAACTAGGAGCCATGTCTTCTGGATTGAACGAGTCCATGGTCAACAACGGCGGATATTCTAAGACGAGAAAAGGTCACCGGGACCTGGTGACGGGGCGATATGACAAAGTTAGATGCAACTAAATGGCAGACACATAAACTGAGGTTATGAGGAAGAAGATCGTAAATCTGGCTGTATATAGGGAAAGAAAGGCGATGAACATTGACAACGGTCTCTATCTAGGTGGTAGCTGGTTAGTCCCGCATCGCAGATCAATTGAGTTTCCCAGCAGTTTTCATCTCGAGGCCAGACAAGATATCATTTAAGAACGGCAACAAGCATGGGAGAACAAAGGAGGAGGTCTAGTCGCGCAGGGATGCTAACCGAAAAATTGAACGCCCCTTCAGTGGAACGTCGCGCGACAATGGGCTCCTGGATAGCCCCGCGTACCTGAGTAAACGTGCATCGCGACGGACTTTCCTTCATGCCTGGATGCCTGGATGCCCCTTGCCGGCGGTAAGCGATTTCTGTGGGGTTTCCGACGGCAGAAAGAAGGGCGGTGAAGCGCGGAAACTGCAGCTGTGGCGAAGGGCGGCCAACCTGCCTGTTCGGGCCGCCTTTTTTTTCTTGAAGCCGTTCGGCGACAATCCCATCTCTCGTTTGTCGCTCCGCAGCCAACCACTTTCTTCTCTTCCCCCCATTTTCTATTTTCCTGGCTTCGCTCTCTGCTAGCCGTCATGGTTGATCGACGCTCGGATTCTGAAAACGGTTCGCGTGCTAAACGTCAAAAGATGGACAAGTCTGAAACCGATCCCAAGGACAATCCGTACCTGGCTCACATGTATGCGGACGGCAACTCCAACACAGGGACCGATGGCACCACAGATCTTCACCCCGCCTTTGGGAAGATGAAGAGGCACCAGACCACCGCTGCGATGGCTAAGAAGGTGGAAGATGGTGATATCAACCCGTTCAACGGTCAACCTTTCTCCAGCAAA